GGTTTAGGAACTCGCTTTTTAATATACTTTAGAGAGAGGCAAAATGCTGGACATTTGCACCAAAGCTCTGCACACAATTCTTTTTTGCATTTCAGGGCTTTTAGCCTTTGCAGACGACTCTGTGAGGAAGGAGGTTCGGGAAAAGCAAGCGTATACAGGAAGGAAGGTTCCTCCAAGTAAGAGGAATAATTTATTCAAACGGGATGTAATTGTACTTCAGCTTGCCACAAACGAGATGATGCATATTTTCAGTAAATGAAATAAGTAATAGAATGTTTGCAGGAAGCTGTAAAAGGCAACACAAGATCCTGATGGTCTGTCTGGTGTTGGGATCTAAGTTCCATCTTAATACAAAATCTTAGCGATTGTTCTTCAAGTGTAAATTCTCATCCAGTTAGGAAAAAGATGAGGGAATTCATATTGGTAAATCCAAGAATACATCAGAAAAAAATATGGCTGTATGTTCAGTCTTTAGCAATAGTGGGAAGGTCAGGGAAAAAATTTCAGCCCACCTTTTTAAAATTTAGAATTTTATTAGTTTTCATAGTTTCAAACAGGCAAGAACATCCACAAGTACATCTGTCTTTTTACATTCCGAAAGCTGTTGTAGAAGGAAGGTGGCCTGAGGTTTATTTATTGATTATTTTTGGTTATAGGATCTTTTGCCTGCCCTTTACTGCATGGTCCCAGGGCAAGTTTTTGTGTTTTTACCCCCTCTGTCAATCTTAAAACCTGAGAGGGTCCAGGGAAGGAAGCAGTTTTTCAGATATTTGGGCCTAAGTCACTTAGGGCTGGAACATTTATATGAGCATCTTAAAGGAGGCCCAAAAGTTGCATACCCTCCAACATTTCTCTGATGAAAATAGGGATGTCCTATTCAAAAATGATAATGGTGAGGAGGAGGAGGAGGATTATTATTTTGCTGTTTATAGCCCATCCATCTGACTGAGTTGCCCCAGCCACTCTGTGTTGCTTCCAAATAATAATAATAATAATAATAATAATAATAATAATAATAATAATAAATAATTTTTTACTTATACCCCGCCCATCTGGCTGGGCTTCCCCAGCCACTCTGGGTGGCTTCCAACAAAATATTAAAATACTGTAATATTTGAAACATTAAAAGCTTCCCTAAACAGGGCTGCCTTCAGAAGTCTTCTAAAAGTCTGGTAGTTGTTGTTCTCTTTGACATCTGGTGGGAGGGCGTTCCACAGGGAGGGCACCACTACCAAGAAGGCCCTCTGCCTGGTTCCCTGTAACTTGGCTTCTCGCAGTGAGGGAACCGACAGAAGGCCCTCGGCGCTGGACCTCAGTGTCCGGGCAGAACGATGGGGTGGAGACGCTCTTTCAGATATAATAACATATTAAACATTTAAAAACTTCCCTATATAGGGCTGCCTTCAGATGGCTTCTAAAGGTTGTATAGTTACTTATCTCCTTGGCTGGGGGGTCACCTAACTCCATACCTCCAACATTTCTCCAATGAAAACAAGGACATCCTAAGGAAAAGTGGGACATTTCAGGATCAAATCAGAAACTGGGACAGCTTCTGTAAATCCTATAAATAATAAGCTTGCTGTCATCCTTAAGAAAAATATATTTTAAAAAATGTGATGGAGGTAGAAGAGTATCCAAACAGTATTCATTGATGTGGATGAAATATTATTAATATTTAGCAAGTTTCAAGAATATGTGGGTGGGAGGCAGTACACAGCACTGTTTTGGAGGGGAAATCTAAATTTTCTCTCATATTCAAAAACAGCAAAGCTCAAAGGATAAGTATATGCATTGAAAAGTGGTTGGATAACAACTGTATCCTGCACCGGAGAAAGGAATTATACTTTCTTCCCTTTGTGTTCATGACTAATGAACACTTTTCCTACTTTTCTGTTTAACGTAACCTGTTTTTTCAGACCAAGATGTGCATTGACCTATATTTAACACAAGATCCACTTGTGTGGTCCTGAACTTTTTCACCACATGAATAGAATTACTAACCCAGGTTATTTACCCACACGCTGCAGCATTTCTCTGCGGATGTTTATTCATTGCTTGGAAAGCTATCCAAAAACAGGATGCTTATCAGATGTAATCGATCGCTGTAGATTGTCTTATTGGAAATAAGCCACAGGAAAGATGTGGTTTGCTTAAAAAGGACGACACTTTTTCCTATGTTGAGACCACACTGCCTCCAAACCAAGATACAAGCAGTTTCAGTGCTTGCACAATGCCTTTTTCTGTGTTGCGTAAAAACGTGGTGGTGAGACTAGGTTATTAAAGCCATTGAACTGGTACCTTTTACCATGGCAGAATTATGGCACACTTTTTATTTCTACTGTGGTGCTAGCATGATGTTTGCTTTACTCTGCTTCGTAAACAGCTTGTTGCAGTATTAGGACTCTGGGAAATTGCTATAGCTAGTAGGGATCAGGGCTGGGCAATGCCAGCTTTTCAACATTGTGATGTATCACCAGCCAAATATTGTGATATAGTGATATATCTTTTTTGTGTGTATATTTAATTTTTATTAAATTTTCTGTTTTACAATTTAAAATACTCATTGTTACATCCTTAAGATATCAGTGACCTCCCTTTTTCTCTTTCCATGGTTCATTTTACATATCATAAATCCCTGCATATTTTACAAAAACTATACCATTCAGTGGGATGTGGGTGGTGCTGTGGGTTTAACCACAGAGCCTAGGGCTTCCTGATCAGAAGGTCGGCGGTTCGAATCCCCACGACGGGGTGAGCTCCCGTTGCTCCGTCCCTGCTCCTGCCAACTTAGCAGTTTGAAAGCACGTCAAAGTGCAAGTAGATAAATAGGTACCACTCCGGCAGGAAGTTAAACGGCGTTTCCGTGCGCTGCTCTGGTTCGCCAGAAGCGGCTTAGTCATGCTGGCCACATGACTCGGAAGCTGTATACCGGCTCCCTCGGCCAATAAAGCGAGATGAGCGCCACAACCCCAGAGGCGGCCACAACTGGACCTAATGGTCAGGGGTCTCTTTATCTTTACCTTTTTATCCTTCAGCAAGCTTTTTTAGGCCGGGACTCATGTGAGAAAGCAGCAAAGGACCCAGATTGTGAAGTGGGGAAGAATCCAAAACATTTGGGATGACTTTGTAACATTCATGATGATGATTAGTTTGGATAGATTTCCTACATCCCATTTGTATCTGTTGCCCTTGAGGTTGATGTTCCTGTGCAACCATAATTAACTAGATTTAGCTGGCATGGGTTATCTGTGCACATTTTTCATGCTGTTTGCAACTGGTTTTTTCCAACCCCTCCTCTGCATTTAATGAAACAAAAATATGTCTCAAGTCTTTAGATGGGGCATTTAGACTTGTCTAGTTTCAAAGAAGAGTTTTTGTGCAGGAGTATCGGTCAAAGTCTAAAATGTTCTCAGGGCTGTGCTTTGACTAGTGGCACAGCAAGACCCTAATTTTTTGGAACCGGATTCTCAGTCTGGTGGAAAAAATGCAGTGCCCTTTCAAATAGTTTCAGAAGGTCAACCTGGAGGAGCTTCTGAAATGCATAAACCCAGCTTGCTTGCACAAACTTTCCAGGGGCCTATGCAGCTGCTGAAGTGCATAACATAATAATAAACAGTTTGTCTTTTGGAGGTAGATCCTAATCATCTGGTATCCCATAAGCAATGTTAGCCTTGTCTGCAGGGCTTTGTTTGTCATCATTAATTCAGAGGTGGCTGTTTCATTTCCCCCGCTTAATTGTTGTCATAGATATTTGCCAGAAACTTTGGTGTTTCCCAGCTGGCCTGTCATTATCAAAAAAAGACCCAAGACACAACCTCACAGTACAGATCTTTGTAGTGGCTGAAACTGCGCTGAATAATGGCTTGTGCCTAACCATACTGAGGTTTCAACGTCCAGATATACAACAGGCAAACCGTGGTTTAGGGCAACTTACTGGTTTTTCATTTCCCATGTGTTCAGCGCACTTTCATGGTGCATCAGCCTCTTCGGGTGGAGCCGTGGTTCTTATTTTGGCTTATTAATTCAGATATAACAGCAAACCATGGTTAGCATAAACTGTAGCTTGGAAGCCAGCTTGAAACTACGGTTGATATCCTGGTGACACTCCAGGGTTTTGCAACACAGGTGCAGATACGATGCCAAACCACAGTTTGGCATGATATCTGAATTCAGCCTGTGAAGAGGATTATTCCTCAATCCAAATTTTTTATAGAGTGTATGTAGAGTCACACAAGGCTGATTAACAGGTGCCTGTCCATTACCCAATAGATGCAATGATGACTAATACACAGAAGTCACAGGTAAAACATCACACAACACAATACTATTGTCAATTCACTCTTGTAAAAGCCAGAGATTTACAGACACATCTCCATCCTCCATTCAGGCAACCAAGAGGCTTGTTCAAGGACACCTTCCAACCAGAGCAAAGCACTTGAGAAGGGAGCAGGACCAGTAATACACATAGCCTGGGAAGATCCTCCAGGGCCAGATGGAGAAACCTGGAGCATTCATTCCCTGGTCCTCAAGGTCCCTCACCCCTGGTTTCTACACTGACTGGCAGAGGGGGCTTTCCAGGGTTTCAGGCAGAGCTCATCCCCAGCCCTTCAAGGGATTGAACCTGAGACCGGGGCTCTACCAACAGAACTCTTGTTACATCCTCAAGTGATGCATGTGCACACTGATCCTTAAACTTTGATATGGGAGAAATTGTGGATTAGCATAGCAGGGGACATAGTTACAGTCACCAGCAACCCTTAACAAATTACAGTTCCCAGGACTCTTTGGTGGAAGCCATGTGCTCTGAATATACTTTAAAGACTTAGTGTGTATTAGGGTTGCCGTATTTCAAAAAGTGAAAATCCGGCTATGTCCGGGACGTATGGCATATCTTTGTGTATACAACTGGATTTTTCAATATGAATGAAAGGTTGTTGTTGTTGTTGTTGTTGTTACTATTTATTATTATTATTATTATTTTCTTCAGGGGTGCCCCCAGGATGGACAACTGGAACCAAAGGTTTATTCTTGTGTTTTTGACCATGTTGTGCTCAACCAATGCCCAAACTACTGGTAATGTAATATCCGTGCTTTTTTAGTAATATCCATGAGCAGATAACAAAAGACACATGGGGGGGGGAATTAAAATGTGACATCAGAGGGCAGAGCAGAGCAACCAACGACCAGCAGCACAGAAAGAAACAGCGGTTTAGAAAATGGTGTGGCAGGGTATTACATTTGACAAAAAAAGGGAAGGGGTTTAAAAAAACCGTTTTAATTAACAATTATGCCCTGTGATGTTTTAGAATGACATATCTAATGTCAGGAGCCCAGGCTGCTGTCTTGATAACACAGCATGCAAGTCGTAATTAGCTTGAAGATTTATTGCAATACTGTACAAACAATTACCCTTGGACATCTAACCGAGCGTCCGTGACTTACGAGTCAGTTGAGCCTTCTGAGGAGTGCTTCCTGCTACTGCAGAATATCCTGAACCTATGACCCTTACATTCCTGGGTTTGTTTTCTGTCTAATACCTTTCCCATATGTCTACTCTTTGGGCTCAGGGGATTAATTGCCTACTCTTCCGGTGAGGAAATGCTACCCCTTCTGCTTTCTGAAGCTGCCTGTGCTTCTTGAGCGAGCTGACTTCTCTCCCTCCCACTCTCTGCTAACATCTTATCTACATTCCTTCTGTGTCAGGGGGAGAGGGACTGCTCCCAGCTGTCTGACTGCTTCCTAACTCATGCTGTGTGTCAGGAATGAGCCAGCTCCAAGTGAAGGTTTGCAGCCAACTGCAGAAAGCAGCCAGGAACAGAAAGGCAGAAACAGATGTTAGTCAGGCAGGGGAGAGCCGGCAGGTGCTGACTTCGGCTCTTCCTGACTTTGACGGGCAGGCTGATAAGGCAGTAGCTAAGAGCAGGCTAGAACACAGTCAAAGCTTGCCAGAAGCACAAATTGGCGCTAATAGATTAAGAGACAGCCTCTCAGAACAGGAAGAAGTTGGAGCTGATCCACTAAGTCTGAAGAGTTGGCAAATGGAAGGGCTGCTAGATAGGAAGCAAAACAAGAGAGGTAAAGTTTGTAAGTTCAATATCTTCTATCGACACCGGAAGAAGTCATCAGAAGGGTCATCTTGAGTAATGATGCTGGAGGCTTTGTCAGAGCCGTCTGGAGCTATCTGTTTGTTTTTGCAATAAATCTTCCCTTTTTAATTACCTATGCTTACTGTGTTATCAAGCTGGGAACCTGGACTCCTGACACTGTGTTTCTCTACTTGGGGCAGATGTGTCCATGACATCTAATATCATTCTAATAGGGGGAAATAATGTTAAGCAGGTCAGTGTAGATCCAGCCCCAGTGTAAATCAACAGTCATCTCCATTCTCTAGCGGCATCAAATTGCACAAGTTAAATATGTGTTATGTCTTCTTCTTTTTTCAAATATTTGTTTAAATACAAATTCTTTAAATAATCATTTCAGGAGATTCTCTGAATCTTGTGACTCCTCCCCACCCCCTATCTGGGTCCTAATAACATTTCCCCCCCAATCTACATATCAATGCATTCTCCAATATTTACATTTTTCTAAATTATCCATAAGGCTCATTCTTTACAAGTGATTCTTACAGTCCAACTAAGGGTTTGATGTGCTTACAATGGTCTCTTAGGTAAATTATAAATTTCCTCCATTCTTTCTTAAAGTCTTTATCTTCTTGGTCCCTGAGTCTCCCGGTTAGTTTTGCCATTTCAGCACAGTTCAGCAGTTTGGCTTGCCACTCTTCCCTGGTCTGGACCATTGCTTCTTTCCATCTTTGGGCTAGTAACATTCGTGCAGCTGTTGTTGCATACATAAAAAGTCTTTTCTGGTCCTTTGGAATCTCGGTACCTATAATTCCTAATAAAAAAGCTTCAGGTTGTTTTTTTTTAACCAAATGTTATTTCAAACATTTTTTCCCAGTTCATCATATGTCATTTCGCAAAATGATTTTATTATCTTGCATGGCCACCACATATGATAAAAGGTACCCTCTTTCTCGTTACACTTACAGCAGATATTTGAACTTGTTCTATACATTTTAGATAACTTAGTAGGAGTCAAATACCACCGGTACATCATTTTCATATAGTTCTCTTTCAGCGTACTACATGCTTTAAATAAATATGTGCTATGTCAGGTGTGGGGAACCTGTAGCCCTCCAAATGTTGTTGGATTCCTGCTGCCATCACCCCATCCTCAATAAACACACAAGACGTAACCGGCTGTACTTTTGAATAAATAAGGTATACTAGTCATTTTATCAAATTGTAGATTTCAGTGGAAGTCTCATAAAGTTCTACGAAAGAAAGCAGAAAACCCAGTGGATCAGTTCATTCTCTAGTCAGTTCATGCATAAGGTCCATACATGTATAAATACCTATTCCACAGGGTCTAAGAGAAGGATTTCCGGAATATTAGCCTTGTTTCGCCATCCTAGGCTTCATCAGTAGAACAGGCTCATATGTAATATTATAGGATAGTGGATCTTATAGCATAGTACTGGTTGTCTTAGACTCTGTGAAAGGATTCTGTGGAACTGTAACAACCCTTCATGTGGATAATTGGACTCTATGAACAGACAGGTGGAATAGATACTTATACATGTATGGACCTTATGCATGAACTAACTAGAGAATGAACTGATCCACTGGGTCTTCTGCTTTTTTCGTTGAACTTTATGAGACTTCCGTTGAAACCTACAATTTGATACAATGAATAGTACAGTGGTACCTCGTGATGTGAACGGGATCCGTTCCGGAGCCCTGTTTGCATCCTGAACGGAACGTAAGATGCGATGGTGTGTCTGCGCGTGCACGGGTTGCGTTTCGCCGCTTCTGCGCATGAGCGTGATGTCATTTTGAGCGTCTGCACATGCGTGAGCAGCGAAACCCGGAAGTAACGTGCTCCGTTACTTCCGGGTTGCTGCGGAGCGCAATTCGAACGCGCTCAACGCGAAGCACATTCAACTTGAGGTATGACTGTATACCTTATTTATTCAAAAATACAGCCGGTTATGTCTTGTGTGTTTATTGAGTATGTTTCACGTAACCATAGGTTTGTTGTTGTTGTTTTGCCATCACCCCATCCAGCCTGGTTGGTAGTCAGGGATGATGCGAGTTGGGGACCGGCGACATCATGCGGACTTCATGTCCCCCAACCCCTGGGTTACATGAAGAAATGTTTTCTTTTGCCTGTCCCGAATCTAACAAATGCCTTTTGGTGTAAGAACAAAAGGTTACCTTGTCTTTCTTCAGTCTGCAGAGAAACTGCCATTGCAGACCTCGTGTTCCTGGTGGACGGATCCTGGAGCATCGGAACAAAGAACTTCAAAAGCATGCAAGACTTTCTGTACACCATGGTTGACGGCTTGGACATTGGACCGGATAAAATACAGGTCGGGCTGATTCTGTACAGCGACCTGCCTCACAACGAGTTCTTCCTGAACACTTTCCACCGCAAAGAGGACATCTTAAACCGGATTCGGAACTTGCACTACAAAGGAGGGGGGACCAAAACTGGGAAGAGTTTGAAGTTTATGCTGGACCATCAGTTCAACGAAGTGGCCGGCAGTCGGCGCCGCGAAGGCGTCCCCCAAGTGGCAGTTGTGATAACAGACGGGGAAGCTCAGGATGATATCCGTGAGCCCTCAAAGCTGGTCAAGAGCGCAGGCATCACCCTCTATGCTTTGGGCATTAAGGATGCTGTTTTGTCGGAGCTTCAGTTAATCGCTAGCGACCCGGACGAGACGCACGTCTACAACGTGGAAGATTTTGCCGGCTTGCAGGGCATCTCCCAAAATCTGCTTCAGGTGATTTGTACTACTGGCGAAGAAGCCTCTCAACACATCACTCAGATTTCTCCAGGTAAATCCAAAAGTGTGTGTGTGTGTGTGTGTGTGTGTGTGTGTATACAGTGGTCTTTAAAAAAAAAAAATCCTTCCTAGCTATGGTTCTCCCAGTAGTGATGTATGGGAGTGAGAGCTGGACCATAAAGAAGCCTGATCGCTGAAGAATTGATGCTTTTGAATTATGGTCCTGGAGGAGACTCTTGAGAGTCCCATGGACTGCAAGAAGATCAAACCTCTCCATTCTGAAGGAAATCAGCCCTGAGTGCTCACTGGAAGGACAGATCCTGAAGCTGAGGCTCCAATACTTTGGCCACCTCATGAGAAGAGAAGACTCCCTGGAAAAGACCCTGATGTTGGGAAATATTGAGGACACAAGGAGAAGGGGACGACAGAGGACAAGATGGTTGGGCAGTGTTCTCGAAGCTACCAGCATGAGTTTGACCAAACTGCGGGAGGCAGTGGAAGACAGGAGTGCCTGGTGTGCTCTGGTCCATGGGGTCACGAAGAATTGGACACGACTAAACAACAACAACAGCAAGATCACAAAATCTTTTTCATTCAGCAGCATGCTACCAGATGTCAAGGCTTCAGGGAATCCTATCCCTCTCACTGTGGGATGAGTTCTCACGAAGTAGCTTATTCAACATTCACAGAGAGAGTTGAAGGAATTCTCTCTTAGATAATGGCGTTGGTCCAAGTCAAGTCCCACCCTCTCCGTCTCTTCTACGTCACCCCTGCACTGGCTGATCTGAGCTTTCTGCCTCTGAGCTTTCTGTTCTACTACTTTCAAGGCCTGCCTGGTTCTGGGAGAGGGGAAGGGGTCAGGAATGCTTTCAAGAGACACTGAGTCTGCTAACTGTCTCTCCCCTGGTGCTTCATCCTGCTGCTCTCCCAATATTTTCCAGCTCCTCCCCTCTGCAGCCTCTGAATTATGCCCTTCTGCAAACCACTGTTCTAAATCTATACTGTCCTCCTCTTTTCTGGAAGTTGCAGGAAGGTGAGGGGGTTCCCACCATTCCTCCTCAGTCTAGTCCCTGAAAGCCAGTGGTGCGTGTACATAAAGAGGAGGGCATGTGTTCTATACGAAGAACCTGATTCAAGATAAATTCAACCGGTAAGTGTGACGGGCTGGGATTCAGACTCGGATACTGTACCTGAGGGATCCCAGCCTGCACAGGATTCCCCGCCTCCAGAACCAGCTGAGCTGGGGCTGGGGCATGAGACTGAAGGGTCCTCACCTGTGCTGGATCCTCAGGTGCAGGCATCAGCTGAGTCTGCTCTGGCTCCTGAGGACCCACTGCCTGCAGGTGCTCCACTCTCAGCCCCGTCAGGGGAAGCTGAGGTTGCCTCTGAGTCCGGTAACCCTCCAGCCTCTCCTGAGCTGCAGAGGCTCAGGGCAGAGAGGCAGAGGGAAATAAGTTCCCGCAGGAGGAGTGCTCGCCTCCAGGCCAGGAGAGGCGAGTCACCAGAGGATCGGGGCCGCCCTGTGCCTCGGGGCAGATAAAAGCCGGCCAGCCCCAGTCCCAGGTTGCGGGAGCAACATTGTTGGTTGCTAGTTCCTGCCTGAAACCTGTCCTGCTTTCCTGCCTGAGCTCCTGACCTGCCCTGGCTCCCTGCTTGCATGCCTGTTCCTGACTTCACCCGACTCCCTGCCCTGCACCCAGCTTCAGCTACTACGGACTGCCTCCACGTTGCACCTTTGATCATGGACCAGACTTGGACCTTGCCTCTCGGGTAACCCATGGGACCAGCACAGTAAGGCTATTTTCTCACATCATGCTGAACTCATTATGGCCAACTTATGAGTGGACACGTACTGCACTTATTGCCAGAGATGTTGCTTAAAAAGAAGAATTAGGCAACCAGGAAAACTAAATGAAATCTGTCACTTCTGAAGGCTGGTGGCACATTGGGTCAGTGCGTCTGGCTGTTAACCAGAAGGCTGGTGGTTTGAGCCAACCCAGGGATGTCGGTGAGCAGGATTCGTGCCTTGCAAGGGGTTGGACTAGATGACCCTCAGGGTCCCCTCCGACTCTGGAGTCCTATGACTCTATGATTCACAGCACAGAACATGGAAGACAGCTAATTTTCAATATGTGGTACAGTTTATCCACTTTTAGATGTTTACATTCAAAATGCAAAGAGAAAATATACAGAAAGTTGCAAAGGTTGTGTGTGAAATCAGCCAATATCTCTTTTCTTTAACTGCCCTTTTCTGGCTTGTTCTGATGATGGGTGCCAGTAGGATTTTCTGAGCCCAGTACACAGTGCATTGGTTCCCTTCTCCTCACTCACAAAAGGGAGTACAGATGCACATAAAATTTGTATATTTTTGTGTCATTTGCAAATTTGTATCCTCATTTGGGGAGGTCCAAAAATCAGAGGAAACACACATATGAAATAATATATCTGACAGACAATGTCAACAGTGAAGCTTTCTTTGTATTGTAGTTCCATATAACTCCTTTCACCTCCTTTGTAGAGAGAAAGAGAGAAAGAGAAAGAGAAAGAGAAAGAGAAAGAAAGAAAGAATTCAGAGTCTGGATGTGGTACAGCGCTAACCTTTGTACTGTTTTCATATTTTGGTGGCCCTGATTCTGAGAAAACATTTTACAATGTTCTCGCTTAGAGAAAATCCTCAAGAGAAGCTGTTTGAGAAAACAATTCTGTATCAGGAAGCTTTTAATGTTTGATGCTTTATTATGTTTTATATATTCTGCAAGCTGCCCAGAGTGGCTGGGGAAACCCAGCCAGATGGGATGGGGGTATTATTATTATTAATAATAATAATAATAATAATAATAATAATGGCTGGCCACATAAATGCCGGCTATGTTTTAGTTTGAAACCACCTCAAACAGAAAAGCAATAACCAATTCCTGTCTCGTTTTTAAAAACTTCTTTCTCGTTTAGTGTGCCGAAAAGCCACCATGGCCGACATTGTGTTTTTGGTGGACAGTTCCACTAGCATTGGCGAGGAGAATTTCCAGAAGGTGAAGAGCTTTCTGTACACAATGATTTCCAGCCTTGACGTTGGCCCGAATCAGGTTAGAATTGGGCTGGCCCAGTATAGTGACAGCACCTACAGGGAATTCCTCTTAAACCAGTATTCTTCAAAGAGCGACATTCTGGAACAAATACAGAATTTGCCCTTCCGGAAGGGAGGCACTAACACGGGCGCTGCCTTGGATTTTATCGGGGAAGAGTACTTCACAGAATCTGCCGGGAGCAGAGCCCGGGAAAACTTCCCCCAGGTCGCCATTCTGCTCACCGATGGCGAGTCCAGTGATGAAGTCAAGGTTCCCGCTAGCAAACTGAGGGCAAGAGGCATCTCCGTTTATGTGGTGGGGATTGGCGTCCAGAACACCACCGAACTGCAGGAAATTGCCAGCCGGCCTTTGAATAAGTTTCTGTTCAGCACCGACAGATTTGATATCCTCGAAGAACTCTCCGCCAGTCTCCTCCGAACGATGTGCTTTGCAGTGGAGAGCCAGATTACAGGTAAGCAAAGATGTCTTCTGGGGTGACTTGTGGGCTGCTCAGAAGCTTTTCTATTCCCCCCCATTTTTTTTATTGGTTTTCCAAAATTTTTAAACAAACAAACAAACATACATACATCTTAACTGTACTTGATCCAATTTTAGTAACATTCTTAAGTGACTTCCTCAAATCCCCCCGGCTGAATTTCAGTGTATATCATTGTAACAGTTTTCCAAAACTAATTTTCTCATAAAATTAACTTAATCACTTAACATCTTACCTTGTTTTCATTTTGACTTTAATTTTTTTTTATAAGATATTTATTAGGATTTTTAAAATATTACAATAAAAAATGGAAAAAAAAATGAAAATACAAAATAAAAAAGCTTAAAAACCACTCAATTTTTCCATTGCTTATTTTTCCTTAGCTTGTTTCCCGGACCTCCTCATACCTCCCTTTTTTGTATTCCAGTTCAGTTTGTTGGTTCAGCAAATCCTTACCCTCTTTATTTATCCTAATCTTTGGTCTTAAAATAGTAACGTTAGATTTTTACCTCTTAACAACCCATTTTTCATATGCATACTTACCTGGCAGGGGAGACACCTTGATCATTTTGACTTTAAACATATTACAGTGGTACCTCGGGTTAAGTACTTAATTCATTCCGGAGGTCCATACTTAACCTGAAACTGTTCTTAACCTGAAGCACCACTTTAGCTAATGGGGCCTCCTGCTGCCACCACGCCGCCGGCGCAAGATTTCTGTTCTCATCCTGAAGCAAAGTTCTTAACCTGAAGCACTATTTCTGGGTTAGCGGAGTCTGTAACCTGAAGCGTATGTAACCTGAAGCATATGTAATCCGAGGTACCACTGTATTCTCTAACATAATTAAATCCTAAGCCTATCTGGTAATTGCAAGTTTTTCCAGTTAAGTTATCTTAGCATATTTAACTAAATAGTCTTTGAATTTCATTGCTTGGAAGCTTTTCTGCCAACAACCCTGAGCTGCTCTTTGAACCTCTACAAAATGGGCGTTTAAAGAGCAGTGCGTGGCTTTGCAGCATAACTTCCGACAGCGCGGCCCATCCCCTCACACATGCAGAAAACGCTCACTTAAGTCAACTAAAGACAACCAACCATGCCCTAACCCCTTCTCCCCAACCTCTCTCTCTGCCAAGAAAAACTTAAAAAACGAATAGAAAGAGAATCTACCCAAGTGACGCCGACACAAAACCCCACAAGTACACTAAATAAAATAATGACAGTTTTACCATCCCTTCTCCCCCTCTGTCCCCCCTCTCTCCCACAAACATATACAGTGGTACCTCAGGTTAAGTACTTAATTCGTTCCGGAGGTCCGTTCTTGACCTGAAACTGTTCTTAACCTGAAGCACCACTTTAGCTAATGGGGCCTCCTGCTGCTGCCGCGCCGCCGGAGCACAATTTCTGTTCTCATCCTGAAGCAAAGTTCTTAACCTGAAGCACTATTTCTGGGTTAGCGGAGTCTGTAACCTGAAGCGTATGTAACCCGAAGCGTATGTAACCTGAGGTACCACTATATTGAATACAACACTAATGTCTCAAACTGAATGTAACTGATCTATAGAAAAGACTCTGCGACCTGGAAAAAAGTGACAATGCACGTACTTTTGTAATTGAAGAAAATCTTCAATAATAATTAATTTTTTTTAATAAAAATATACCCAGAGTGCTGCACTGCGTTTTGGCTTCACGTACCTGCTCCTAGCAGGGGACCTGCTTTCTGAAATTCAATAAGCATGGAAGTAATGTAATTTTAATCATATAATGACACACATTATACAATTATAAACTGCAAGAGCAGATCATAAATTCTATGAACTCTGGGAAATGATTTCAGTTGGTTTTATAATTCTTCTGCAGATTGGCAGATTGCAGTGCAATGGTATATAGTGGTACCTCAGGTTAAGAACTCAATTCGTTCCGGAGGTCTGTTCTTAACCTGAAACTGTTCTTAACCTGAGGTACCACTTTAGCTAACAGGGCCTCCCGCTGCCGCACAATTTTGGTTCTCATCCTGAGGTAAAGTTCTTAACCTGAGGTATTATTTCTGGGTTAGTGGAGTCTGTAACCTGAAGCATCTGTAACCTGAAGCGTCTGTAACCTGAGGTACCACTGTATTAAAATACGTTGTTTTTTCCTCCAGCATTTACAAAGCACTATGCTGACGTAGTTTTCCTTATCGACTCCTCTGACACAATGGGCGCCCCCAACTTTGAAGCAGTCAAAAAATTCACTGCTCAGGTTGTCGAACAACTAGATGTCGGGGCTGGCAGGTACCAGATTGGCTTCGCGCAATACAGTGGAGAAGGGAAGAGAGAATTTTTGCTGAACACTTACGAGAGTAAGGAAGATGTTCTCAACCACATCCAGAACAGCGTCGAATTCATAGGAGGCCCTTCGCAGACTGGGGCTGCCCTGCAATTTCTGCAAGATGTCTATTTTACTGAGGAAGCTGGGAGCCGGTTTAACCAAGGGACGCCACAGTTTACGGTGGTCGTCACCTCCGCTAAATCTGAGGATGACGTCAAGGAGTCCGCAAAGCGACTGAAAGAAATGGGAGTGAAAGTTGTAACGGTTGGCATCTTGGATTCTGACCGGGTCGAAATGGAGGAGATTGCTACTGACACTTTGGTTTTTCAGGCCGATGATGTACAGAGCCTTGACCAAGTTCAGCAGACTGTGGTGGATATTTTGGACGTATCAGTTCATCAGCACTACGATGATGCTCTGGACATAGATGTGCCAGCAGGTAATTATTTCCTTGGAGAGAAAATTTCACGCTAAAGTAGATTATAAGGTGGAGAATTCTGTCAGTCATCCGGTCCCCTGCAAATATGGCATTATTGTTATTCAGAAAGCGAGTTCTCTTTAACTTCCCTGAACATTTCTTTCTGTAACAAGGAGAGTTTTCCTCAGATGAATCTTCCTCGAATGGGAATAGCATGGATTTTTTAAAAGGGTTGTTAGTAATACTGCCAGGAATACAATCAAAAGAAACTTGTCTAGAGCCCAAAGCAAATGCCACTGGCTTTATTGACATTTGTTATAGGACACACATGACTGAAGGACGGTTCTAGAATTTTCCCAGTATGCTTCCCAGTATGAGCTCACCACATGATATGCATTTACAAGCATGTGTTTCCCTTTCATACATTCCAGTTCTTTCCCGATGAGCTCAAATGAGCCTAGGACTCTTGTACCTATGGGACCACCCCTCCTGGTATGTCCCACGGAGGACCTTACGGTCTTCAAATAAAAACATCTTGGAGATCCTGGGCCACAGGGAGGTTAGGCTGGCCTCAACCAGAGCCCAGGGCCTTTTTGGCTGTGGCCCCGAGCTGGTGGAATGCTCTATCACAAGAGACTAGGGCCTTGCGGGACTTGACATCTTTCCGCAGGGCCTGCAAGACAGAGCTGTCCAACCAGGCCTTTGGCCAAGGCACAGTCTGACCCCCTCCTTTGGTAATCCTCATAGAACTCTAGCCCAATGGTTGCCATTAATTTGACCCTGAATTGATTTTAGAATGAATTGATTTTAGAATGTATTTCAATTAATTGTGATTTTATGTAAACTGTGTTATTTTTACTGTTGTTAGCCGCTCTGAGCCCGGCTTTGGCTGGGGAGGGTGGGATATAAATAAATTATTATTATTATTATTATTATTTTTAGTCCTGTGAAAATGGCCTGGATGAGGCAAGGGGTGGCATGCAGAACTGATATCCTCTGGAGGTGTCCTGGCTTTCAGACTAATCAAATCCTCACACGGCATTTCGTTGTGGAGCGTTTGCATAAATTCTCCTCTGCGGATGAGTTATTATCAACCTTTTCACCAGACTCCCACATAACCAGCATTACACATTGTTCACCCTGGGGCAGCTTTGCCTGTTATCTCCTGCCCAGGGGCGCCATCGGGGGGCGGGGGAAGGCAAGGAAATTTTCAAGGAGGCGCCCGGACCCTCTCAATATCCCACATCGACAGCTCCCTCAATCATGGCAGCAAGTTTGCATGCCTGCTCCTGTCCGTGCTTAAATAGTCATGAATTCAGACCAAAGTCCTATCCAAATGTACCAGTGGGGGTTACTTCAGAACTGAGCTATCAACATCTCTTAGTATGGAAGGTCATGGGAGGGGACTCTCAGGCTGGGCCCCAAATAGGCCCATCCCACATCTGCTCAGGCCACACCCCCTCTTCTCAGGCCACGCCCTCTCCAAGTGCTTTTGCCTGGCAGGATAGTGTCCTTGAACTGTGGTAACGCATCTCACTTGTCTGGATGGATGGAGAGGTACGTAACTATGGAAACCTCTGGCACCCGCATGGCTGGGATACAGCCTAGCGTAAAAAGGTAAGAGTTGCACCTATGGCTCCGCCCACTTTCACCATATTTCACTTCTGGCTCCGCCCCTCCCCACCATGGAAGCTAGTCTAGGCGGGGATGCGGGCTTCTAACAGGAAAAGATTCCCCATCCCACCATTCTCTAACTTTGATGTGCTTGTTTTGCTCGCAGTTTGCTCCAGCGCATCTGTGGCAGACATTGCGTTCCTTGTGGACGAATCCAGCAGAATCGGGCCGAGGAATTTCCAGCTGATCAGGGCTTTTCTCCTCAAGATTATCAGGGCTCTGGATATAGCCCCGGATAACGTACGGGTCGCCTTGGTACTTTATAGCGATGAGCCCAGGCTCGAGTTTGGCCTGAATGCATTTCAAGACAAGTTGGAGATGGTGAATTATGTGAAAACGTTGCCGTACCGTGGCGGCGAATCATACACTGGCGCTGCCATCAACTTCCTGAGGAAGAACGTTTTCACCAAAAGAGCCGGGAGCAGGAAGGATGAAGGAGTTCAGCAGCTGGCGGTGGTGATCACGGATGGCCAGTCCGTAGATAATTTCACGGGACCCGCTTCCAAGCTTCGACGGAGCGGCATCACTGTGTACGCCGTGGGCATCCAAAACGGCACTGAGAGTGGCCACCTGCAGAAGATTGCATCTCATCCCCCCAGGAAACACGTCTCCAATGTGGAATCGTTGTTGCAGCTCTCGGACATCGAGTGGAAGATAAAGAAACGAATTTGTACCGATATTGTTTCCCGTGCATTTAGCATCCCAGTGCGGTCCCGTACCCTGAGGGAAGGTAAGAGACTCCTCTCGCCATCGGTCCCCAAATCCTATCCCTTCGAGCTGGGAAGAGAGAGCCAGTGTGGTGTAGTGGTTAAGAGCGACAGACTCGTAATCTGGGGAACCGGGTTCGTGTCTCCACTCCTCCACATGCAGCTGCTGGGTGACTTTGAGCTAGTCACACATTTTTGACCTGGCAATATATTGCGAATCATGATGTGTATGTGTGTGTGCTATGCAAAAATCGCAAGGGGGGAGGGACCGTGAAGCCAGCAGATGCCTCTACATCAGGCGTAGGCAAACTCGGCCCTCCAGATGTTTTGAGACTGCAATTCCCATCATCCCTGACCACTGATCCTGTTAGCTAGGGATGATGGGAGTTGTAGTCCCAAAACATCTGGAGGGTCGGGTTTGCCTATGCCTATTCTACATTATTTCATCCTTATTTCAGACATCGTGATATATAAGTATATTGTGATGTTTAGCTGGTGATATATCACAGTGCTGAAAACCAGGTATCGTCCAGCCTTACAGCCAGTGTGGCGTAGCGGTTAAGAGCGGTAGACTCGTAAACTGGTGAACCGATTCGCATCCCCTCTCCTCCACATGCAGCTGCTGGGTGACCTTGGGCTATTCACACTTCTCTGGAGTGTTTGTTGTGGGGGAGGAAGGGAAAGGAGAATGTTAGCCTCTTTGAGACTCCTTTGGGTAGTGATAAAGCGGGATATCAAATCCAAACTCCTCCTCCTCCTCTTCTTCTTCTTCCTCTTCTTCTGTGTGATGTCATTTTCCCATCCCTTCTGAAGACGAAGGAACACATAGGAATTCCTGTTCCTCTCTCTCTTCCATTGACATGCCTCTGCTTGCTCCAACTTTAGCCACATGCCTGAAGTTGGCTATACTTTAAATATAAATATTTTGCCTGCATAGTTTTTACTGCTGCTATTGCTGTGAACCAATGCAAGATTACAAGTAAGTAAATCATATTTTTATTTTTTTATATAATTTTTATTACATTTTCTGTTTTGCATTTTAAAATACTCATTTTACATCCCTAAGATATCAATGACTTCCCTTCTTCTCTTTCCATGGTTCATTTTACATACCATAAATCCCTGCATATTTTACAGAAACTATACCATTCAATATTCCATTATTACTTCCATCAAAACTTATTTACACTGTTGAATTTATCTTAATGCTGCCAGTGTTTTGAGCTGTACACAATTATTTCCCATATATCCAACAAACGTTTTTCAATCTTCTTTAAAGGTGTGTTCTTCTTGTTCTCTTATTCTATATGTTAAGTCTGCAGGTTATGCATATTCTGCCAACTTAAGTTGCCATTCTTCTTTGGTTGGGACCTCGTTCATTTTCCATTTTTGGGCTAACAAAACACAAGCCGCAGTAGTGGCACACATAAATAACCTTTATTGACACCTGGGAATTTCAGTCTGAATTATCCCCAACAGAAAGGACTCTAGTTATGGGGAGGAAAGTACTTTTAAACATTTTTTTTCAATTCATTATGGATCATTTCTCAATACCCTTTAACCCTTTTGCAAGTCCACCACATATGAAAGAACCTCTTTGCATCTCCAGCACTTATCTCATTGAGGCTTTTACTTATGATTTACTCTGATTTACTATAAGAGTAAATCATATTTTTAAACCTACTTTCCAAGTTGTTGCGGGGTAAGAAAGGAAAAGCCACCTTCCTTCATAGCTGGACTTGCTCAAAACGAGGTTTCTCAGACTAATTCCTATGCTTTTATTTTGCTGCCAAGGATGGGATTTTGAAACTCTGTTCAATCCACACATGCAGGTGCTCAGAGGGATAAATTGCAATCAATATATCCTTTCCTACCCATTCCATTACAACCCATTACAACACACCCCACAGCTTTCAGGCTGGATGCAGCACCTACCAGCGGTACCTACGGGACCGCCTCTCCTGGTATGTCCCACAGAGGAACTTACGGTCTTCAAACAAAAACTTCCTGAAGGTCCCAGGCCACAGAGAGGTTAGGCTGGCCTCAACTAGAGCCAGGGCTTTTTCGGCTGTGGCTCCAATCTGGTGGAACGCTCTGTCACAAGAAACTAGGGCCCTGCGGGACTTGACATCTTTCTGCAGGGCCTGCAAGACAGAGCTGTTCCACCAGGCCTTTGGCCAGGGCACAGCCTGACTCCCTTCTTTGGCAATCTTCACAGAACTTTAGTCTAATGGTAGCCATCAATTTGAGTTGAATTAATTTTAATGAAATGATTTTAGAATGTTGTATTATTTTATTGTTGTTAGCTGCTCTGAGCCCGGCTTCGGCTGGGGAGGGCGGGATATAAATAAAATTTATTATTATTATTATTATTATTATTATTATTACCAGAAAGGAAGCTGTTGGGAGAAAGTGATTTATGGAGGGCAAAGGCTGGGTGCACGATAGGTTCAATATGTCTCCCTGTCATCCCATCTTGTAAATTTGCCTCTATTCCACTGGACTGGAGAGGTTCTTTTCTGCATTGTTCTGATCTGCCTTTTAGCACTCAGATTAGTCTGGCCTTCAGCGAGTGCTTCCACGCACACTGTTGCCACTTGGTAGATAATAGCTTTTTTGTGTATTCACTCACCACTCATTTTTGTTCAGGGAAATGAATTTATATTATGCAGCATTTTGGGGTTGTATCAAACTAAGTTCTTTTCAGAGCAGACACACTGAAAAAAATGGGCCCAAGTTAGTCCTGGGACTCATCTACACAGCTGCAAATGAAACGTCATAAATGTGTTGTAAAGCACAATATGCAAATGTGACACTAGATGGCGAGAGTGAGCTATGCAAAATTCAATGTATTTTTCAAAACGTTTTTTTAAAAAAGCATTTTCACAGCGTTTTTTATATGCGTGTAGATTCCACCGTGGCGATTAATTTCAGCAGCTCTACGCAGAATATGACTAACATCACCCGCAACCCCATTTCAGTTATTGGAAGGGAATCAAGCATTTATTTATTTTTGAACACCACTGTAAATGAATTGTTCTTCTTCTCCTGTTTCTACTCTACTAGGCTGTGAGCAGACCGAGGAGGGAGACATTTATTTCTTGATCGATGGTTCGGGCAGCATCACTTGGGAGAACTTCCAAGACATGAAAACCTTCATGAACGAAATGATCGGCATGTTTCAGGTTGGAGCTGACAAAGTCCGTTTTGGGGTTGTTCAGTATGGAAGCACTCCACAAATAGAGTTCGAGATCACCCAGTACAATAGTGAAGCACAATTAAAGGAAGCCATCAAGGTGATTCAGCAGATAGGTGGCGGAACCAACACAGGAGATGCTTTAAGAGACATGCAACACCTGTTTAAAATCTCAGCTAGGAGCAACATCCCCCAGTTCCTCATTGTCATTACGGATGGAAAATCACAGGATCAGGTGACGAAAGCAGCAGAGGAACTGAGACAGCAAGGGATCGTGATCTATGCCATTGGTGTCAGGGATGCTGTTCAAGAAGAACTGGAAGATATCGCTGGGGCAAAAGACCGGATGTTTTTCGTGAACGATTTTGATTCCCTGAAGCTCATCAAGCACGATATTGCGCAGGATATCTGCTCTCCTGAGGGTAAGGTGTTTTCCTTTGGAAATAAAAGTTTTGTTTTATTAGCTTTCGAGAAAGGAAACCCGAGTCTAAAAAAGCAGATACGGACAAATCAGAGCAAGTCTTGACTTAGGTCAGGCTGGTGTACAATAACAGAAAAGGTGTTTTCCTAAATCTGAGAGTTTCAAGTTTTTGCTAAGTAAGTATTCTAAAAGACCCACATATTTGCAAGCAAATACTGCATGCATTAAGGACGTAGGTGGTGCTGTGGTCTAAACCACAGAGCCTAGGACTTGCTGATCAGAAGGTCGGTGGTTCGAATCCCTGTGACGGGGTGAGCTCCCGTTGCCCGGTCCCTGCTCCTGCCCACCTAGCAGTTTGAAAGCACGTCAAAGTGCAAATAGATAAATAGGTACTGCTCCGGCGGGAAGGTAAACGGTGTTTCTGTGCGCTGCTCTGGTTCACCAGAAGCGGCTTAGTCATGCTGGCCACATGACCCGGAAGCTGTACACCAGCTCCCTTGGCCAGTAAAGTGAGATGAGTGCCACAACCCCAGAGTCATTCGCGACTGGACCTAACGGTCAGGGGTCCCTTTATCTTTTGACTGCATGCATTAAGCCATGGGTAGGCAAACTAAGGCCTGGGGGCCGGATCCGGCCCAATCGCCTTCTAAATCCAGCCCGCGGACAGTCCGGGAATCAGTGTATTTTTACATGAGTAGAATGTGTCCTTTTATTTAAAATGCATCTCTGGGGTATTTGTGGGGCCTGCCTGGTGTTTTTACATTAGTAGAATTTGTGTTTTTTTAAAAAAATGCATCTCTGGGCTATTTGTGGGGCATAGGAATTCGTTTTTTTTCTTTCTTTCCCCCCCCCCAAATATAGTCTGGCCCTCCCCGAGGTCTGAGGGGACAGTGGACCGGCCCCCTGCTGAAAAAGTTTACTAACCCCTGCATTAAGCTAATGGTATCAGTACCAATTACATTTTTCCAGGGGAAAATCCAAGAGAATGATGACACCAGGATTATGCATATCCTTTGCTGTGTCTGCTATGAGATACCTTCTTTGTGCATGCAGAAAGGTTTGGGGACAGTGAGGGTTGCAAATCTTTTAAAAATATGAATAATGAGGAAAACCCTTCCTTAAAAACAATCAGTTCGTAAAGGTCTTCATCTACCAGCAGAAAGACAGCAAGGAGGAAGCCAGTCTAGCTTCTCTAGCGAACAAGTTTCAAAGTCTGTGAAATATACTAGGAGTCAAGAGTGGCTTTCATGCTCTTTATTCAGCTCATAGTGGTGAGGAGGAATGGAAGTTCCCCCAGAATGTCTGCTTTACAGTGGTGCCCCGCAAGACGAATGCCTCGCAAGACGGAAAACCCGCTAGACGAAAGGGTTTTCCGTTTTGGAGGTGCTTCGCAAAACGAATTTCCTATGTGCTTGCTTCGCAAGACGAAAATGTCTTGCGAGTTCCTGCAGGTTTTTTTTCCTTTTTCCCAAGCCGCTAAACCGCTTATCAGCTGATGGCTAAGCCGCTTAACAGCTGATGCTAAGCCGCTTATCAGCTGATCGTTAAGCCGCTTATCAGCTGATCGTTAAGCCGCTTATCAGCTGATCCTTAAGCCGCTTATCAGCTTATCGTTAAGCCGCTTATCAGCTGATCCACTAAGCCTGCTAAGCCCTGTAGCACTAATCCGCTAAACTGCTAATGGGCTTGCTTCGCAAGACGAAAAAACCCGCAAGACGAAGAGACTCGCGGAACGGATTCTTTTCGTCTTGCGAGGCACCACTGTATATACATTATTTACACAATGGGCCCCACATGATTGGCTAATTCCAGGATTCTCCTGTAGGCCAATCAGGTTGCGGATTCACTTCCACCTGGAGCCGGATTGGGTGGCTCCTGTGGACCAATCAGACTGCTGCATTCTGGATCCTATTGTTCTAGGGCCAATCAGACTGCTGCATTCTGAATCCTATTGTTCTAGGACCAATCAGACTGCTGCATTCTGAATCCTATTGTTCTAGAACCAATCAGACTGCTGCATTTTGGATCCTATTCAACTCAGGTCTGGGAGGAGACACAGAGAAGGCCCGTATATACAGTGTGAGAGGGAATTGTGCTTCCATAATTTTTTGACTTCACAAGCACAGAAAAGAAACACAATTGGCTGTTCCTCCTTGGTCTGCATCTGGTGTAGTTTTCGTACTTGCATTTACCAGGCAAAAACCCCCAAGAACCTGGCTGCTATGTAAAGTGCGAAGCAGGTCTATTTGTTTCATATTGGAGAGAGAATGACTTTAAAATTCTACATCATCAATCCTCCATGTTTTGAAGGAAACTTGGGGCGAAATCCCATAACATTAAACAGCTGAAAGTCAGGAATGCAAAGCTGAGCCACAGTCTAAATTCTGGAAAAAAATCTATTAATTTCTATTAAGTCATGTGGTAAGAATGACTTCAGAGCAAACCACAGTCCACATTAGACAAGTGCTGAATATAATTAGTAGAAACATACATTTGCCGTATTTGTCACCTAACAAAAGCAATGCTCATTTATCATATTTACTTCTACTTATGTTTTAAACGAACATGAGATCAGATCATACTCACTTTTTCATGCTTCTGTGAAAAGACTGATGCTAAAGATGCTTTCTGTAGCTTGTGGCGGTGCATTACCTAGAACACCAGTCTTCAACAGATGGATCCTTGCCCACAAATATGTCACACCTTGAATTAATGGCACATTTTTTGAAGCCTTCTCAGACACTGAAGAACTGAGGGGGGGAGAGACTTTCTGCAGGCAATTTTCCACCTGCTTTGCCCCCCAGAGCCTTTCCCAGACCATGACTTTGAGAAGAGCAGAAGCAGCTGGGAAGAGAGCAGTTTAGGGATAGTTTTAGTTGTGTGTCCTTGTTTCTCAGTTTGATCTTTTTACATGGTTATGTATGTTTTGTGATATTTTATGCATTGTGATTTGCTGTTGTTTTATTGACTATAGATTAATAATTCTTTATAGTAATTGTTAAGTGTAAACTGTTTAATTATTATTTGCTGATGTTTAATTTTACTGTTTACATTGGATTCTTTAGAGTCTTGTTTAAACATTTCATTGATCTGGCGATAATGTAACCAATCATTAACATATTCTTTAATTTCTTCATATGGTTTCAGTTTCCATTTACTTCTTTCCATATATATTAATTTCCCATATGTTATCCATTTCCCACTCATATTGACCTTTCTTACACTCATCGCTACTACTATTGGATTCTAAGGGATTGTTGAATATTACACTATTTGATATTAGTTGTTTATTTTAAAGTTATTGTGACTTTCTATATTGGATCAGATTGTTACTATTAATGTTTGATAATTATTATTGTGTGTGTTGGAAGCCGTCCAGAGTGGGCGGGGTATAAATAATAATAATAATAATAATAATAATAATAATAATAATATACCCTTATTTTCTCTCCCCCCCCTTTCAGTATGTAGACAATTGCTAGCGGACATTATTTTGCTGATTGATTCTTCTGAAAGCATGGATGACGATCAGTTTGCCAAGACGAAGGAATTCATTCACTTGATTGTCAATGGGTCTGATGTTGGAGCTGACAAGGTCCACATTGGAGTGCTCCAGTTCAGCACTAATCTAAAAGAAGAGTTCCTACTCAACCAGTATGACAACAAGGCTGACTTGAGGAGCGCTATAACCAATATGAAGCAGATTAAAGAAGGAACAAACACTGGGAACGCTCTAAAACTTACTCTTGAGTACTTTGACACACCAAAAGGAGGGCGTCCAGGCATTAAGCAACATCTGATCGTGGTCACAGACGGAAAATCTAATGATGAAGTTGGAATCCCTGCCAGAGCCCTTAGGGACAAAGGCGTCACCATATATGCCATCGGGGTAGTCAAAGCCAATGACACCCAGCTTTTGGAGATTGCTGGTGCACAGGAGAGAGTGTTTTCTGAGGATAGTTTTGACTCCCTCCAGTTTTTGGACAAGACTATTTTGCTTGAAATATGCAATGCCAAGCAAGGTTAGTGACCACACCTAAATGACGGAACTCCCTGCCTTCTCTCCCAGCGTTTCATTGTCTAGCAAATACTTTTGAAAAATTGAGCAAATTTTAACAGGGCCGGCTCTACCGTTCGGTATGTTGTTGGAGGACAGTTCTGCTTTCCCTTTCGAGCCTGTTACCCCCAGGTGTTCCACTCAACAGACACAATGACAAGGCTGACCTGAGCAAAGCTATATTTGATGGCAGTAAGATCTGCTCGGTCCCTGCTCCTGCTAACCTAGCAGTTCGAAAGCACGTCAAAGTGCAAGTAGATAAATAGGTACCACTCCGGCGGGAAGGTAAACGGCGTTTCCGTGCGCTGCTCTGGTTTCGCCAGAAGCGGCTTAGTCATGCTGGCCACATGACCCGGAAGCTGTACGCCAGCTCCTTCGGCCAATAAAGCGAGATGAGCGAAGCAACCCCAGAGTCGGTCACGACTGGACCTAATGGTCAGGGGCCCCTTTACCTTTAAGATCTGCTAGGTTTGATCTACTTGTCAGTCCAGTTGGCTTGTGGAATTGGAGCACCACCTTCGTGTTACGCAGCAAAATAACTCGAGCCACTCCTGTGTATATAACCTGCCAGTAGGGTAGATTAGATGCTAAGGACAAGTTTCTTGTATCTTGAATCATTCCATATATTAGGGCTGGAGTCAGGCGTAGGTCAGAAACAAAACAATCAATTACCCGAGGCCAGGGAAGTTAATTCTTTATTCAAGGAAACAAACCACAGCTCAGCCCTTGTGGTCTCAGCAACGCTTTCTAAGAGGTCTTCCCTGATGAAGCAGTTACGAGGACTGAAGGTCTACCTAGTACTCACTAGAATTCCTCCTCTACAGGGTTTTCCCCACACAATCTTGGGCTGCGTCTGTGCACAACCACCCTATTCTCTGCCCGTTTCATTTCTCTGCACATTCGAGGAGACCAGAGAGAAGGGGAGCTGGTCTCAGCAGGAGGGGGAGACTCCCTGGATTCTTCAGCAGTCTCCCTCTTTGTTGCCTGTCTCCATTCCTCTCCAGACCCCGCTTCTGCCTCTGAACTCTGCTCTTCCACAGCCTCTTCCTGCTCACCAAACCCTGATACCTCTTCAGCTGGCTCTGAGTCTTCTTCCCCTGGGGGGTTCCCCAGCTGGTGTTACCTACTGCTCCTGTGTATCCAGCCAGTCCATGACAGTGTAGAAGGAGGAGTTTGGCTTCTTCTGCTTCTGTTAGGAACACAGAAAGCTGCCTTATACTGAGTCAGATGCAGGTGGCGCTGTGGTCTAAACCACTGAGCCTCTTGGGCTTGCTGATCAGAAGGTTAGTGGTTTGAATCCACGCAATGGGATGAGCTCCTGTTCCTCTGTCCCAGCTCCTGCCAACCTAGTAGTTTGAAAACACACCAGTGCAAGTAAATAAATAGGTACCGCTGCGGTGGGAAGGTAAATGGCATTTTTGTGCACTCTGGCTTCCATCATGGTGTTCTGTTGTGCCAGAAGTGGTTTAGGCATGCTGACCACATGACCCAGAAAGAAGTCTGTGGAAAAACGCTGGCTTCCTTGGCCTGAAAGAGAGATGAGCGCCGCAACCCCATATTCGCCTTTGACTGGACTTAACCGTCTAGGGGTCCTTTACCTTTACCTTTACCTTTACTGTACTGAGTCAGAGCATTAGTCTATATAGCTCAGTTTCGTCTACACTGACCAACAGTGGCATTCCAGAGATTTGGGCAGGAGTCTTTCCTAGCGCTTCCTGGAGATGCCAAAATTTGAAACTGGGGGCTTTTGCATGCAAAGGCAGATGTTCTATCACTGAGCCACAGGCTCTTCCTCGATTACCCCTGGATGGCAAGCGCACCAGAGAAAAACTCGCTCTTCATTAAAACAGTTAAAAATAAAGGAATCCTATCCTCCTTTGGGACGCGGGTGGTGCTGTGGGTTAAACCACTGATCCTAGGACTTGCTGATCAGAAGGTTGGCGGTTCAAATCCCCGTGACAGGGTGAGCTCCCATTGCTCGGTCCCTGCTCCTTCCAACCTAGCAGTTCGAAAGCACGTCAAAGTGCAAGTAGATAAATAGGTACTGCTCCGGCGGGAAGGTAAACGGCGTTTCTGTGCGCTGCTCTGGTTCGCCAGAAGCGGCTTAGTCATGCTGGCCACATGACCCGGAAGCTGTACGCCGGCTCACTTGGCCAATAAAGCGAGATGAGCGCTGCAACCCCAGAGTCGGCCACGACTGGACCTAATGGTCAGGGGTCCCTTTACCTTTTTATCCTCCTTTATGTTTAATTACTTTATGCCGCTTAAAAAAAAAAATCATTTAAAGGAGGGTGCTTAACAGTTAACAAAGGGGACCAAAGAAAAACTTTCTGATTTCATTTATTCATTGAATTTATATACCGCCCTATACCCGGAAGTCTCAGGGTGGTTCATAGAACAAGATCAACATAAAAACCGCAATATATGTAATCAAAATAAAAACAGCAACCCAATAACACCCCCCTCAAAAAAAGAGCCACATTTTAAAAGGTCATAGAATGTCAATCAGATCAACCAAAGGCCTGGTTAAAAAGGAATGTTTTTGCCTGGCACCTAAAGGTGTATAATGAAGGCGCCAGGCGAACTTCCCTGGGGAGAGCATTCCACAGATGGGGAGCCACTGCAGAGAAGACCCTGTTCTCGTGTTGCCACCCTCTGCACCTCTCGAGGAGGGGGCACACGAAGGAGGGCCTCAGAAAATGATCCCAGGGTCCGGGTAGGTGATGGAAGAGGGAGAGTCAAAATCCATTTATAACAGTATCACTTTCTTCTTTCAACGGCAGAGTGCAAACAAACGGAAGTTGCTGATATCATCTTCGTAGTGCACGGTTCGAGAGGCGTTACAGAATTGCAGTTCCAGGCAGTTCTGCAGCTCATGGAAGCCATTGTGAACGACACGGTGATGGGAAAAGACAACGTTCAGTTTGGGGCCATTGTCTACGGCACTGTCCCCGAAGAGCAGTTCCCGCTGGCTCAGTATTCCACAAAAAATCAGGTCAGAGAAGCCATTTCTAAGCTAAGGCCTCTGGGACAGTCCGCCTTTACAGCGAGGGCTCTGAATTTCGCGAGGCAGAGGTTTGACGCAGCCTACGGTGGCCGGGCCTCATCCCTTGGCATCACACGGATCATTGTGCTTATCACTGATGAGCCCACCGCACCGACCGATGGGCGCCATCTTCTATCAGCCGTGCAGGCTTTGAGGCAAGAAGGCATCCGGGTCATTGCTATTGGCATAGATGGCGCCAGCAGAACAGAACTTGAAGAGATTGTTGGCGATAAGGGAAGGTGGTTTTACACTTCAAGTTATAGCGCACTGGGGAGATTACATGAGAACATCACTAGTGAAATATGTGACGGATCAAAGCCAGGTAACTGGAATCCTCGAAATGAACTTTATACAAAACTATTTTATTTATAATAATTTTCTTATTGGATTTTCAATAAATATATATACATATATATATACTTCAATACATATCAAACTTATCTTTTCCCGACTTCCCAACCTATTTTCCGAGGCGTTTTAATTTCTCCCCCTCTGCTGCACATTGCGTTCTGTTTCTTTTATCAACTCATCAATACTGTATTCTCTAATTCCTTTTGTTGCCCATATTTCAAATCCTGCTCAAAAATGGCTTCCATCAATCAGCATTAGATTCTCTTATTTTGGCTGTTAACTCTGCCAATTCTGCAGAGCCCTGTTGTTACATACATAAACAACTTCATCGTCTGTTTTTGAACTTTCCTATAATCCCCAAAAGGAAAGCTTTCTTTTTTTCTTTTTTCTTTTTTGTATAATTACTTTGAACATCTTCTTTATCTCATTATATATCATTTCCCCAAAAGCCCTCGCTTTCTTGCAAGTCCACTACATATGAAAAAGGGTGCTATCTACCTGTTTGCATTTCCAGCAATTATTCACAACCTTCTTATACATTTTGACTAATTTGTTAGGAGTTAAATACCACCTTTACATCATTTTCATATAATTTTCTTCTGGAGTGCAACATGCAGTGTGTGCACAACTATTTTATTATTAATAGCATGTCGGTTGGTTACCTTGCTGTAAAGTGTGTTTGAACGTACTTCTGTGTTCTGTTGTTATTATTTTCAATATTTATTAGTCACTTTACTAATAGAAATACTAGAAACATAAGCAATCAATACCTGATGAAACCTCAAAAACCTCAGGAACAGCAAGTGAATGGGGGAATTTAGGTGATGCTGCAGGAATAATAATAATAATAATAATAATAATAATAATAATAATAATAATATTTGTGTATATGCCACCCATCTGACTGGGTTGCCCAGCCACTCTGGGCAGCTCCCCACAAATATTAATAAAAACACAATACAGTTGTACCTTGGAAGACGAATGGAATCCGTTTTGGAAGTCCGTTCAATTTCCAAAACATTTGAAAACAAAATTGTGGCTTCTAATTGGCTGTAGAAAGCTCCTTCAGCCAATCAGAAGCCACAGAAGCCCCATTGGACATTCAGGTTCCAAAAGAACATTTGCAAACTGGAACAATCAATTTTGGGTTTGTGGCGTTTGGGAGCCGAAATGTTCCAGGGCGTTCGACAACCAAAGTACGACTGTACAGTGGTACCTCAGGTTACAGACGCTTCAGGTTACAGACTCCACTAACCCAGAAATAGTACCTCAGGTTAAGAACTTTGCTTCAGGATGAGAACAGAAATTGTGCTCCGGCAGCGCGGCAGAAGCAGGAGGCCCCATTAGCTAAAGTGGTGCTTCAGTTTAAGAACAGTTTCAGGTTAAGAACAGACCTCCGGACCAAATTACGTACTTAACCAGAGGTACCACTGTACTTCTGCAGTCGCTTGCTTCTGTTTCCAACAGATGGCAGTCTATTCTCAGTCTTGAAGAGCTGACTCTGAAAACTAGCTCCTTAGCCAAATTAAGAAGAGCTCATGTGCGACTGGAAAATGAGTGATTATTATATATTTTATATATTTTATATATATCAGTAAGAGAGTGAGAAGTGGAATGAAATGTGGCTTGGGTACAAACTCAGCTTACAAGGACAACTGTCTCATGATAGCTAGGTTTTGCAGGCTGAGTTCATCTGCACAGAACACAAGTTTAAGGTTTGTTCACTTACTTCTCAATTAGGAATCCTAAATGCCTTTTGAGAGAGTGGCAAGTACAGTGGTACCTCGGAAGTCAAATGGAATCCTTTCCGGAAGTCCATTCAACTTCCAAAATGTTTGGGAACCAAGGCGCGTCTTCCGATTGGCTGAAGGAAGCTCCAGCAGCCAACCCAAAGCCGCAGAAGCCACACCGGACATTTGGGTTCCAAAGAACGTTCACAAACCAGAACACACTTCTGGGTTTGCAGCCAAAACGTTCAATTCGCAAGGCGTTTAGGATCCAAGGTATGACTCTACAAGGTAAGCGTGCCCCAGACACATGATTTCCACAATCCCACCCTCCTTTTTTGAGTGGGAAAGATCACTTAAGTTGGAAATTACAGGCGTACACATGTTGGTTAAACAAAGTCCACCCCAAATCACCTGATACTTTTAATGTATAGTGAGAGGATTTGAATGTGTGAACCAGCCCTTAGAAGGTGCGTCATGATGATAAGCAAGTCCTAAACCCCCAAAGAGTTTCACGTTGCTCCCTAGTCAAGCTTTGATAGTTCAACGAATTTCTCTTGGGATAAAAGTAATAACTAACTTAATAAGCCTGTAGCTTCTAGAGACATGAGGCTAACCAATTTCTTGTGATTTTCTGATTTCTGATGCCTGTTTACTGAGGATGAAAACTAAAAGCAGGACAAGGAGATTAAATGAAAGGTCAACAAGTCAAAAATTTCAGTCTGAGTCTAACCATGACTTTAGCACAGCATAGACTCATTTCTCACAAGCAAATTGGGTTTTTCTCCCCTCTGCAGCTTGTAGCACCGAAGAGGCCGACCTTGTGTTTTTGATTGACAGTTCCGCAAGCATATCGCCAAAGAATTTCTCAACAATGAAGACATTTATGAAGGAAATCGTAGACAGCTTCCTCATCGCTCAGGACAAAGTCCGGATTGGGGTGGCCCAGTACAGCAAAAATCCCCAGAAAGAATTTTATCTCAACGAGTTTGACACCGACGTTGCTATCAAGGGGAAAATTGACAACATCACCCAGTTAAAAGCCAGCACCTACACTGGCAAGGGCTTGAGGTTTGTCAAGAGCTTTTTCGAACCCATCAACGGAGGCCGTAAAAACAAAGATGTCCTGCAGTCGCTAATTGTCATCACGGATGGGAAGTCCAATGACTCTGTGGACGAGGCGGCTGCTGCCCTGAGAAACGACGGGATCCACATTTTTGCTATAGGAATAGGGACAACCAATTCTTTTGAGTTGGTTCGAATCGCTGGCGATGCTCAAAGAGTGTTTGTGGTGCAGAACTTTGAAGTGTTGCAAACCATTGAAAGGAAAATTGTCAAAGAGGTCTGCAAACCTGGAGACCTGCCTAGGTGGGGTAAGTTTTCAGCAATTTTGTATGTGTGTTTTTAATGTATACTGTATTTTTTGCTCTATAAGACTCACGTTTTCCCTCCTAAAAAGTAAGGGGAAATGTGTGTGCATCTTATGGAGTGAATGCAGGCTGTGCAGCTATCCCAGAAGCCAGAACAGCAAGAGGGATCGCTGCTTTCGCTGCACAGCGATCCCTCTTGCTGTTCTGGCTTCTGAGATTCATAATATTTTTTTTCTTGTTTTCCTCCTCCAAAAACTAGGTGCGTCTTGTGGTCTGGTGCATCTTATAGAGCGAAAAATACGGTACTTTCTTTCTAGCATAGGAACGTTGGCCATTATTCCCCGTTAACAGCAGTGTCGGATTATCAAATAGGCAGAGCAGGTATCCTGCCTTTTGGGTTCCCGTGACAACGGGGCCTAACCTTCCTCACGGTTGTTGTCGGATTTGAATGAGGAGGAGGAGCGGACTATGTATGCCGCCTTGAGCTCCTTGAAGAACAAGGTGGGATAGAAACGCATAAATAAATAAGTTGCAAGTAGACATGTGTGCAAATTCTGCCTGGACGTGTCCATGTTCCTCACAGGAGTGACTTCTGAAACAGTTTCTGTAGATTAAAATCGGGATAGCAGAATCAGGCTTCAACCCCATGTTTGCTTTGCGGGATGACAATCTGAGCTTCCTATTTCTGTTCAGAGAATGATGACAGCTCAAATCAGGCCGATTTATGTCTGGTGTGCAAAGAAAGCGATGGAAGAAATGACCCAAGCCATTGGTTAAACAGGTTTGGAATCTGCAGGAGTTTCAGAAAGAAGCTGGACAGTTTTTCAGTTAGGAATCTTTCCCTCTCTTTAACCCGAAAGCTGTTTGGCTGGAACCTTGGAGCCATGATGAATACAGCCTGTCGCAAGCAAAACGTTTCTAAGCATTTGTACAGCCCAGATGTTTGAGAAACAGATGTGCAGAAAGAAGCTGTGAAGCCTTAACTGGCCTGGGGACTAAGGACCTGCTAAAAAGGAATTGCAGAATGGTTCCACAGCCCCTCCTAGCGGTCTGCATATTATCACTGTCATTTTTAATACTTGGATTTCTTTCCAGTCCTTTACCGTAAGATCCCACAGTGGGTCACAACAAAATAAAAATAGAAAAGTAATATCAGGGTCACAGGAGCTGGTTTCTGCCCAACTTTGGGGGGGGCTGGGGGGGCTGGGTATGCATGCGTGACGTCACGAGGCAGAAGGAGGCCTGGCGGTGTTCCACTCTATCCCCCAAACCCAAATCAAATCCCTTCAGCACTGGCTCTCTGGGACAGTTGAGGGCAAGGCAGCCTTTCTTGCTAACAGTGGTGCAGGCTGTTGGCCTAGATGGGCCTTTGACCCAACAAAGTTGGGCTGTTCCTTGGTTCTTATCTATCCTTATGTAGCTTGGAATTAGCAAGTACCCAGACTTTCCTGTCTAAATAAATACTGGTCTGGTCTAGTTTGTGGAGAGAGAGAGACTCTGAATCTTAAATAAAACCTGGGCCGAAACTTTTCTAGATTCTAGTATTTTAGAACTGGGAGGAAAAAACAGATGGAATCTAGACAAATATAAAAACCGTTCTGAAAATGCTTTGTAAAAAAGTGTTTTTTAAAAATACATTGAATTTTCCATAAGGCTCATCATCTCCATCTAGTGTCACATTGTATATTGCATGTAAAACGCACTTAAAACGTTATATTTGCAGCTGCATAGCTGAGTCCAGAGTGGACTTTTAAACATTATAACACCCAGTGCTATTTTTCTAGAAAAAGAGGTTGCAGAGTTCACCACAAACACCTCCATTGTTTTCTAATACAGTGGAACCTTGGTTCTCGAACGCCTTAGTACTTGAACATTTCGGCTCCCAAACATCGAAAACCCGGAAGTAAGTGTTCCGGTTTTCGAACGATTTTCAGAAACCAAACATCTGATGCGGTTGTCGGCTATTGTTTCCGGGGCGCTTGCACCAGTTGGAAGCCATGCCTTGGTTTTTGAACGTTTCAGAAGTCGAATGGGCTTCCACAATGGATTACGTTCGAGAACCAAGGTACCATTGTAATGGCAAGGTGCCCACCTGAGAGGTGCTCAGTTCCTGCGAGTTCCTGCTAGAAAAAGCCCTGAAATAAGCAATATGATTTCTTTTTTTTTTGAGGGGGCGGCGGCAGAATTGGTACTGCAAGTGGGTGTCAAACATTTTCTTTGAAGAAAAATGTGTGAAATGGCCAAGGATGGGTTAACTCCAGTTCCACGAAGAAGGCAACTCAAAGCCAAAACTACAGCAATTCAATCTGGTCTTTGACATTCTGCTCCAGTGGCCCAGAGAGTCTCATTTCATCTAGAGGCTAATAACTTCCTTCCAGGCCTAAGTTTGTAGTTAGAAGAAGTGTTGAAGCACAGCGATATGAGCAGCGGCAGCCAGAGATCTAATCTTGAACTTGTTTCTTTGGAGCAGAGCTAGTCCAATTGCATCTGATTACTTTTGGAATGACAAGGACCATAAATGCTTCTCACACACTCTCTCTCTTCTGGTCTCCTGCGACAGAAGATTCCTAAACAACCACAATTTTATTGTTCTCCCCTGCCCTTCCAAATTAAAACACAATTCTATGTTCCGGTCAGAGTGGTCATTTAATGTATCATGAAATAGGAGGGATGTACACAGATCCAGTTTGGGGAAGGAATACTTGATACGGCCTTTAAACAGCAGCCTTGTTTTGTGCTCCTGAGATATACAGCATGGGATCTTTCCTTTGCAAAAAAGGAACGCAAGGATACCAGGATAAACAACCAGACCAAAAATGAAGAGTTCAAAGCTCTATTTCCTAACCAAATGTTGCAGCAAGGATATTTGCTCTCCGATGGAGTTACCCTGGAAAAGTGGAATTATTCTGCATAGCAGAATTAACCCTAATCCACCCGTGCCCCAAAGATGGTGGGTAGTCACACATAGGGTTGCTGCCCGTCTTTATAAAAATATGATGGTCCTTTTTGGGGGGAGAAAAGTGTCCCCTGCCCTGTTTAGACCGCAAACAAGACCTATCCAAGCTCCTCCTCCTCTTCAAACTGCCCGGGCAGAGGGTGGGTCCAGTGCGACGAGGCAAGCGAGAGCCTGAGTGTGCGTTTGTGCAGGCAGAGGGGGCGCTACGAGGAGGGGAGCTGAGAGTGAGAGTTATCGCAATATGAGAGCAGAGAGTGGGGTGGGGCTGGGAGGAGAAGTTTGAGAGAGTTTTTGCGTGGGCAGAGGGTGGGTCACAGAGAGCGAGAGAGGTGGGGTTGCAGTGCATTGGCTTGCTATGGTAAAGGTAAAGGTAAAGGGACCCCTGACCATTAGGTCCAGTCGTGTCCGACTCTGGGGTTGCGGAGCTCATCTCGCTTTATTGGCCGAGGGAGCCAGCGTACAGCTTCCGGGTCATGTGGCCACCATGACTAAGCCGCTTCTGGCAAACCAGAGCAGCGCACGGAAACGCCATTTACCTTCCCGCCGGAGCGGTACCTATTTATCTACTTGCACTTTGATGTGCTTTTGAACTGCTAGGTTGGCAGGAGCAGGGACCGAGCAACGGGAGCTCACCCCGTCGCAGGGATTCGAACGTTTGACCTTCTGATCAGCAAGCCCAAGAAGCTCTGTGGTTTAACCCACAGCGCCACCCAATAATAATAATAATTTATTATTTATACCCTGCCCATCTGGCTGAGTTTCCCCAGCCCCTCTGGGTGGCTCCCAATCAAGTGTTAAAAAGAGTACAGCATTAAATATTAAAAACGTCCCTAAACTTCCCTAAGAGTCTTGGGTTTTGTCCAGGTGGGGACGACGACGGGTGGGTCAGAGAGCATGAGGGGCGGTTTGCACAGCCCTGGTGGACAGTGGGGAGAAAGAGAGTTTTTGTGCAGAGAGAGGTGGGTGGATCAGGGATGAAGACTCAAATTTTAAAGCAAGCTCCTGCAGATGCTCCATTGCTTCGTATGATCCGTGCTGCCACAAAAGAGAGAGATAAATTACAGCTGTATTGAAAATGTCACCACCAAGAAACATGATGCACGCATAGCTTGGCCTGGTTCACTATGTGGACTTTGTAAGCGTTAGATGTTGCTCTAGGCAAGCATGGGTTTTGTTTCGTTAAGGATCTGGAAACTGAACCAGTACGTGCAGCAGAGTCTTTTGTTTTGTTTTGATCCACGCTGGAGCCCAGAACTGGTGGATCTGTGCAGAAAGCCAACACAGTTACTGTTATGTACTGAAGTTCTCACCCTGGGCCAGCAGGGGGATACTGTAGATAGTTTTCACTCAGGTCCACATATGCAAATAAGGGATTGAAAGTGATGTTCAGTGATTGGATAGTTACAGAAAATGGTTACTGTTGCATTGTAGTGGAGCTCTATATAAGCAGGCTGGCTGAACCCTTCAGTTCAGTTCTGTTCTGGCCTGTGAATAGACAAGAGCTGTTTGAAGAATCGCTGTGTTGTCTGATATGCTCACCCACAACTTAACAGTTACAGATGGTGAAGAACATCTCATTGAAGGCGGATCTACACTTGTCATTTATAACATTAAAAATGGGTTATTAAAACGTGACACCAGAGGGCGCTGCAGAGCAATGGAAAGCTGCTATTCAGTGTTCCAAACACTATTCAATATGATGTTCTATAAGATCAGCACAGATCCAGCCTGATACTACTTTGGCAGTAGTATCGGCACTAGATTTTCTGTTCCTTTATTTCATTTATATCCCAGCTTAGGAGCTCAAGGTGGCACGTGTGGTCCTCTCCCCCTCCTCATTTAACCTCCACAACAGCCCTGTGAGGTAGGTCAGGCTGAGAGGCAGTGTCCCAGTGAACTTCATGGCTGAGTGAGGATTCGAACCCTGGTCTCCCAGGTCCTAGCACAACCCCTCCACTGCACTGTCCCCTATTCTGCCCTTTGCTCTCCCTAGGTTTCAATATACTGAAATATCTTGGGACCATTTGATGTGTCCTCTTGCAGCAAGAATTCATGGCAGAGCTTGCTGCTGCTGCTGCTGCGGTTGGAAGCAGAACAAACTGTCCTGTCAAGCATCTCAGTCCTCGCTGGCAGTTAGGTATGGCTTCTCATAAAACCTCAGCCAGCAGAAGCCAACGAGTCATTGTCTGATTCAATGCAAACAGTTTACATTAGCTGAATTCCCAGGTGCTCTCAGGAGAATTTCGTCCTTTGAATTCTCAGCATCTTACCCCTCCTACACCCAGTGCTGATTGAGAAGATCGCAATGAACTTGTGTTTCCTAATTATCTGCCTTCCTGACTGTTTATTCTCCCGCTCCTCTTTACAGACTGCAACATGGACATTTCAGTCGGGGTCGATTTTTCGGAGCGTGTGAGGCCTGCCTCTGCCTTGCCTTTGAAGCAGAGAATGCAAGTCTATTTGCCCCGCCTCTTTCAGCAAATGGGCTCCGTGATCAATATCAGTTGCGTCGCCGAGTCTCCTGTCAACATCAGGTTTAGGTACCAAGTGTTTTCTGATAGCGGCCAGGCCTTGTTTGACTCCAACTTTGAAGCCTACAATGACGAGATCGTTCAGAAATTCTTGGCCGTACAAACAACAGTGGACACTTACTTGAATGCAGGCTTCCTGCAGTCCCTTTGGGACAGATCTCTCAGCCTGGCCTCCGCTAGAGTAAAGGTAATAGGGTTTTTTGGGGGGTGGGTCTGCTTTTATGTGTGATGGGCAATGCATCAAAACACCAGCCAATTGCAGTGGACTTTGAGCTGTTCCTTGCTGTGTTCCAGCCATGCCAAATCACCCCCCGACAATTTGTATGCTGCAGGAACAAAAGTGGCTATAAAAATATTATATAAAGGCACGATCCAGTCCTTTGGGCAGCTGCTGGGTGGTACTAGGGCTGCATCCCCATCTCTGAACAGCAACCAAGCCAGGGAGTCCACAGACCTCAGCCATCACAATGGCTGCATTGTGATGGTGGAGGTGGTCAAAAATCCAGCAGTCAGATAAGCCTGGTATTAAACACTGTGGCATTTCTGGTTTTGATGAGCCACTTTACCCATCCCTCACTGCTACCTGCAGGAATCCTGTGGCTCAGTAGTAGAGAGCATCTGTTTTTCATGGAGAAGACCCCAGATTCAATCCCAGGCATCTCTAGGTACAAAGACTCCTTACCTGGAGACCCTCTGTGGACAATACGCAGCTCGGCGGACCAGAGATCTGATTCAGTATGAAGCAACTTCTTATATTCCTATAAATGAGACCTCCTTGGCTCCACCTGGGTCAGAGATAGTGGCTTATCACCAGACTTTATAACATCCTCCTCCCAATTAGTGGTGTGGTGCTGTGGGTTAAACCACAGAGCCTAGGACTTGCCGATCAGAAGGTCGGCAGTTCGAATCCCCGCAACGGGGTGAGCTCCCGTTGCTCCGTCCCTGCTCCTGCCCACCTAGCAGTTCGAAAGCACGTAAAAGTGCAAGTAGACAAATAGGTACCGCTCTGGCGGGAAGGTAAACGGCGTTTCCGTGCACTGCTCTGGTTCGCCAGAAGCTGCTTAGTCCTGCTGGCCACATGACCTGGAAGCTGTACTCCGGCTCCCTCGGCCCATAAAGCGAGATGAGCGCTGCAACCCCAGAGTCGGTCACGACTGGACCTAATGGTCAGGGCTCCCTTTACTAATTTGTATTATGTTCTGGTGTAAAAAAAGATTTTTTTAAAAGTTAAAGGTCCCCTGGATGGTTAAGTCCAGTCAAAGGTGACTATGGGGTTGCGACGATCCTCTCGCTTTCAGGCCAAGGGAGCTGGCCTTTGTCTGCAGACAGCTTTCCGGGTGCTGTAGCCAGCATGACTAAACTGCTTCTGGTGCTATGGGACGCTGTGATGAAAACCAGAGTGCATGGAAACGCTGTTTACCTTCCCGCCGCAGTGGCACCTTTTTATCTACTTGCACTGGTGTGCTTTCGAACTGCTAGGTTGGCAGGAGATGGGACAGAGCAATGGGAGCTCACCCCGTTGTGCGGATTCGAACTGCCGACCTTCCGATCGGCAAGCCCAAGAGGTTCGGTGGTTCAGACCACAGCGCCACCTGTGTCCCTTTTCTGGTGTACCGCAGCCTCACATAATGTTTCTTAAACTTGTCTTTTCAGCTATACATATTATATCAAACACAATCAACAATAAGGCGTGCAATATGAAAATATTGTAACATACTTCTGAGAACAGATAAAAGTAGGACAACGAACATTAATGCTACAGACCGGTTATAGATCTGTATCAACCATGAAGTCTTTTTTAGATATATCCCAATTGGTCCTTGGGAAAGGTTTATTTAATAAACGTTCTCTTGTCCTGGGAAGAATTTCCCTTTTTCAAAACAATATATCATCCAATTGGCATTCTGGAGAATGGCCTCTCAACAACAACAGCAACAAGAAGAAGATAATAATTTATTCTTTATATGCCGCCCATCTGACTGGGTTAACCCAGTCAAAATGAAACTTCTCAGCTAAAAGTCTTCTTATCAGCCACTAAGGAATCACTTGGACGTCCCCCAAAGAATACTGTTTACATTGTTCATTGTCCTATTTTTATGTGCTTGTCCATTGCAAGTGTATGTTTGTATTGGTGGTTCTTAACTGCTGGTTGTTTTTGATACATAGGAGCCCTCATTGCATATGGCAGTGGTTTTCAACTGGTGTGCTGTGGCACCCTGGGGTGCCTTGAATGATGGTCAGGGGTGCCACGGGCAACACTGGCCTCTGTCCCTCTTTCCTTCCCTCCCTTCCTCTGATGCCCGCTCGCGTCTCTGCCTCCCAAAGGCTTGCACAGCTGTTTGTTGCAGCAGCCCTGGCTACAAACTTTGCAGGCGAATGGTGCCTCTGGGGCTGGCCAGGGGGTGCTGGTTGCCAGGAGCTGAGGCAGACTTGAAGTAAGCAAGCAGGCAAGAGAGCCCAGCATGTCAGTCTGCCAGTCTGTTGGGAATGGACAGACAAGTCCCAGGCCCCTGTGGGGCAGTGTGAGGAGGCACCTGTTATGTGCCGGCATGGTTGCTCGAGAGTGAACAGGCAAGACTCCCACCGGTCTTTTCCAGGCTTTATTAGCTGTACAAAAACATTTACAGTGCAGAGCATCTCAAGTCCATGTCTGCTCAGTCGCTAGCAGAATCTGGGAGTGGGCGGTCCTTAAACTTCCCCCAGCATAAGAGTCTTTTAACCCCCATCCTTCTCCTCTCCTCTCTGCGCATAAACGGACTGCGCAAAGAGGGCGTTGGCAAAGGGGGACTTGCCTCTCCCCCGCTTTGCTCAGGCTCGGTGTTGTGGCTCTCTAGCATCTTCCGAGCCCTGCATCCCCCACTGGAGGTGGGGCTTCCCTCCTCGCCAGAGGAAGAGCTGCTTCGCACGATCTTCGGAGGCTCCCTGTAACCCAACTGCCCTTCCACCTCTCGCCTCTGAGCTGATGGCAGTTCCCTGACAGCACCTCTCTTTGGGGCAGGGGGGCAGCTGAGAGGCCACAGGCTGCAGCAGCAGGTGCCTGGAGGACTCCCAAGGAGAAGGGAAAGGAGAGGAGGCTGTGGGAACACTTCACAAGGGAGGGTGTTCGAAAAAGGGTGAGAGGCTGCCAGCTACAGGCAAGGGGTGATGTAACTGGGCTCCTGAGCCCCACAGGGGTGCCGCAGAAAAAATGCAGTTGGTCAAGGGAGCCGCAGACTCAAAAAGGTTGAAAACCTCTGGCATGTGGTAATGGCCACATCCCTTTTGCCATTCTCATTGCTATCGTTTCATCACAGGTTCTCTTAGTTTTTTCTGATGGGCCAGATGACAGCATAGAAGTGCTCAAAACAACAGCAGATGGTCTTCGCAGGAAAGGTACATAGTTGCTAGAAAACATTTCCGCGTGGTGGTACCCGAGACATTGTGCTCATAAGCAGAGCCAGGAGCAGAAGAAAGGATGCATTGATGCTTTTGAGCCTGCCTTGCTTATTCCTCCTGCCCTTTATCTTCTGATAACCAAAATGTGCGACATTTTCATCCATATGGGAGGCATTCCGTAAAGGCTGACCGTCTTGCGCAGACGGCCAGGACACAAACAGAACTTCCTGTGATAGTTTTATGCTGACACTAACATTTCAGAAACACCACACTGTTGATGCCTGATCATTGTCCAGCTGGGTTGTCCAAAATTAAGAGAGAGCTAATATGTTCCCCGAGACTTTGGAGTTCGGAAAATTCGGTTACGAATTATCTGGAATCCTCAAAGCATGTTGACGTGGCTTCAGCTTAAGGGATCAGATGCAGTGGGGGTGTACACATTTGGGTCCTCAAAAAGAAAAAAGAAGAAATCAATCATCTGTCTTAAAAGTTTCCAAAATAAGGAGAATGAAGGCAGCTGCTGTAGAATAGGTGTCAGAGATAGGTGTCAGGTTCTAACAGAGATCGTATCCCTGGAGAAAGTTTTTCGCTCGAAATACGCTGGAAATAAAGAATGTCATCTTTTCTTATACAGCTGTGTTTCATTTTAAATAATAATAATAAAAATACACCTACCATCTGTTAAGCAGAGAGCTGATTCTGGCAGTCCCCTTTCCTCCCAGAAGAAAGCTCAAAAATGAAATTTCACTTCTTCTTTGAATTCAGCTCAAGCATGAAGAAATTGATGTGGCCAGCCCAATTCCTGAGAAAAATAGCCACACAGGAACACATACTGTAGGATCCATCCTGATTTTACTGATTTCAGACTTGTTTGGCCCAATTTGATGAAAGCCGTCCATAGATTGATGTGTTAAATGAATTCTCTACAGTCATTTTGCTTAAAGGGGAATGAAATCAAGTGGGGCTTTCAAAATTAAATCTTATTATGTAACGCAATAAAAACTGCAAAAATATGAGTAAAACATATGGCTGAATATTATCATTAAAGTTTGTGTTCCAATAAGGAATGAATAAAAGCCAGCTTTCTACAAATTTACCCATTAAGCGAAAAGCACACTTTTCCATATTATACCAACTGAGCAGAGATTGTGAGTTCTGTGATGTAGTGCAGGTATCAGCAAACTTCCCAGTTCTATTATGTATTTTGTGGTTTTATATCTTGATTTTATTCTGTGAACCACCCTGAGACCCACAAGTATAGGGCTGTGTATAAATTCAATCAATCAATCAATCAATCAATCAATCAATCACCTCCCAGAATGTGAATGTTTAAAAATCCAAGAAAAGCTGTTTAGGGATATTTAACTCTGTCTTTTCTTTTTAAAACTTCTTCCCATTTTTTTTAAAGAAATCCAAAATATGAATTTTTACACTTCCACTTTAGAAAATCCAATAATTGGTTTTAACACCGTTTCCTTTTCAGGGTTGAATGCACTTTTAACGATAGGCCTGGGAAACTTTCAGGAATTCCATGAACTGCAGGAAATAGAGTTTGGTAGAGGATTTGAATATATGGAACCTTTGCTCATCGGAAACCCAGAACTCCCCAGCAGGTTATGGCGAGCGCTTGTAAGTTTCTTCCGGGAAGGAGGAGGTAAAGGGATAGGACACTCTCCTCGGTTCTCAATGGTGCCGATGGTAGCAATGACTGGCATCCATTATTTTGCAGGATACTGTCACTGAACGAGAATGCTGCAATGTTTGCTGCAAATGTTTTGGGGAAGATGGAATTCGGGGTGCGCCAGGAACTTCTGGAATAAAGGTAAAATGAGAGAAGAGAAGGAGCGTATGAGTGTACCGCAAGTGGGCATGAAGTGTGGTTTGTTTATTTTTTTATTAGATTAGCCATTCATCAATAGATCCTAGGGTGATTCACAAGATAAAAATTGAGAAATGGCACTGCCACACTCAATATCACTTGTAGGAGAGCAGCCAGATGCAACACTGATTTCTTTCCTCTGCCAGCCTGTGAACAGTGATAACATCCTAATACAGAGTCAGGAGGCACCAGGATTCAGTCCAACATCTTGGTTTAAATAAATATAAATATATTATGATGATGGAATAGGATGTCCCAATTTTCATCGGAGAAATGTTGGAGGGTATGTTATGGATCTCATCAGACTTCCTCTTTCAAGATTTCCTATTGAAGTTAAGACCCATAAGGTGACCTGCAGACCCATAAAGAGTCAACAACTTAAAAGAAATGAAAAGGATATTAAGGTATTACTGTGAGCTCACAATTCTCAGTGTGGTTTAACAGTTATCCCTCTTCACAGGGAGTTCTGTGAGGGAATAGGGGCCTCCGAATAACTCTCAGTACCCTTAACAAACTACAGCTACCAGAATGCTTTTGGGAGAAGGCATGGCTTTTTAGTTTTTATTATTATGCTTTAATAATAATAATAATAATAATAATAATAATAATTAATAATAATTTATTATTTATACCCCACCACTCTGGGTGGCTCCCAGCAGAATAATAATAATAATAATAATAATAATAACAGTGATAAAACTTCAAACATTTTAAACTTCAGATGTGCTGGAAGTCACCCAGAGTGGCTGGGGAAACCAAGCCAGATGGGCAGGATATAAATAATAAAATAACAATAGAAGAAGAAGAAGAAGAAGAAGAAGAAGAAGAAGAAGAAGAAGAAGTGCTTTAAATGTATGGTGAGAATGTGGCATTTACAGGAATGAACTGATTGGAAAAATATAAAAAAATTAAAAATTATCCAGTAGCACCTTAGAGACCAACTAAGTTTGTTCTTAGTATGAGCTTTCATGTGCATGCACACTTCTTCAGATAAGGTGCTACTGGACAATTTTTTAATTTTTTAAAATATATTTCTACTGTGTCTGACCAACACGGCCACCTGCCTGATTGGAAAAAGTAAGGGACAAACACGAAACGGATCCAAGTGAGTTTTCTGTGGTTTCTACACTTACTTCCATAAAGTCTGAATGCTTCGGACAAAAATTTATTAAATCTTTCAAACCTCAAGGGTGCAATAAGAATCCAACCTCCAGCTTCTTTGGTCATGAATCTTCTGTCAGTCCGTGGATCCCACGGTTGTTCGGCTGTCAGTTTTCCTTGTTAACTTTTACCACTTGAATGGCTGAAAGATGATTCACTAATTATTTTTGCAGGGGTCTGTGGCGAACTCCCCTGCATTTCAAAGAGATGATTCAAAGAGAGTAAGGAAGGATGGATTACGACACACTGAGCTGAGCTGAAAACATATAGCAGTTTGATTGTTTAGTAACGTTTAATAAACTTCAAAAAAAGTGGTGTACAGGAGGCAAGATACCCTTGACTCATACCCTCCAACATTTCTGTGTTGATAATAGGGATATCCTATTCCATAATAAATTTTTTTTACTATTTATACCCCACCCATCTGACTGGGTTGCCCCAATCACTCTGGGAGGCTTCTAACATATATAAAAACATGGTAACACATTAAACATAAAAAATCTTCCCTATACAGGGCAGCCTTCAGATGGCTCGGTGGTCGCATAACTCCATACCCTCCAACATTTCTCCGATGAAAATAGGGAAGGCCTAAGGAAAAGTGGGACATTGCAGGATCAAATCAGAAACCGGGATGGCTTCTGAAATTCAGGACTGTCCCTGGAAAATAGGGACACTTGGAGGGTCTGTTGACCTACTGCTGACACAAGTGCTAAAAAAGGAAACCCAAATACAGTGGTGCCCCGCAAGACGAATGCCTCGCAAGACGGAAAACCCGCTAGACGAAAGGGTTTTCCGTTTTGGAGGTGCTTCGCAAAACGAATTTCCTATGTGCTTGCTTCGCAAGACGAAAATGTCTTGCGAGTTCCTGCGGGTTTTTTCCCCTTCCCCCCCCCTTTTTCCCAAGCCGCTAAACCGCTTATCAGCTGATGGCTAAGCCGCTTAACAGCTGATCGCTAAGCCGCTTATCAGCTGATCGTTAAGCCGCTTATCAGCTGATCTTTAAGCCGCTTAACAGCTGATCGCTAAGCCGCTTATCAGCTGATCCGCTAAGCCCGCTAAGCCGCTAATACTGTAGCGCTAATCCGCTAAACCGCTAATGGGCTTGCTTCGCAAGATGAAAAAACCCGCAAGACGAAGAGACTCGCGGAACGGATTCTTTTCGTCTTGCAAGGCACCACTGTATTATATAAGTAGGGAGCAAGAGTAGTATATGGCTTAGTTGAATTATACATTTCAAGCAGTATTGCAACACCGTTTACCCTCACAGAGCTGCAGTTCCTAGGAAGGTGCAATGGTCATCCCACTTCCCAGGGAATTCTGGGAAGGGTAGTTCTGTGCCCACAACACTTCTCCAATGAAAATAGGGACGTCCTAAATAATGATGATGATGATGATGATGATGATGATGATTACACCCTACCCATCTGACTGGGTTGCCCCAGCTAGTCTGGCTGGCTTCCAACATATATAAAAACACAATAAAACATTGAACATTTTAAAAAATTCCCTATACAGGGCTGCCTTCAGATGTCTTCTATAGTTACTGGTCTGGCCCACTATTGTTTTGATTGGCCAACAGATTTAGAAAAGAGGAGAGAGAACAGTTTCCTCTGCTTGCAGCATCCAATAACATTAATAATAATAATAATTTATACCCCGCCCATCTGGTTGGGTTCCCCCAGCCACTCTGGGCGGCTCCCAACAGAATATTAAAAACACAAGAAAACATCAAACATTTAAATTTTCCCTAAACAGGGCAGATATCTTCTAAAGGTTCTATAGTTCCTTATCTCCTTGACTTGGGGAACAGATAACTCCATACCCGCCAACATTTCTCCAGTGAAATTAGGGACGTCCTAAGGAAAAGCGGGACATTCTGGGATCAAATCAGAAACTGGGACGGCATCTGTAAATCTGGGACTGTCCCTGAAAAACAGCCGTTCCCAGAATTCTTTGGAGGAAGTCCTGACTGTTTAAAGTGGTATGTTACTGCTTTAAGTGTACAGTGCAGATGGGCACAGACAGCAAATGATGTGAGCTGTATACTCTTGTCTGTAAAACACAGACCTAGGAGTGGAGTCCAATCCCCATGGATGATGAACTAAACTCCTGACATTCCCCTTAAAGAAGCCCCTGGAGGAGAGGGTGGTTGCAAGCAGCTGACTTCTTGCTTAATTCCCTAAAATTTTCCCCTTCCTAATACCCAAGTGTCAGTGAGGACAGCTTTCCTAGGATGAAGAACCTGTGTTTGAGGATCTGGTAAAATGCTTTCAGCTGGCACCAATGGCGGGGTGAGGACTGCTAAAAAGCTTTCCCTTTGGCAGACACAGCTACCTGTACTTGTTTAATCTTAGTTTTTAACGATGCTGATTTTACATAGCTTTGTTTTTAAAAGGGTTTTCTGAGTTTCAGCCATGTTTAATCTACAGTTTTATTTGTTCCCCGCTTGGAGAGCGTTTTGATGAAGTGGTTTGTAGATTTTTCCAAATGAAGAAACCAAAGAAGTCCGCAACATAGGAAAATAGTATATTCTCTGCAAGTAAAAATAAAAAAGTAAAGGAACCCTGGACGGTTAAGTCCGGTCAAAGGTGACTCTGGGGTTGAGGTGCTCATCTCGCTTTCAGGCCAAGGGAACCGCCGTTTGTCCGCAGACAGCTTCTGGGGCATGTGGCCAGCATGACTAAGCCGCTTCTGGCGAACCAGAGCAGTGCACGGAAAATAATAAAGAATAAAAAAAGGTCACCTCAGGTCTTTGAAATAAGTGCAAAGAAGCTCTGTTATTTGTAAGAAGCAGCATTTTTGAATTAAATGTGACTCACTCTCTCTGAACTGCTGTTTTTCAGGGAAGTGAGGGCTATCGAGGGCACCCTGGTCATCCGGGTGAGGAAGGAGGACCGGTAAGTAAACACATAGTTCTTTGGGACAGAAGCAATGCCCTGCTCGCTTACATGAGAGCAGCCTGGTTCTGTTCCTGGGAATCTGCATAAAGTACGACTTTTAAAAGCATTCCAAAAACAGAAGATTTATTTATTTATTCATCCATCAGCCCATATAAAAATTTATAGCCCACCCTGCTGTCTCGAGGGAGTGGGACCTCCAGGCTAGCTTTCTCATACACACAAATAACAATCTCAGTTCTCATAGTCCTGCTCGACTTGAGGACAAAATGAGACCAGTCATGCCTAAGACGAGAAAAGAGGAGGGTGCCAGTAGAGGTAGAAAGGCAAAAGTAAAGGACCCCTGGACGGTTAAGTCCAGTCAAAGGTGATTTGGGGGTTGCAGCGCTCATCTCACTTTTCAGGCTGAGGGAGCCGGCGTTGGTCCGCAGACAGCTTTCTGGGTCATGTGGCCAGCAGGACTAAACCGCTTCTGGCACAATGGGACACTGTCATGGAAGCCAGAGCACACGGAAATGCCATTTACATTCCCGCCACAGCGGCACCTATTTATCTACTTGCGCTGGTGTGCTTTGGAACTGCTAGGTTGGTAGAAGCCCTAAACCAGTGGTGTCCAAACTTTTGAGGGCCCGATTTGATGAAGTGAAGGGCTGACCAAAGTTGTTGAGGGTTTTTTTAGGATTTTACCCCAGGAAATAAACTGCCACAAGGGCTGGATTAAACTGACCGGTGGGCCGGATTAGGCCCCCGTAACGGACTTTGAACATGCCTGCCCTTAACAGTCCATAGAGAGCTGTGGGCTCAGTGGCATTAGATTGCTGATTGGCTATTGTGGGAGGAAGAAGCTGCTGCTGCTCCTCCTTCTCCTCCTATATTACTACTACTGCTGCTGCTATTTAGGGACGGAGGAGAAATATAAATATAATATAAATATAAATAATAAATTATTATTATTATTAAATTTGATTCAGTACACATTTAAAGCTGAACATGTTAAATTCACACTTTCCAAAATATGAGCTGAAACCCAGCTATCCTTTGAAATGTATACGTTTCCGAATTTTGCAACGCAGTTCTCCAATCTTTACAGAAATTCATACAGCCAGGAAAACCATGCATGAAAGTTAATGTGCTGAAAATAACGTGCATAAATGTGTTACATTAGGAAACTTGGTTGCTGAAATGTGCACATTCATCACAACTGCGTATAAAAATGTGTTTGGCAAGATAGATTCCGTGGGGATTTCCTCCCCAAAAAATATGAAATATGTGAAGAATTGCGCTTACCATTGGAAAAACAAGAAACTGAGAATACAGAATTCGACAGGTCCTTCCATATCTATTATTATTATTAGTAGTAGTAGTAGCAGTGAAACAAGGATCTACAACAAAATGTTGCAGAGTGAAGTTTGAATGTTCAAGGGGCCAAACCACCAGACCTTCCCTTCCCTTGAAACTCAATTCCATGGGTACCACCCCCTGGTTTTTCCATTTTCCCCATGCTTCTCAGCTGCCGGGCAGTATCCCATGACCCACTAAGCATATACAGTCCTCTTTGGGCTGCTTTGCTTATACACGGTGTGACCGGAAAGTTCAATGAATGGTCCCAGAAATCGGACAGTGAGAAATATTCAAACATACAGTTGGCACCGGAAACCTATGAAATGCTCACAATTGTGTACGGAGATGAAGCTGTAACTCAAAAGACAGTGTATGATTGGTTTAAGTGTTTCTGTGAAGGGCGGCAAACCATTGACGATGACCCTCAGTCTGGCAAATCATCGATGAGTAGAACGGTGGCAAATGCCAACACAGTTATTGAGTTATTGATGTGGTATCGGCGTTTGTCTGTCCGAATGATCGCAGAAGAATCGCATATTCCGCGTGAAATCGTTACTGGGGTTACTGAGGTATCCCACCCTCCATATTCTCCCCATCTGGCCTCAATGGATTTCTTTCTTTTTCCAAAACTGAAATCTGCACTGAAAGGGCACAGATTTTCCAACATTTCACACGTCCAAGCTGCTGTGACAAGGGAACTGAAAGAGGTCTTCTCCAGAAGTTTCCAACAGTTCTATGAACGTTATCAAGGGTGCATTGTGTCAGGAGTTCAGCAGGAATTCTAACACATTGTATCAGAAGGCCTGTAAAGTATATATGTTCAAATATTTCTTGCTGTCCGATTTCTGTGACGACTCACCGAACTTTCCAGTCACACCTTGTATATTTTTTAACTTCTGCAAACTTTGGAGATCCCTTGTGCTTGCTGACACCTCCCTCTTGTGCATCGGTGCTGCTGCTTTGGCTGCATCAAGAACGCAGAATCAGTTCAGTATTCACAGAGAGAGCAAACGGTTTGTGTTATGGTAAGACCTCACACTGTGACCCGATGGCTTTTAATTTATTATCGTTAAGGCTGACACCCCCCATACTCAGTAAAAGCCGGCCACAGCTATGTGGCAAGCGGGCGGGCCAGCAGATATCAGACACTCTGGTCACAGGTCCTCCAGAGACAGTCAGCCTTATGCACTGGTTCATGTGGAAAGTGTGGCTTTTACCAATCTTTCTTTCTTCATTAGGGAGATCGTGGTCTAATGGGTATCGCTGGCAAACGAGGAGAAAGAGGCTGCGCTGGTTCAAGAGGCCTAAAGGCAAGTGAATGGTTTTGAAGTATATTTTTCCTCAGGGTGCATCCAGATCACTATTCTTGCCACAATTTATTTCTTTTTCTCTTCTTTTGTCCATCTGTGTCTTGCTGTGGATTTTCGTGCAGCTCCATCATATATCTTTGAGAATTTGGGGCTCACATTCCTCCCCTACAGGAATGCAGAATATGTGCCTTTCCACCCCTAAAGCCACTCATTTATCTGGATGAATCCATTTATGTGGATAAATCCCTTAGACTCGGGTGTGTGCACACCTCAGAAGTCTGGTACGAAAATAAACAGGGTTCCTGAATCTGTGTTGGGAAGTGATGGATTGCCTTTCTTTTTGGTTCTGCTAGAAAATGATTGCTGGACAAAACATTGCCAGGATGCACATTTGGAGCGAATTAATGTTAGGGATGCACTTGGTTCTTGCATCACAAGCATCAGTACAGTGGCATACAATTTGCTGGTTCATATCATGAATCTTGTTTTTGAATATTCTGGTTTCTAGTATTATTAGTTGGGGGGACGACGACACCTTTATACTTGGATTCTGCTGAGAATTTATGCGTTCTTTCTGGTAGCTCACTTGCAGCGTGTCTCTTTTGCATTTCAGGGACCAAGAGGATACCGAGGAAATAAGGTATGTATGCTTTTAAAATTATCTTCAGATAGTGCTCATCGGTGTTTCACTTTGGCCTCTTTCCCATAAGTACTTACAAAAGCCTCACATGAGAAGTGGGGTTTTGTATAACAACAAGTAGTTTAGAAGGATCTCTGGGATCTCGTCAAGCAAACTGAGGAAGCCTCAGCTGTTTTTGGAGAAGGGAGTGGCAGGCCTGCCTCTGACCATAAACGTACAAGGTGCCTGAGGCCAGTCTTGCTCATGCCTATGTTTCCTATAATGTCTTCAGAGCGAAACAGCACAGTTTGACTTCCTGGAGTGACTCCAGAGCTCTGCAACATCTTCTGTCCTATTGCTCCGAAGACTTTCTAGCAAGTGTAGTCATTGATAGAGGGAGCGTGCTGGGCCTAGAGGGGCTGTAATGTGTTTGTAGTAAGAGGTGGATGGAGCAGCCAAGAGAGACAGCAGGGCAGAGATCTGAGCATCCTATTGCATGGTAGCACACCTTGTTTGGGGATATGGCTTGAATAATAAAAAAGATAGATGTGAGCTCTAGCTGTTTAGGACTCCTACTTCCATGAGCCCCAGATAATATGACCATCCCAACAGTCAAGGATGATGTACGTCGTAGTACAAAATATCTGGAGGGTACAAGGTTGGGGAAGGTTGTTAGATACTATTAAATACTGTTTGCCGTCAGTTTTACAGGTGGCCTGAGATGGTTTTGGGAACACTATACCAAATGAGCAATGGGTACATTGTATACCCACCTATGGATCACTCTCTTTGTTTTACATATTTTATTTTTGATTTATTAAATCTTCACCCGAGGATTGCAAGGCAGTTTACAGTGTAAAAACAGAAATGTGCATAACATAACAATAACAAATGAAACAATAACCCCCTACTGTTTATTGCAGCAGAAATGTCTCAGAAATTTTATTTACAGGGGTAAATAATGGTGAGCATGTTTTCAAATGGTTTCAACAGGGTGAAAATGGTGACAGTGGACTTGACGGGATCGATGGACAAGAGGTAACATTTGACAGACCATTTGATGGTGGATTTTTTGGGGGGTACAGTCTGCTTTCCTGGATGGTTCAAAGAAGTGTACCGCTTTTAAAAGGACTGCAAAAGTCAAACAATCATCAAGTTACAAGTCAATAATACTGAAATCTTGTGGATGTTTCAAAATGGTTTAAAGAGGACAGCAGACCCATAAACATTCCCCAGATGTATTCGTAAACAGGCTTGTCTTTGCAGGGCTTTTTTAAAAAAGGAATTTTTACTGTGGGACAGGGGAACAAACTCCAAAGGGCACTTTAACATCATGTGAAAGGGTATTTAAATAATTATGCACACATTTGTTTAAATAAATGTCATGAAACATTATTTTAATAGTAAACAACTGCCGTTTCAAGAAATTTGGCATTTGAAATTTAACCACAAATGTCCAGAACTGCAGAAGATTTCTCCCCAGACATACTTCAGAATCTCACTCTGGAACAGGCTAATGATGTCTCCTTCCTCTGTTTGAATGGAGGTTGACAACAGCAGACTGGGAATTATAATAGGTTGCATCAAACCCATCCAGATCTATGTTTAGTTACCCATCAACTCTGTGTTACCATACCTGTCTGTGCTTCGTCCAGTAGAAGATTTTTGCACCATGCCAGAAGTGATAGGCAACAACTGGCAAAGAGGCACAGACACAGAAAAACCTAATTCACTCCAGTGTGGGAGATGGGGCAATTCAGAAAATTACTTGCTGCTGTTCACACACTTCAACCGATATGATACGATATGATAATCTTTATTGTCATTGTCCCATACAGAACGACGAAATTGAAAAATCTACACAAGACATTCAAAACCCAACAAGCCTGCTATCCCTGCTATCCCAACCTGCTTAGCCCCCTAAAAACTCTGATACCCCATTTTTAAATACAATATACCGTATTTTTCGCTCCATAGGACGCACTTTTTCCCCTCCAAAAATGAAGGGGAAATGTGTGTGCGTCCTATGGAGCGAATGCAGGCTTTCGCTGAAGCCTGGAGAGCGTGGGGCATCGGTGCGCACCGACCCTCTCGCTCTCCAGGCTTCAGGAAGCTATCCGCAAGCCTTGCAAGCCCAGTGGGAGTTCCCGCGGGCTCACAAGGCTTGCAGGCAGCAGCCTGCAGCCCCGGCGAGTGTCCGCAAGCCTTGCGCGCCCGGCAGGAGGTCCCGCCGAGCGTGCGAGGCTTGGGGCGGCAGCCTGTCGCCCGAGCACGGGAGCCCTCCGGAGGGCTCCCGTGCTTCGAGCGAGTGTCTGCAAGCCTTGCGCGCCCGGCAGGAGGTCCCGCCGAGCGCGCGAGGCTTCGGGCGAGTGTCTAGCAGCCTTGCGCGCCCGGCAGGAGGTCCCGCCAGCGCGCGAGGCTTGGGGCGGCAGCCTGTCGCCCGAGCACGGGAGCCCTCCGGAGGGCTCCCGTGCTTCGGGCGAGTGTCTGCAAGCCTTGCGCGCCCGGCAGGAGGTCCCGCCGAGCGCGCGAGGCTTGGGGCGGCAGCTGTCGCTCGAGCACGGGAGCCCTCCGGAGGGCTCCCGTGCTCGGGCGAGTGTCTGCAAGCCTTGCGCGCCCGGCCGAAGGTCCCTCCGAGCGCAAGAGGCTTGGTGAAGCAGCCTGTCGCCCGATGCACGGGGAGCCCTCCGGTGGGCTCACGGTGCTTCGGGTGAGTGTCTGCAAGCCTTGCGCGCCCGGCAGGAGGTCCCGCCGAGCGCGCGAGGCTTGGGCGGCAGCCTGTCGCCCGAAGCACGGGAGCCCTCCGGAGGGCTCCCGTGCTTCGGGCGAGTGTCTGCAAGCCTTGCGCGCCCGGCAGGAGGTCCCGCCGAGCGCGCGAGGCTTGGGCGGCAGCCTGTCGCTCGAAGCACGGGGAGCCCTCCGGAGGGCTCCCGTGCTCGGGCGAGTGTCTGCAGCCTTGCGCGCCCGGCAGGAGATCCCGCCGAGCGCGCGAGGCTTGGGCGGCAGCCTGTCGCCCGAAGCACGGGGAGCCCTCCGGAGGGCTCCCCGTGCTCGGGCGAGTGTCTGCAGCCTTGCGCGCCCGGCAGGAGGTCCCGCCGAGCGCGCGAGGCTTGGGCGGCAGCCTGTCGCCCGAAGCACGGGGAGCCCTCCGGAGGGCTCCCGTGCTTGGGCGGGTGTCTGCAGCCTTGCGCGCCCGGCAGGAGGTCCCGCCGAGCGCGCGAGGCTTGGGGCGGCAGCCTGTCGCCAAGCACGGGAGCCCTCCGGAGGGCTCCCCGTGCTCGGGCGAGTGTCTGCAGCCTTGCGCGCCCGGCAGGAGGTCCCGCCGAGCGCGCGAGGCTTGGGGCGGCAGCCTGTCGCCGGAGCACGGGAGCCTCCGGAGGGCTCCCGTGCTTTAGGTGAGTGTCTGCAAGCCTCGCGCGCCCGGAGGGAGGTCCCGCCGAGCGCGCGAGGCTTGGGCGGCAGCCTGCAGCCCGAGCAAGCGAGGCTTGGGGCGGCAGCGGCGGGGGGGGGATAATTTTTTTTATTCATTTCCCCCCCCAAAAAACGAGGTGCGTCCTATGGGCCGGTGCGCCCTATAGAACGAAAAATACGGTACTCCCATACAGACTCCTTACTGTGCGTTTAAAACCAAAATCGCATTTGGGTAGAAACTGTTTCTCAGGCAGCTAGTCCTAGTCTTTATAACCCTGTACCTTCTTCCAGAAGGCAGAAGCTGAAAGAGATCATTTCCGGGGTGCGTACTATCCTGTGCTATCTCTGCCGCTTTCTTATGGCACCTGGAAGCATAGATTTGATCCAAGGTGGGAAGAGTGCACCCAATTATTCTCTCCACAGTCTTTACAACCCTGGACAGCATTGCTTTCCCCCTGACCATGCAGCTCCCAAACCACACACACAGACCATAAGTTAATACACTCTCAACAGTACAATGGTAAAATGCCATCAACAGGTCCTTTGAGAGATTGTTTTTCTGGAGGATTCTTCGGTATTAAGGTATTTTGCTGCAGCTTGCTGAAATCCGTTCTGTATGTCTGTCAACATTTGGCATTATGCACCTCGCCGGAACACCAGTTTCTGTGTAGCTTTATCAGCAAGCGTGCCCTGAATTCCAGATTCCCTTGAAGTATCAGGTTTGATTAAGCCATAGGTTCCAGGGTTTGCTTATAACGGGACAGCAACTCCTAAATGACAGTCTGAAATATACTCAGAATCGAGAGTGGATTTCATGCTCTTTATTCAGCTCATAGTGGTGAGTAGGAATGAAAGTCCCACCAAAGTATCTGCTTTATATATATTATTTTCACAATGGGCTGCACGTGATTGGCTAATTCCGGAATTCTCCTGTAGGCCAATCAGGTTGCGGATTCACTTCCATCTGGAGCTGGATTGGGTGGCTCCTGCAGACCAATCATACTGCTGCATTCTGAATCCTATTGTTCTAGGACCAATCAGACTGCTGCATTTTGGATCCTATTGTTCTAGGACCAATCAGACTGCTGCATTTTGGATCCTATTCAACTCAGTACATAACACAGTCTGAATCTGAACAGTTGCTAAATCTACATTTTGATTTCCCTAAATGCAAACTGGGACCAAGCGGAATTAAAAGTCTGCTTGGTGGGGGATTTTGATCACTTGGTGGTGCTATTCATGGCTTGGGGGGGGAATCATAGAGCTGGAAGGGACAACAAAGATCATCTAGTCCAACCCCCTGAAATGCAGGAATCTTTCTTCAACCACAGGGCTCAAACCCATGACCCTGAAATTTAAGAGTCTCACGCTGTCCCTACTGAGCTATCCCAGGAGCTTCCCTTTTGCTTTATATGTTTAAATGGCTTTATATGTCTTCTAAAAGTCCGGAGACTCTGCCTGAGATTTCTATGACAAGCATATCACACAAGATTACTGAGTTGTACTTCTTTTTATTTTGGGGTTCTAGGGAGAACGAGGAATTCCTGGATCACATGGACCAAAGGGCAGCTCAGGACGAAGGGTAAAGATAATTATATATTTTAACTGTCTGTTGGCAAAAGGCACTAAGGAATGTTCAAACTTTTTTATGTTAAACGAAGGTACGACCTGTGTACCAGTGGACTCAGATAAGTTGAGCTGCATTCTTACTTGTATATTTATTCACATGCAACACCCAACAAATGTAGAGTCCATGTACCTGTGCACACAATTGTTGAGCTGCACAAATAAAGAAGTGTTTGTTGTTTCACACAAACACTTGTAGATGTGTAGAGATAACTTGTACCTCTGTGTACGGTTGCCTTGCCTATAAGGCAGAGCCTCTGAACTGTTGGAAATGGCTCTGAACTGTCTAATGACCAAGGCCCCATTCGTACTATACCATAAACTCCAATAGTTCTCTGAGGTGGAAGACTTCCTATTCCACCACCGACATCATCATTTTACTATTCATACCCCACCCACTTGACTGGGTTGCCCCAACCACTCTGGGTGGCTTCCAAGTTATATAAAAACATAATACAACATTAAACATTTTTAAAAAAACTTTTCTATACAGGGCTACCTTCAGATGGTTCTGGGATTGGATAACTCCATACCCTTTGACATTTCTCTGATGAAAATAGGGACTTCCTAAGGAAAAGTTGGACATTCTGGGATTAAATCAGAAACTGGGACAGCTTCTTTAAATCCGAAACTGTTTCTGGAAAATAGGGACACTTGGAGGGTCTGCTATACGTTCAGAGTACTATCATATGCTTTAAACAGTGATGACTCCCCTCAAAGAATCCTGGGAACTGTAGACTTCTTAGGACACACCTATTTCCTTTAACAAGCGGCAGGTTCGAGAGTTACCTGGGAAGAGGGTTTGACTGTTAAGCCATTCTAAGAACTGTAACTCTGCAAGGGTGGTAGGGGTCACCTAGCAACGGTTAGCACCCTAAACAAACGAGTTTCAGGATTGTTTGGTGGAAGCCATGACCATTACTGTGTTATCGTACAGCTTTAAAAATCTACTGCAGATAGGACCTAAGTTTGGAATATATATCTAATTCACAGGAAAGGAACTGATGTTAGTCAGCATTTCTTCTGCCCAGTCAGTGGCCCTCATCATTCTGAAATAAGGCCCGATGAGGTAAAGATTGCATTTGATAAGGTGAGGTGGTACATAACATTTTAACTGCTGTTTGTCATTTTTTCCCCTGGATGAAGGGTAGAAAAGGCCCCAGAGGAGAGCCTGGTGAGCATGGAGAGCTTGGTGTAAGAGGAGACAATGTGAGTAATGATGGCTGCTGTTATTATTTTTTAATCAAAAATCCACACATTTATCGATTTATACCCAACCTTTCTCACAGAACTAGCTGCTTCCAGTTCTGGCCTTTGCAGCTCTTGACAGCCCTTCCGTCACCCCAAATTTTGTTGTGGCTGGACTTACAAAAAATGTAAGAAGGGGTCTGCAGGATCAGGCTGAAAGGCCTATCAAGTCCAGCATCTGATTCTCATAGTGGCCAACCAGAGGCTGTGCTTTGAGAAGACCCATTTCGCCTTGTTAGAAGTTACAAGAAAGTGGACACAATCTGCTGTTCTACTATTGGCACAGAACACAAATACATTTCTAAAAGGGATATGACATGGACATTATTTTAGATTTAAAATGTTTTTCAACCTCTCTGACCTCTTTGTCTTATGAAACTTATCTCCAATCATCAAGTCATCCGCTCAGATTGCTCACTTGAGTTCATTGCCGGATGATTCCTTTCATTTCTTCAGGGAAAGATTTTTGATTGCAGGCCTATATTTCAACTTAAAATGAATGTTGATGTCGGTCACCCACCCACCCCCCAGCTATGCTAGCATAGCATAGGTCACTGGTAACACTTAAGTGTGTATTTGTTCATTTCAGGGGGTTCCTGGAATTGACAACAATGCCTTTGGTCCAGCTGGTGCAAAAGGAATCATGGGACGGCAGGTATCCAGACATCTAGAAATCGTTAAGAACAAACTAATGTGTATATCTGAAAAGAGAAGGCGTCATTTTTGCAAGATTGAATGTTGATAGCTTCTTTCATTGAAACAGGGATTTATTTATTAATTCACTAATATTTATTAATATTTATCTTGGGGGCAAAAACCCCACCAAAGTCTTGCCAGCTTGGATCCAGTTGACCTATTTTGCAACCTTAATCCTGATTACTGGAGAGGGAAGAGACACATGAACGCTGTGGATTTTGGCAGATCATTGGGGCCCAATGAAGACAAATGGGAGAAGACGCCTCCAACAATGTGCTTAGTTTGGAACTAGACTAGTCTCTATTGTTCTGTTCCATCAAAGTAGATACGATTCATTGGCTCTGATTCAATTGGCTACGGTGAAACTGCTTACAAAGCAATGCCGTACCGCAACTATTCGGATGAGTATGTTTGCCTTGAATTACATGTCAGTGTTCATCGCACATGTCTGGAATATGTCAAAGGCACAAATATAATTTAGTAATCTCACTGTGTTCTGCAGGGGGACCTGGGAACTGATGGCGTGCAAGGCGAGCCAGGCGAGATGGGTGCAAATGTAAGAGCAGCTGTAATAGAGAAGATGTAAATGCATAAAGGAAATGCTATGGCTCAGTTTACAGGGGACAAACTACTTCAAAAAAACAAAAAACCCAGAACAGAACCCCCTAAGATTATGTTGCAATCCTGTACACTCTTTTCTGCAACTAAGCTGTCAGGTGTGGAGAGTATGACTTCACAGACAAGAATTAACGAGCACTTTCTATTTTATAGTCCTTTGTATTCAATCATCTGACTGCAAGCAAAAATCCACATCTCTCCACAAGGAGAGATAGGACCCACAAGCTACTATAACTCCTCCCCTTCCATCTCCTGCAACATCCTGGGCGCCAACGGGAAGTTCCTCCTCTCTGCTTTCTTTGTTCTCTAATACGGATGGACCTCCTAGTTCTTGGGGAGGGGGGTCCCCCACACTCTGTAATGACATCTCTGCTGGCTGTTCCCTCCCTTCTGTTTCTCAGTCCATTATCTCGTAGCTAGGTAACTCCTGTCTAAGCTGCTCAGTGTTTGTGTCTCCCTCTGCTTCTGAAACCGCTGGAAATAGGGAGAGTGAATCTCCCCCGCTCCTCCTCGTCAAAGAGGAGCTGATCTGCCTGAGAATGCATTTCCCAATCCTCTGTTTCAGACCATTCCCTGACATAAGCCCCGTTGAATTGCTTTTGAATCAATTACGCATGGGCTTGTGCTGCAAGCCATAGGTAAAGGTAAAGGGACCCCTGACCATTAGGTCCAGTCGTGACCGACTCTGGGGTTGCAGCGCTCATCTCGCTTTATTGGCCGAGGGAGCCGGCGTACAGCTTCTGGGTCATGTGGCCAGCATGACTAAGCTGCTTCTGGCAAACCAGAGCAGCGCATGGAAACGCCGGTTTCCTTCCCGCCGGAGTGGTACCTATTTATCTATTTGCACTTTGACGTGCTTTTGAACTGCTAGGTTGGCAGGAGCAGGGACCGAGCAACGGGAGCTCACCCCGTTGTGGGGATTCGAACCGCCGACCTTCTGATAGGCAAGCCCTAGGCTTTGTGGTTTAACCCACAGCGCCACCCGTGTCCAAGCCATAGGTAACTGGGCCCAAATGCTACCCAGCATTGGTAGGCTGAGTTTATCAGAAAGTTGCCAACTCGTGGCCTACTGCAACCTGAGGCCTTTCACTGCTCACCTTAGACACTTTAGGAAATGGTTCTCTTTCATCTGCTGGTGACTCCCCCCCCCCCCCCATATGAACTAATTTAGCTTCACTGCAAACTGGCTAGCCGGTTTTAACTCCTGGTGGTTTAAAATGCAGGGCTGATTGACAAAACACCTCCAAGTTAGCAGAGGTAGTGATCGTCCCATTGCGGAAGCTGGAGCAGCTGACTAGCCTCTTCATTGACTTAGAAGGGTCCAATGTAAGATGAATATTTCCCATAGGTAATATTCTACAGTTACGGTGGCCATGCTTTACAGAGAATAGTCCTCCACTTGAAGGAGTCCCCTATTTGAAGGGCTGCCTGGTCCAAATCTGGTTTAAAGAACCATAATGAGGGAGAGCAGGAGCTACCCATCAACAGCACCTGGACAGCAGATTGGCCACCCATGCTTGTCACCTACTGGCAGTCTTCCCCGTTAAAGAAGTTCAGTGCATCTCAGTTTAAATAATAGTAACTGGGGCATATCCAGCGCTTCTGTTAGTGCATCAGACTTCTGCTTGTGCAACAGAATTTTCCCTCCTCTCCTCTGCGCCCTGCTCCTTGGGCACCCTCAAAATCTTCTCCAGGGAGCTGGAAGACCCTCTGGAGCAGATTTTGCGGGTATGCAGGGCAAGGAGAGGAAAGGAAAATCCTTCTACATGAGTGATACTCTGTGCTTGCAAAGTTAGATACATATAACTTGGCATTTGCAAATGGTAATGCAAATGTATGTCATTTATTGCCCTCTTTTTTGGTGGTGGTGGTGGGGAAATGCATTTCTTCTTTTTGGATGATGTATAAGTGGACATATAAAGTGCCATTCTTTAAAGCTTGTTTTAAAAGCTGTTTCCTCCCCTTTCGTTTAGGGTCCCAATGGCCGCAGAGGTCGTCCTGGCTTAGAGGTCAGTAGCCACTGCACTCACATAATGCTGAATGTCTTATTATTAGCTTTTGCCCCTTATTCCTGGAACCGATGCAGGAACTGGCATTGCCATTCTGAATAGTGATGACTTGTGTTCCCTTCCTGTTCTGAAGCTGGAACTTCCTTGACTTGCGGAGCTAGATATCGAAAGGAGAGCTGTGCCTTTCATGAAAACAAGGGCATTGTTCTTGATAATCCAGTGGCCCAACCGATCAGTAGAAATTGATCATGAAGACTGGAAGGACCACAGTTTGAAACATGCAGCAGTTTGAAAACTGCTGTTTCAAGATCTGAGTTTGTGGTTAATTCTTAATCCTGGCTTAGGCTTCATGGCATTTCTCAAATCCTCATCTAAGCTCGTGCATTATTATTTTTTTAAATGTAAAAGGTAAAAGGACCCCTGACTATTAGGTCCAGTCATGGCCGACTCTGGGGTTACAGCGCTCATCTCACTTTACTGGCCAAGGGAGCCAGCGTACAGCTTCCGGGTCATGTGGCTAGCATGACTAAGCCGCTTCTGGCGAACCAGAGCAGTGCACGGAAACGCCGTTTACCTTCCCGCCAGAGTGGTACCTATTTGTCTACTTGCACTTTGACGTGCTTTTGAACTGCTAGGTTGGCAGGAGCAGGGACCGAGCAACAGGAATTCACCCCGTCATGGGGATTCGAACCTCCTGCCTTCTGATCGGCAAGTCCTAGGCTCTGTGGTTTAACCCACAATGCCACCCGCGTCCCTTTTTTAAATGTAGAACTGTTCAAAATATCTCCCTCCCTATATATAGCAAATGCATGGAGGGGGTAGCAAGAGGAGTGTCCGCTAGCAAACCTCTGATGGCCGCATGTCTTCTGATGCTGCTCCCCAGTGTCTGTGTGCTGAGTCGAACATCACATGCTATGCGAATGCAGCTGAACCAGGCTAACCAGCATTTGCCAACATTCGGTTCACTGGGCGGATGTCAAGGATGGGTCTGGGAAGTGTGTGGATATCGGGTGCTCCTGCTGCCCCCTCTATGCCTTGGCTATAGATGTGAGCAGCTCTTGCAAACTGGGGCGTAGAGTGGGAGGGTGCCGGGGGGCTGTGGCCCAGGGTGCACAATTTTTGAGTAGGCATGAATCGGGCGACCCCACCATGGCCTGGCCTGGTGCTAATCTCCACTCATCAAGGGCTGCGTTGACCGGCCATGCTCTCCCCTGCATGGGCAGGAAGGCAGCTCAGCGCTGCCCTGTTTTGCTCTGATAGGAGTGGGGTCACTCCAGCGGTGTTGCCGGTGAGGCCTGGGCTGGCGTTCCCCTACCCACCAAAATTGTGCTCATCCCGGGTGCCAGCAACTGATGCTACACCACTGCTTGCAAACAAGCCATGAAGCTGGATGGGTGGCCTTGAGCCACTCACTACATTTCAGCCTAACTTACCGTATTTTTCACCCCATAGGGCGCACCGGCCCATAGGGCGCACCTAGATTTTTTGGGGGGAAATCAAGGAATTTTTTTTTATTTCCCCCCCGCAGCCATCCCCAAACTAGAAGAGGGAGACGGAGCACTCCATCTCCCTCTTCTGCCTCCCTTCAGGGACAGCCTCCCTCGCCTCCGTGGGGCAGCGGCTTGCCCCGTTGTCCCCTGAGCTTGTGGGGCTGGCGGTGGAGAGAAGCCTGCTCCAAACCAGGTCGGGGAATAGCGGGATGGCAGCGCTCCGCCTCCCCGCTGTTCCCCGAGCTTGTGGGGCACCAACCCCTCTCGCTCTCCAGGCTTCAGCGAAAGCCTGCATTCGCCCCATAGGACTCACACACATTTCCCCTTCATTTTTGGAGGGGAAAAAGTGCGTCCTATAAGGCGAAAAATACGGTACTTGGCAGGGCTGTTATGAGACCCTTTGATCTCCTTGGGCTGAATGAAGTGGAATAAATCACCATTTGAAACTTTTGTTCCAAAGACAGCCTGTCACTGACTAGCAGTTCCTCAGGAGTTTTGACCAGTCTGCCTACGTGGATCAGCATGCAGTTATCATTCAGCCTTTGCATTTCTTTTGCTTTTGTGATACGTTTCTTGATTCAAATGCACCAAAACGCATATAAGAATGTGCATTTTAGAGAAACACCTATATGCCAGAAAGGGTGTTGTTGTTTAGTCGTTTAGTCGTGTCCGACTCTTCGTGACCCCATGGACCAGAGCACGCCAGGCACTCCTGTCTTCCACTGCCTCCCGCAGTTTGGTCAAACTCATGCTGGTAGCTTCAAGAACACTGTCCAACCATCTTGTCCTCTGTCGTCCCCTTCTCCTCCATCTTTCCCAACATCAGGTTCTTTTCCAGGGAGTCTTCTCTTCTCATGGGGTGGCCAAAGTATTGGAGCCTCAGCTTCAGGATCTGTCCTTCCAGTGACCACTCAGGGCTGATTTCCTTCAGAATGGAGAGGTTTGATCTTCTTGCAGTCCATGGGACTCTCAAGAGTCTCCTCCAGCACCAGAATTCAAAAGCATCAATTCTTCAGCGATCAGCCTTCTTTATGGTTCAGCTCTCACTTCCATACATCACTACTGGGAAAACCAGTACAGTTTTAGGGTAAAATGCCCTAAAATGCTTTTGCAGAACGATGTGGAAACGGGGTGTAAAAGATGAATGAATGCAGGTGACATTGACAAAAATAAAACAAATCCCTCTCTTCCTAAGCTCTATTGCTTTTAAGCCATGCTTACAGGTTTCTTGGGCCTTTTGGCTGGTCCCTGTTTGAAATGTAATGCTAGACTGAATAATCATTTGGTCTGCTCCAGCCAGACGCATCTTATGTTCTTCATTTTCGCGGTGGGATGAAGGGAGTTTGGCCTCAAAATGAAATGTCGCTTGCCCAAAGTTTACACATCTCTTACACACCTGCTTCTGCCAACTTTACAACACCAGCTTCTTTGTAAGATGTTTTCTTTGCAGTGTCAATTTTACTTTGGAGCCGTAGAGGGCCCTGCAGGCTTTGGCTTTTATCTGAATTTACTTCTCCCCATCCTGCCACAAACACACGTTTAAATTGTCACAGCAGACCGCTTTTCTGTCCAAAGTTGAGCATTACTCAGCAATGCTTTCTTTATTTCCTTACAAACCCCATGCCGGTTAATGATTGCCTTAGGTGTCAATAAATGTTTTCTCGGATTACAGCTCCTCCTGGTAATTTTTCTTTTGTCACCAAACTAAAGCTTTGGAAACAGCTCCCATCATTTTTGCTCCAGGGATTCAGGCAAAAAGCGCCAGTTGAACTACCTGATGTTTTGAAAGCTGGTAATTATGGGTCTGTTTGCTTTGTTTTTTCCATCTCTTTTTCTTAAAGGAAAAATTAGACCAAGGGGGTCGTCTGCATCCTTCTCCATGATACTTAAGTACCTTCATTCACATCCCTAATGCTCAACCCATGATGAACGTATGAACATTCTTTTAGCAATAGAGGGCCCATCATCTGTTAAGCCTGGCACCCTGCATGGTTGGGCAGCCCTAGTCCCCCAGGTTTGTTAACACCTGTTCTCATCTCTCCAGGCCATGCAGTTTGGATCCGCCATTTAGTTTTCCCACAATGCCTAGGAGTGGTGCTTCGTTGGGGACACTTTGGGAAGTTAAAATGGCAGCAATGGATGGTAGCAATGCCACTACACATGAGTCAGCTGGGGCCACCAACTCTGCGGAGGAGACAAGTACTTATTTATGGACATATTTATAATTATCAACTTTAGTCAAAATATAACAATGCAGGATACAACATATAAGAGTAAAATAAACCAAAGTATCCATAAAAACTTCAAAAGAATAACAAAAAGTCATATTGCAAAACAATACTGTCTAAACAATATAGTTTTCAACAGTGGCATGTTGTGGCTGTTTTGTTGTCGAGGTTGTGGTTGACTGTGCGTGAGATCAAGTTTCTGCTAGTTATTATCTGGGCAGAAACTGCATTTCATTCACTCTCACAGAATGCCGCAGGTCAGAAACGCGTGTCTCCTTTAGTACTTTTCTCTTCTCTTTGACAGGGCCTAAAAGGAAACGAAGGTGACCAAGGTCTTCCTGGTGAAATGGGGCTACAAGGAAACCAGGTAATATAAATCTGTGTTCTGTTGCCGTCTTGTCAAAGCTGAATTCTGCATATTGTAGTGACTGACTCTCTGCAGGTTGTGAATTGAAACAGCTAGGATTTGTTTCCAGAAGCCATTGTGTATTGAAGCGGTTGCATCAACGGGCCAGAGCCACTAAAATAAGGCTGCATCTGGGGCTTGGTCAACATGCATCAAAAAGCTATTGTATTCTGTCAGGGAACTGCCATCGGCTAAGGGGGGAGAGGGGAAAAGCCAGATGGATTACAGAGACGCCCCAAAGATCGTGGGAAGCAGCTCCTCCTCAGCAGAGGAGAGTAACCACGCCTCCAGTGGAGAGGAGCTTCAGGGCTCAGAGGAGGCGAGGCAGTGCCAGGACACCTTGCCTGGGCAAAGCGGGGAGGGGAGAGGTCCTCCGTTACCCACGCCCTCCTTGTGCAGTAAGCTTTCGCTCCAAGAGGGGAGGCGCAGACTGGGCGTCAAGAAACTACCGTATTTTTCGCTTTATAAGACGCACCAGACCACAAGACGCACCTAGTTTTGGGAGGAGGAAAACAAGGGGGGAAATATTCTGAATCTCAGAAGCCAGAACAGCAAGAGGGATCGCTACGCAGTGAAAGCAGCAATCCCTCTTGCTGTTCTGGCTTCTGGGACAGCTGCGCAGCCTGCATTCGCTCCATAAGACGCACACACATTTCCCCTTACTTTTTAGGAGGGAAAAAGTGAGTCTTATAGAGCAAAAAATACGGTACTTTGCTGGGGAAGGTTTAAGGACCGCCCACTCATGGATACTGCCAGTGAATGAGCCAGCCATGGGAGAATGGCGCTCTGGACACATAAAGTTTATTTTGGCATCAAAAGCAAGGCTTCACAGCCGAGCAGGGAGGCATTTGCCGGCTTACTCTCAAGCAACCCCTTGGAACCCTAACATATTCCTTTGTCTCCTGTGTCATTCAGGGTACACCAGGTTTACGAGGAATACCAGGACCTAGAGGACTCCAAGGCTTTCCAGGACCCCAAGTATGTCTTAAAATGATATGTCTTACTTCGTCAGTCTTTTTAAGTCCATAGGAACATTTGCAAAATGGAGGAACTGTTGCGGGCACCACAGACATAACCAATCGCACAGGACTACCTATTCTGCTGTTGGCTTCAAGAGAAACTTCTTGCAAGCCTAATTTCAGCAGGGAGAGGAGGAGACCGTGTGGGCCCCAACCAAAGGCCTCTCGCCTCTTATACATCCCCCAGATATTTCTGTGCACAAGTATTTTGTTCCTAGTCACGGGTTTTGTAGTCTATACTTTACAACTGTAGTAGAGCATCCTGACTTTGCTTATGCACTGCATCATGGGTTTTTAATTCTGATCAATGCAAAAGTATGTAGAGTGCTACTGAGCCTGAATTTTGCTCGTGTTCATTGATGATGGTGCCCAACTCACTGGGTTGCCCCTGCCACTCTGGGCGGCTTCCAATGATTTATATGTGCGTTTCAGCCAATGCGTGTTTAAATTTGCAAGCTGCTTCTAGGGTCATTTGCAGAAATCCCTGTTCCTAGTGTCCCCCTTTCCTCCAACCAGACTTCTGAATCATGTCAGCTCCCCGCATCTCCAAAGCTTTCCTCTGAAATGACTTTCTCACTGCTACTTACTCTGAACAAGTAAAATCCCTCCAAATACAACTTTGGGGCCTCACGTTGCCTATTCATCCGTTCAGCTGCATTCTATCATAAGATGCGGACTGACGCTTTTAAAAGAAATAAATGCCTTTAGTGTATATATGTCTACAGTTCTATGATTCTGTGTCTGCCCTTTCTTCCGTAGTAGTTGAACAGACGTCATTCAGGACTGCTGAAACCTGGATGGGATTATAGAGAAAACACAAAACCTATTTAACTGGCTGCCAATGATTGCTGTGGTTTTCTTAATGTGACTTTCGATATGTGTTTCTGATTGGAGGGTAGTCAAGGAATCGATGGCGCGCCTGGCTCCGTAGGGAAAGAAGGACCTAGAGGTCAGAAGGTAAGAACTGGTTTCAACAGTACCTTTTGTGTTTTGACAAAGTGTCTGAACACGTTTCTTCCGAAGTAAAACGCAGCCTTCGTTTTGTCCAGTATAAAGAACAGCTCTATGTAGCAATTGAGCAGGGCTGTAAATATTTTTGTACTTTTATACTCGGTACAAAATGTATCTGGAGCTGGTCCTTTGGAACATGCGAGTCCACTTTTGTATCAACTTCACCGGCTGCTGCCTATTTGTCTTGCAGTTCAAAGCACTAGTTAACCCCTTGCTGAATGGCCTAAATCAGGGGCCGTTAACTTTTCAGGGCTGGTGGGCACATATGGAATTTTGAGAAAATTCCGTGGGCCCCAGTCACAAAATGGCCGCTGTGGGATGTGTGGCATATCACAAAATGGCGGCTGTTAGGAAGAAGAAGAAGAGGAGGAGGAGGAGGAGGAGTTTGGACTTGATATTCCGCCTTTCACTCCCTTTAAGGAGTCTCAAAGCGGCTCACAATCTCCTTTCCCTTCCTCCCCCACAACAAACACTCGGTGAGGTGAGTGGGGCTGAGAGACTTCAGAGAAGTGTGACTGGCCCAAGGTCACCCAGCAGCTGCATGTGGAGGAGCAGGGAAGCGAACTTGGTTCACCAGATTACGAGTCCACCATTCTTAACCACGCTGGCATTGGGAGCATTGTATGACGCAAAATGTCAGAGCAGAAAAAGAAACAGTAACACAGAACAGTATGGGAAGGCTCCCTGTTATGCCAATAAAGGCTTAATGAATGAATGACAGAAAAAAGTCACTACCACACCACACTGGCATGGGTGGGCACCCTTGTGCCCGTGTGTGCCAGGCTGGCAACCCCTGCCTTAAATGACTTGGGAGAAGGTCAGAATACTTAAAAGGGCTGCCATCTTCTCCTAAGATTAGCAGAAGAGAACGTGTGTGTGTGTGTGTGTGTGTGTGTGTGTGTGTTGCCACTCTGTTGGCTTTGCCTGGCATTGGTGGCACCTACTGTTTACCTCCCTGCCTCCCGCCCTGTTCAGTCCCCTGCTCAAACTCACTAAAATTCTCTGGAATGAAAATGCTGTCGGTTGCTATCAGCTGTCTTTACTTCAAATGGCTCGCCGAGTTGTGGAGTTCATGATGGTGATCATCCATATCTAACATGGGGGGGGTATTTTAAAATAAAATAACTCTTACAGATAGTCTATTATTTGGTACCATCTGCCATTTAAAATAAGTTAGGGTTGACATATGTCCAATTTTTCCTGGGGCGCCAATCAGCGAAATTAGTACACAGGGAATTTTTTTTTGAAAAATCAGCAAAATGTCTGGGGTTTTCCAAACAGAACCAGGAAGCTCAACAACCTTTGGGGCGATTCCCCCCCCCCCAAAAAAATGTGTCCAGATTTCTACTACTTGAAATGTGGCAACCCTAAATAAGTTCCATAGACTTCTCTGGCCTGGCCTTTTCCTCATGGGGAAACCTGAGGCTTAGTTTTTCTATAGGTGGGTACTAGGATGAGGTGCTAACATGCCCCTTCACACATGTCTGAACATTTCACCCAAAGCTTCATCCACTCTAATGGTAACCAGGGTTTCATATAATCAGCAGTCTGTCAGGGAGAAGGTTAAGCTAGAAGCCTTCTGTCTGAAATCTAGTTTTCTATGTAAAGGGGATTATTTTGTCTGGAGGAGCTATCCATTATGGAAGCCCCCCCACTTTCAGTCTGTGGCAGTACAGACAGTCCTGAGTTTGCTGCCTCATTGAGAGCAAGACTATAGGCACCAAAACAATAAAATTGGTCTGTACTATTGGTCCGTATTTAATGGTTAATCTCTGTTTTGTACTGTGTGAAAGGGAGAACATGGTGATCTTGGAGAAAAAGGCCTACAGGGGCTACCTGGACCAAGAGGCTTGACGGTGAGTTTTGCCTTTCTGATTCCGAGTCTTGACGTTTGTGACTGAATTTCTCTCCGCCTCTGAAAAAGAACGGTTGCTCCGTTTGATTTTCCTTCATCCTTTTTCTTCCTCTACTGGAAAGCCATGTGTCTGTCCATCTTTCTGTCTGTTCCCTACGCATCTGGAAACCTCTTGAGATATCACTGGCAAACATGGCATGACGGTTCCCAAGATGGAGGAGCTTTTTTTTAAAAAAATCCATCAGCTGCCATCTTGGATCCAGATGGCAGACCGAAACATTCTAAACCGCACCAATTTGGACACTTCTTAAGATATTGCTGCCATATTTGGCACAATGGTTCACAAGAGTAAAACCGCAACAAGTAACTTGTCCTGTAGAAGATGTGCCAAGGATACAGTTTGTGGGTTTCTTGCCAAGATGCCGGTCATTTCTTCTCAGCAGTGCTGGATTTATGTATAGGCTGAAGCCTGGGGCCTCTAAATCTAGGGGGCCTTGCTAGCCTGCCCACTCCCCAGTGGGCAGTCTCCCCTCTCCCAAAATTGCAAACCCAAGACTTCATGCGAGGGCAGGGCAACTCAGTCCTCTGAATCTAGGGGGCCTCACCAGCTTGATCTCTGCCCAGTGCCACAGTCTCCCCTCTCCCAAAATTGTAAACCCAAGACTTCATGCAAGGTCAGGGAAACTCAGGCCCAGAAACTATGAGACTTAGGGCTATCCAGTGGGGCCAAATTTGAAGCAGTGGGGCGCAACTTGAATTTGTTTTTGTAGGGCCCCAGTTCACTGCCAAAGTCTGCAAAATCTTATAGATATAAATAAAATCCATCTAGATTGCCCTGGTGTGGGGGGCCCCTTAGGAGCGGCACGCAGGGCCCAATTTGGCCAAATTGCTCCAATTGCCTTAAGGTCAGCCCTGATGAGACTGTGCAGGGGTTGGACTGACAAGCCCTGCACCTTCTAGGTCCCTGGTGTCACTATTCAGAGTACAGACTCAAGGACTTGTTATGGAAATAAAGGGGGGCACTTATTGGAAATCAGTTTTGTCACCTCCCCCCCAAACCCCGGGACGATGAGCCCAGCCACTTTTTATTCACAGTTGCATAAGCACTACACTACAGCATGGCCATAAACCTGTAGGTTCAACCGCTGAAATATACACCCAATATGTAGCAATGGAGATTTATGTTACTTCTTTATGCTTTATGTGTTTTATGAATGGACTCTGTATTTTGTGAATTACCTAAGAGCCACCAATAGGGAGCTCTAGAATCTGACAGATAACCAACTGGGTTGTACCAAGCAGCGACCCCTGTTGCTGAAAGCAGGTAACCAGCAGGAAACGCTTCAGCTCAGCCTTAGCACTGTTAACTGAACAACCCCTGCTGTGCAGATAATGGAGAAAGCTCGTAAATTGTATCCCTTCCGGCATCCTGGCCAACTCTATTACACTGGTGTAAACCCTGGTGCACCAGAAGCCCAGAATAGCAGCAAATAAAATCCGCTTATACGTCAGTGACTGATAAGACTTGTCAACCTGTTCTTCCAAAGCCTTCCTATAAAGATCCAAAATACTGGCCAAAAGAGAGCAGGTCTGGGAAGAGTGAGGCATACAATGGGCACCACCAGTGAAAAGCCCCTGCTCCATGTAGCTCCTGTCCTGTCATTTGATAGGGTGCCCACTTGCCCTCCTTCTTGACATGGAATGCTCTCTATTGGAGTCTCCCGGTCCAGTACAAAGACCATAAGAAGAGAGAGCAGGGACCTTGAAATTCCCAGCAGCTGTTAATCAAGCAAGCAAGCAAGCACACAGGTCATCTTTGCCACAGTCAGGACTTGTTTTTGTACAATCTTGTTTGTCCCCAGTAACCAAAATTATATTATCAACATATACAAGCAGAGAAGTTGTTTTTCTTCATTTGGAAGGAATCGTACAAAACAAGGGGGCACTAAGAAAGAAAAGTTCCAGGGTAGCAAAGGAAATGAAACTAAAAATGCTTTTGCATTTTCAGAACTACCCAGCAATATCAAGTTATAGGAAAACTGGTGCTATTAACATTAACCCTAATTGGTTAATTGATTTGGCAACTTCCATGCACATGATGTCTGATGCTAATTCCCCCCCAAAGAGTTAAATGAGATTCAGGTGAGGCTCATATGCCTTGTCAATCCCAGCAGGTATATAACAGGAAGTCCCGGCCTGCCCAGGCCAATTTGTTTCGTCCGGTCTACTTTGAATAGAACTTAGCTGAATGCAATCCTCACTCTGTCTAATGGTAGGGCCAGCCCTAAAAGTCTTTTAAAAAACATTCTTTTGATTTTTCTATTCCTTGCAGGGGCTAGATGGTGACAATGGCTATGGTATACAAGGACAAAAAGGAGCAAAGGTGAGAGCCATGCTGTGAAGTTTCAGCCGCAGTGAACTATCACTCTTCAGCAGGGGTGGGGAACGTGTGGCCCTACAGATATTTTTGGACTAAACTCCCATAATCCTTGCGCATTAGCTGTACTGGCTGGGGTTCATGCAAGTTAGAGTCCAGCAACATCTGTAGGGTAACAGCTTCACCATCCCTGCTATACAGTGACAACCACTAACAGCAGGCAGTGCAATCTTTTAGGATGTCTCTTATGGAAACCTCATTAAAAGAAAACGAGGGTGCCCTTGCACAGATTTCTTTAGTTGCTGTTGGGTTTGTGCAGATGTTCCTGGTGGATTGTGCCTCCAATATTATATGGATTTATTGAGCACTGTTGAATAGACTCATAGAATCATTGAATTGTAGACTTGGAAGGGGCCACAAAGATCACCTGGTTCTGCAATGCAGGAATCTTTTGCCCAATGTGGGTCTTGAACCCACAACCCTGAGATTAAGAGTCCCGTGCTCTACCGGCCGAGCTAAAGCACACATTGGGGATGTAATCATTCTCATTTTGTTTTGAAAACACAGCCCATGCTTGCCAGCCAGTCTGTTAAAAGTGCCCCTGATCACACTTGCACCCATACATGGATGTATGTCACCACTGTGAGCAGTTTCCAAAATCTTGGGTCTGTTTGCCTGCTTGGGTGTGGGAATCCTAATCTTTGTTAATGCAGGAATGCTTATTAATTTACTGGTAGGGATCAGAGAAGCGTGCTTGTAGTGACTGTGTGCCAAAAGGGTCAGGAGCAGAACAAAGCAACGCTTACATCCAAGTCGTTATGCTTTGGTAAGCCCAGCTCAGTGATGGATTTGGTGCCCTGTGCGAGGTCAAAATCCTGGAGCTCTCCCGCCTGCTGGGAAAGTGCTAAGTAGGCTTTGGGGTGGGAGGGCTCTAGGATCCTACCAGAGCCTCATGCCTCCTTCCCAAAGCCCAATGCCTTGCTTTCTGGGCTTTGAGACAGAGCTCAGGGCCCAATGCGTGCACACCACTCGCAGAGCCCTAAATCGCCCCATTCTCAGAAGAAAGGGCAGCCAATTCGTAGCACAGTTTGCTTCCTTTGTCATGCTGGCTCATGTTCTGGCTTTGCATAGTCACATGCAGAGTGAAGCTTTATGAACCAAAGTGCCAAGAGGCCTCCTTTGGATGAGAGTGAGGCAGAGCACATTGGTAACGTTCCATTTTTAATTGTGGACAGCACAACGCCACAAGCGCAACCCATTCCATAACTGACAAGGGACCCATGTTGCTGAGATCATATAACAAAATAGATTCCGTTCGAAATATTAGAAGCCAGTATAAATGTTTGTTTTGTTGCATTACCTGGAGATCTGGATATTTGTCTGCCGATTTTTTCTAGTGTCCAAAACAAACAGTGGAATGGAATGCAACACTCAACACTTCCAATGCATGATAAATAGTTGTGATTGGGAAAGAAACACGACAATCTTTCCTGTATCAAGTGTAGTATTCTGGAGTCTGACGGTCGTCCAAAAACTACAGAGGGAGATGTATAAGAACTAACTTCATGGAAAGTTAGTTCTTCTGGTTGAATATGGAAGGATGTTTTGGCAGCTTCTACCTTCTGGAAGAAGGTACAGGGTTATAAAGACTAGGACTAGCCACCTGATAAACAGTATCTATCCAAATGTGATTTTGGTTTTAAACGCAGTGTAAGGTATTCAATATAGGATGCGGGTGGCGCTGTGGGTTAAACCACAGAGCCTAGGACTGGCCAATCAGAAGGTCGGTGGTTCGAATCACCGCGATGGAGTGAGCTCCCATTGCTCAGTCCCTGCTCCTGCCAACCTAGTAGTTCGAAAGCACATCAAAGTGCAAGTAGATAAATAGGTACTGCTCCGGCGGAAAGGTAAACGGCGTTTCCGTGAGCTGCTCTGTTTCGCCAGAAGCAGCTTAGTCATGCTAGCCACATGACCCGGAAGCTGTACGCCGGCTCCCTCGGCCAGTAAAGCGAGATGAGCACCGCAACCCCAGAGTCGGTCACAACTAGACCTAATGGTCAGGGGTCCCTTTACCTTTAAGGTATTCAACTATGGGGTATCAGAGTTTTTAGGGGCTAACCAGGCTGGGATAGCTGGGATAACAGGCTTGTGGGTTTTTGAATGTCTGATGTAGATTTTTCCAATTTCGTTGTTCTGTATGGGACAATGACAATAAAGATTAGCATATCGTAGGGTGAATGGATCCTACGGGCTTTATTGTGACCAGCTCAGGATTCACTCTCCTGCTCTGTCTTTAACTTGCTTCTTGATGCTGCATCAGTGGCATAGCGTGGGGTGCCAGTGCCCGGGGAAGGAAGGAAGGGAACAGACAGTGTATGCATGTGCATTCAACTGCCTAAAGCATCTGCGTTACCCAGGAGATCGCAGCCGTAGAGATAAGAAGAGTTGTTCTGTTGTCTGGCGAGGTCATTTCCTGTTTTGCATGGAGAAGCTGTTTTCAACAGAGCCCAGTGCCGGAAGCAGTTAGCTGTATTAAGGCAGCACCGGGTACTGAAATTGCATGACCCCAACAAATTTTGTGCCCAGGGCAACCTCCACCCACACTTCGCCACTGTGGTGCATTAATGATTTTGACAGTGCACTAATCTGCACCTCCATAATTGCATTATTCTACCTCTCCTTTGATGCCAGAGTAACTCACCTGGGCGACTGTTGTAATGTCATAGGCTGTGACATTTTCATATCTCCACCCTATTCAGACATTATTCTCCATGTGATTAGGATCATATGAAGGAAGAGGAGCCTTACCCACTATACAGTACCAGCAGATCAGGTTTCTTAAGCTGATGATTAACTTTTCTAATGAAGCAGATAACTGCAGTACTGTTGGAGTGGCCATGAGATGTAATAAAAGCTGCCTGGGATATGACACCAGACACATTCAATGACACATTCAACTTGGCTTTACTCAGAGTATACCCATTGAAATGAATGAACATGACTATGTATAGCCCATTCATTTCAATGGGCTTGCCCTCAGTAAAACTATATAACATATATAGTTGCATTTGCATTTATAAACAATTAAAATAGTTGCACATGTAAAGCAATACAACACACACTCCAATACAGATACAAAATTGTAAATGTGTTTAATCTAAAAGAAAAGAAAATAGAGCTATTCTTTTTAAAACAACAGCAAAGAAAAGGTTGTGAAACGGCCAGCAAGGAAGTCACATGAGATCAAAGTTTTGTTTCTGTTTCTTTAATTCCAGGGGCAGCCTGGATTTCCTGGAAACCCTGGATTGCAGGTATTGCTTATACTCCTACAGTGACTCATTTATGTTTCCTGTATGGGTTGTTTTGATGCGGGTAGCGCTGTGGTCTAAACCACCAATCCTCTTGGGCTTGGCAGTCAGAAGGTCGGCGGTTCGAATCCCTACAACAGAGTGAGCTCCTGTTGCTCTGTCCCAGCTTCTGCCAACCTAGCAGTTTGAAAGCAGGCCAGTGCAAGTAGATAAATAGATACCACTGTGGCGGGAAGCTAAATGGCGTTTCCGTGCGCTCTGGTTTCCGTCACGGTGTTCCATTGCACCAGAAGCGGTTTAGTCATGCTGGCCACATGACCCGGAAAGATGTCTGTGGACAACAGCCAGCTCCCTTGGCCTGAAAGTGAGATGAGCGCCGCAACCCCAGAGTCGCCTTTGAATGGACTTAACCGTCCAGGGGTCCTTTACCTTTTGAGTGGTATGTTCCTTATTTTCATAGTCTTTAACTAGATGTGTTGATTTGGGCCATGGTTTGGGGCAGAGGGAGTTTTAACACTTGACCTTGCACCACAGCCTTGGTCCAGTTCGGAAGCCACAAAATGGCTAAACGCATACTCTTTTTCTCCTCTTCAGCACATAGCAACTCTGGGATGGCGACAGGATAATGCACTCCCCACTGTTAGCTGCTTTGGGTTTCCCTCAGGAAGGAAAATGAGGTTATGGGCAATAAATGAAAGGAACCCATTGGACTAGGGCTGCCATAAAAGGACAAAGGCATGCCACTCACAATGGCTTCGATCCAAATTAACTTTCTTTTCGTGCAAGGAAAGGATAAGCAATCCAAACAGGAGCTCTTAGCTGCAAAACTCTACTTCTGATTCCTTTCTAGGGTGAAGATGGAGATCCAGGCATTCCTGGAGATAAAGGTGCCAAAGGAATTAGGGGACAACGGGTGAGGATGATAAATGATCCTAAGCGGTTTGATATGTGAGAGAGGAGAATTCTCTTTATAACGGTTCTTAAAACTCCTGATGGTTTCTATCAGATGCCTTAAGCTAGAATCCAGTTGCTGCAATTTGTGACAGTCTAATAATGCCTCAGAGCTTTGTGAAAATGGCCACTCAAAATCCCGCCCTGCCCCCTTACTGTGGGAATTTGCTGGATATTCTCTGGACTTATTCAACATTTCGAGGGCACTGAAAAAGAAAAAGGAAATGTTTCTGTGCACCGCAGATCATTTAAAAATATTATTAGGGAAAAACCAGTAGAATATCTGTTTTAATTGACAATATACTGTAGATCCCAAGTTATTTCTGGGAAACCCAGCCAGATGGGCGAGGTATAAATTATTATTATTATTATTATTATTATTATTATTATTATTTCAAATTAAAAGCACATCATACATGAAAAGTACATTAAACAAGGTAACTGAAACCTAAGCAAAACATGTTGGGTTTAAAAGAAAAGAAAGTTTTCAGGTCCCCAATCCATGCACGTTTTACTTGGGAGGAAGCCCCATTGAACTTGGTTGGGATTTACTTCCGAGTAACAGTGGCAATTTTAATCTGAAATCTTAAACACTGTACTGCACCCAGAGCTCAGAAACTGCTTGTGTTTATGAAATTCCTTGTCGCAAAATGCGCCTAGAACAATGGGAGTTTTGAACTCTGAGAAAAAAGAATTGGTAGGAGCAGGCTCCAAGCTCATTTGCTATCTTTAGCAATATTAAAATGTGAAATAATATTGAATCCACAGCTGCCTAACTTTATTCACAGTCAGAGAACTGGGGGGAGGAAGGCATTTCACTGGGACCTGAAATTTCATTTCAAGGGAGCTGAAATTATCTAAGAGTTTGGAAGGAACCTAAAAAATGAAACTTTCAAAAAAATTGAATTTTCAGCCAACCCAAAAAACCTCCAAACCTTTTGTTTTCACTTATGAAGCCTGAAACAAGTTGTGTTATTTTAATGGGGCCTTTGCATTTTTAAAAGGGCCGTGGTGGAACACCAGGAGCAGTTGGTGATCCAGGACGCTGGGGAGAACCTGGAAGAATGGTAAAAGAAATACAGATTAATATTGAACTGTGAAACCAAATATAGCTGAAAATACATTATCAAATTATATTTTCTGGATCAGGCTTATATAAACATAAATATGGCTATGAGTTTCATCTGCAAAATCAACAGCACAGTATAGAAGTAGCTAAGTGTTGAATTCAAATTATGCTTTCCTTTTCAAAATTGCTCCATAAACGTGTGAAAGAATCTGGGGTGGGGGAAGGAATGATTTTGAGTTCAATCTAGAATCTTGATTTGTTGCTGTCGTTTAGTCGTTTAGTTGTGTCCGAATCTTTCTGACCCCATGGACCAGAGCACGCCAGGCACTCCTGTCTTCCACTGCCTCCCGCAGTTTGGTCAAACTCATGCTGGTAGCTTTGAGAACACTGTCCAACCATCTCGTCCTCTGTCGTCCCCTTCTCCTTATGCCCTCCATCTTTCCCAACATCAGGGTCTTTTCCAGGGAGTCTTCTCTTCTCATGAGGTGGCCAAAGTATTGGAGCCTCAGCTTCAGGATCTGTCCTTCCAGTGAGCACTCAGGGCTGATTTCCTTTAGAATGGAGAGGTTTGATCTTCTTGCAGTCCATGGGACTCTCAAGAGTCTCCTCCAGCACCATAATTCAAAAGCATCAATTCTTTGGCGATTAGCCTTCTTTATGGTCCAGCTCTCACTTCCACACATCACTACTGGGAAAACCATAGCTTTAACTATACGGACCTTTGTTGGCAAGGTGATGTCTCTGCTTTTTAAGATGCTGTCTAGGTTTGTCAGCAACAGCAAACTGTGGATATACAGTGGTACCTCGCAAGACGAATGCCTCGCAAGACGAATGCCTCGCAAGACGAATGCCTCGCAAGACGAAAGAGTTTTCCGTTTTTTGAGTCGTTCCGCAAGACGAATTTCCCTATGGGCTTGCTTCGCAAGATGAAACGTCTTGCGAGTTCTTGCGAGTTTGTTTCCTTTTTCTTAAAGCCGCTAAGCCGTTAATAGCCGCTAAGCCGCTAAGCCGTTAATAGCCGCTAAGCCGCTAAGCCGTTAATAGTCGCTAAGCCGCTAAGCCGCTAAGCCGCTAATAGCCGTGCTTCGCAAGACGAAAAAACCGCAAGACGAAGAGACTCGCGGAACGGATTAATTTCGTCTTGCGAGGCACCACTGTACACAGAAATCCATTTATTCTGAACTGAACATTCTCTGCCATGGACTGCATCATTCTACCCGAGGGGTAGGGCATTGTTCCCCACAGAATTAGGATGTGTGGGAAAATATACTAAGTATTGCCTGCTCCTGTGCTCCCTGAAGGAATACCAGCATTGCAAGCTGAAGGAAGCATTACAAGCTGATCATGTTGGAGAATCATGATCACTTAGGGAATATGGCCCAGTTTGCATGTAACGCTAAGCCAAAACATGACTTAGAAAACATGGATTCTCTCCTTCTCTGCTTCTCTTAGCTGGTGAGCCAAGTCACCGTTTAACTTTGTATTATGTCCAAACCTGAGCTCATTGTCTGTCCCCCAGACAAACCGTAAGAGGTAAAGGTTCATAGAATGAACCTTGGCTGGAGCCAGATAAGCCAAGAATTGGGTTTTTACTAGGGATGAGGGATGATTTGATTTCCATCTTAAAGGCAAATTTGCCTTCACTTTTCCAATGCAATAGGTGAGATCAAACACAGTCATCCATTGAAATTTACATGTCTTCCTGCTTTCTTCATACAAGTAATGCGTTCAAAAACTAGGCTTGCCATATATTGAATATTTTGTTGAGCTTTTTTCGGGGGAAGGGCAGGCAAAGTTGGGGTTTTTTTAATAGCTTTTTAAAAGCTTTTTTGGGGGGGCGAAATTCTCTGAAAAAACCCAACTCTTCCAATATGGGCTGCCATATACCCGAGTTTCCCCAGACATTTTAACCGCTTCAGGTTATGCCCATTAAGGCATATATTAATGAAAATAACATACAGAAATGCATTATACTAAAGGGAAATTGCATACAAATATGTGTATATTAAGCAAAATACATATATTAGGAGAAATCACACAAAAATACTGATGAATCTTCATGAAGACTTTAAAAAAAATAGTAATTGTAAACTGATTTGAAAATGTGGAGAACACAATTTAAGATCGGGAAAATGAGAAACAGAAATCGACATATTCACCCATCCCTACTTTGGGCGTAAGGCTAAGCAGAGAAAAACAGCTGCAATCTTCTTCTTGAGAACCCACATGTTTGTTTGTTTGTGGTTTGGCTTAGCATGATAAAAAATTGTGGAATTGTAGAGTTGGAAGGGACAATGAGGATCATCTAGTCTGTGCAGTGCAGGAGCCTTTTTACCCAACATGGGATTCGAACCCACGACTACGAGTTTGAGTCTCATGCTCCACCAACTTATGCAAACCGGGAAAATGTATGAAACTCCCCCCCCCTCACACACATCATATCGGGGTGTGTTCATCAGCATGTGTGTATGTATTTATGTACAAGTGTATACAGAAATGGGGGAACAGGGTAATTTGATTTCCTAAACGTATACCTACTTTTTTCAGGGTCGTAAAGGACAAAAAGGCGAACGAGCAATGACGGTATGCGATAAGCTACTTCCTCACACCTGATACACCAGGAACTTATCAACCAGTAAATGGAAATATACATAGAATTGTGTTCTTAACGGCCGAGCTTCAAAATTCTTCCTTGCTAAAGGAAAGGGCAACAAATGATCAGTGAAGCAGTCATTGGGTGGCGAGTTCCCGCCTCCCACCAGTAGAAATAAACACACAAGACACCGATATTTAGGTTAATGGGCTAAAATTGGCCACAACTTTATTGGTTACAGGTGATGAGTGGTATTGGCTTAGGCATTGGTCCTAATTGACAGTCTGGCTGCCTGAAGGCCAGGAAGGGTTAACACCAGCAGGGGGAGCCCTGCTGATGCACATCAACTAGGCACTCCCCTGGGGTCACCGCTCAGGGGCGTGCCTTGGGTCCTGGCCTCCATAGGCTTCGGACGGGGCCACGCCCCCCGGAATCCTTTACCGGACTACCCTTCACTAACCGGGGGAGGTGATGGCGCTTCTCCCCCCATTCATCTATATAACAATACCCCTATCAATGCCTAACCGCCAAACTGAGGAAGTTGTGACGATTTGCTATGAGGTAGGCGAAAAAACCAAATGGCTGGCGCCAATTTGCCTAGTGGAAAATTCCTACCAGGCCCCTTAACGGCGACCAACCGAGGTCCATAGCAAGGTCAAAGGAGAAACCTTGAAGGGTGGGAGGGTGGGTAATTCACCCAGCTGAGCGGCGGCCAAAGAGGAAGATCCCCTGCTGCGCATGCCTTAAATGCGGCAAGCCACACCCCTGAGCCAGCCGATTGGCTGGCCAGGGGGATGACGCGGCAAAGGATTCCCCTGATCGCGCGGGGCTGGGAGCCAGCCTCCGCGCGAGTGTTGGGGGCGTGACGCCTGCAACACCACCTCCTCCCGAGATCGGAAGTGGCTTTGGATGGGAGAAGTGGGAAATCTGGGCTGAAACATGGAACCTGGTACAGTTCCAACTAATGTCTGCCACCGTAGAGCTTCATTTTTTGACAGCTTGGTGGTTATTTATTGTATCAGGTTAATTTAATTGCCTTTTATTTATTTATTACATGCTGTTTTAGGATTGTTGTATGTACGCAGCCTTCCGATGCCAACATGGCAACTGACATTTCATTGACAGTAAATAAAATTTGCCGCAGCTGTTAAAAATGAGAGCTGTATTTTAGAATGGGCTGCAGCCTTATGCATACTCACCTGGGACTAAATTCCATTGAACTCACTGTGATTTAGGCATGCCTAGCATTGCACCATTGACCACACTGGTTTCCCCCCCTTATCTACAGCCTTGTGAACTTGTAAACTTCACCAGAGGAAACTGCCGTAAGTAATGACCTCCTCTTAGTACTAAAGACTAGCAGAGGGCCTTGCCAATCTGATAGTTGTAATTTGACGCAGGTTGTGTGCACTAAATGTTTAGGGAAGTTTTTAATGTGTGACATTTTAATGTATTTTTAATCTTTGTTGGAAGCCGCCCAGAGTGGCTGGGGAAACCCAGCCAGATGGGCAGGGTAAAAATAAGAAATTGTTGTTATTATTATTATTATTATAAAATAGATTTGTTTCTCCATCCTTTGGGGGATTTCTTTAAAAGTGAACCCCTTTCCTGTCAAATGAGCTTACTTTCAAAAGCTGTGGTGTCCAAAAGAAGACAGAATTATTGCACCTTTAATAAAGGTAAAGGGACCCCTGACCATTAGGTCCAGTCGTGACCGACTCTGGGGTTGCGGCGCTCATCTCGCTTTATTGGCTGAGGGAGACGGCATACAGCTTCCAGGTCATGTGGGCAGCATGACTAAGCCGCTTCTGGCAAACCAGAGCAGCACACGGAAACGCCGTTTACCTTCCCGCCGGAGCAGTACCTATTTATCTACTTGCACTTTGACGTGCTTTTGAACTGCTAGGTGGGCAGGAGCAGGGACCGAGCAACGAGAGCGCACCTCGTCGCGGGGATTCGAACCGCCGACCTTCTGATCGGCAAGTCCTAGGCTCTGTGGTTTAACCCACAGCACCACCTGTGTCCCTTTAATAGTTGTCTGGAAAAGGTATCTCAGCAGGTTTAACTTTTTCATGGACACTACTGTTAAAGGTGGAAGAACCCTGTCTCTCTTTTGCATCTGCCCTTGGTTAGGAGTGTAAATGGAGGACAGCAGTAACACAGCACTGGACTGTGTTGATCTGTCTTTTACAATATCACCCCAAAGGATAAAAGTATTCTCTCTCTCTCTCTCTCTCTCTCTCTCTCTCTGTGTGTGTGTGTGTGTCATAGTCTAATTTTATCAATCCTTTGAACATACACCTGCCATTTTTGCATAGGAACGTTCCCAATGTACAAAAACAGAAAACGATAAATTATGAAACCTTTACAAATACACACATTATAATTTTTGCATCTAAATTGACTTTATTTACTAGTAACATTCCAGTTAGGACCTGTCTCAAATCGGTCATGTTCTCCTGAAATCTTCAGTTTGCAGATGGTCTTTAATCCTCACAATGTCTATACTGAGGTATTATCTTATAAATAAGCCTAAAAATACCAAGTTCCGTAGCTACTCAAAGGCCTCGTTCACACAGCAATCAGCCATGATATGTTAAAGCATGTTTTGGCTGATTGTTCAAACCCTCTCCAGTGGCTTAACTGTGATTTGTTTACTGCCAACAAACCATAGTCAGAAGCCATAGTTGCTTGTGTTAACTATAGTTTGGCAATATGTGTGAACCCAGCATATTTCCTTAACCATGGCTTGCTTGCTTACCAGCCTACAAAGGCATGAGACAAGAGCTGCTGGAAAACAAAACATAGTTTAGAGAAACAAGCCGGGATTTAACTGATGATCTAAGGGACAACTTGTGGTGAACTCGTAAAGAAAACATGGCTTAGTGTTATGTGCAAACCAAGCCGATAATTTCATGGCTGGGCTAAAATCTGAACTCACAATTCCCGGCTTAAATAAGGCATGCTGTGACTACATTCTTTCTGCTACTTTGCTTTATCCAAAGCCGAAAGCGAATTTTTCATTGAATGTCGCAACAAGCGAAACGCTCAACACAAGTTCTGTCTGTGTGTTTTTGAGGGTTGTTATTGGATATGTAATGTATGTGAATGAACAAAACCAAAAGACACTAAGTGACATTAAATCCCCTTTCTTTTATCTCATCCAGCTTGCTGTATAGGTAAGTAGATCTGCATTGGCTCTCAGTACATTTCTGAGCACAATTCAAAGTGTTGGTGCTGACCTTTAAAGCCCTAAGCAGCCTCGGCCCTGTATACCTAAAGGAGCGTCTCCACCCCCATCGTTCAGCCCGGACACTGAGGTCTAGCTCTGAGGGCCTTCTGGCGGTTCCCTCATTGCAAGAAATGAGGTTACAGGGAACCAGACAGAGGGCCTTCTCAGTAGTGGTGCCTGCCCTGTGGAACGCCCTCCCTTCACATGTGAAGGAAATAAGCAGCTATCTTATCTTTAAAAGACATCTGTAGGCAGCCCTGTTCAGGGAAGTTTTCAATATTTAATGCTGTATTGTTTTTAACACTCGATTGGAAGCCGCCCAGAGTGGCTGGGGAAACTCAGCCAGATGGGCAGGGTATAAATAAATTATTATTATTATTATTATTATTATTATTATTATTACTATTACAGTGGTACCTCAGGTTACATATGCTTCAGGTTACATATGCTTCAGGTTACAGACTCCGCTAACCCAGAAATAGTGCTTCAGGTTAAGAAGTTTGCTTCAGGATGAGAACAGAAATTGTGCTCCAGTGGCGCGGCGGCAACAGGAGGCCCCATTAGTTAATGGTGGTGCTTCAGGTTAATAACAGTTTCAGGTTAAGAATGGACCTCCGGAACGAATTAAGTACTTAACCCGAGGTACCACTGTATTATTATTATGCAAACAGATTCTGTTTCAACATATAGGAAAAGGTATCTTTTTTTCTGAAAATTTTCTGACTTTTTTCTTTTCCTCCACAATGGCAAGGTATGAAGAAGTGTCCAGTATACCCAACTGAAGTAGCGTTTGCTCTTGATATGTCTGGAGATGTTACCCCGGAATCCTTTGACAGGATGAAAGACATCATGACGTCTTTGCTGAAGGGTATCGAGATTAGCAGGAGCAACTGCCCGACTGGCGCACGGGTGTCGGTTCTGTCCTATAACACCAATACGAAGTACCTCATCCGGTTCTCTGACTTCCAGAGGCCGGAGCTTCTGATGGAGGCAGTTCAGAGAATTCCACTGGAGAAGTCCTCCGGCAGGCGGAATATCGGAAGGGCCATGAGGTTTGTGGCCAGGAACGCCTTTAAGCGTCATCGTCAAGGCGCCCTCATGAGGAACGTTGCAGTATTTCTCACCGCTGGACCTTCGCAGGACGCCACCTCCATCAATACAGCCGTATTGGAATTCAGCGCCCTAGATATCACACCTGTGGTCATTGCCCTCAGGGAAGTGCCTAATGTGAGACAAGCCTTTTCGGTAAGCAGGCTGCAATCGGAAACTCTTTTGGCATTATGTTGTTGTTGTTGTTTAGACATTTAGTCGTGTCTGACTCTTCGTGACCCCATGGACCAGAGCATGCCAGGCACTCCTGTCTTCCACTGCCTCCCGCAGTTTGGTCAAACTCATGTTGGTAGCTTCGAGAACACTATCCAACCATCTTGTCCTCTGTCGTCCCCTTCTCCTTGTGCCCTCCATCTTTCCCAACATCAGGGTCTTTTCCAGGGAGTCTTCTCTTCTCATGAGGTGGCCAAAGTATTGGAGCCTCAGCTTCAGGATCTGTCCTTCCAGTGAGCACTCATGCTGATTTCCTTCAGAATGGATAGGTTTGATCTTCTTGCAGTCCATGGGACTCTCAAGAGTCTCTTCCAGCACCATAATTCAAAAGCATCAATTCTTCAGCGATCAGCCTTCTTTATGGTCCAGCTCTCACTTTCATACATCACTACTGGGGAAACCATAGCTTTTACTATATGGACCTTTGTTGGCATTAATGATCAGTCAGCAAATGCATACTGAGTGAATGGGTCTTGCTACTTAAATAAGCTCCTGTTCGGTACTTCTCTTGCTTGGTTCTTGTGAACTATAAAACATCCCTGTACTGAGAGCAAGCATGTCAGGGGAAAGGCCAGGCTAGAATGCATTTGCTTAATATCCAGCGTTCTACTTGCAGGGATGGGGTTTTGTTTTAAAGCACCCAAGAAGCATTTAAATGGGAGCATCTAAATGCACACTCTACAAGCATCCCAGAAGCAGATACGCGATCACATCTGCTGTTTGTAAAGACCAGGATTCCGTCACATCAGTTGCAGAAGAACCTGACAGCTTATTTGCAACAGCATTTAGTAAATTTTGCACTATTTTTTTTACCAAACATCTTATTGTCTAACAGATGGTAATCAGAATGGCGGAATTCAAATTTTAATTCTGAACTAGAATGTCAACATTTCGGGGGGTCTGATTTCAGTGACAAATCCAAATTGTGAAATCGGACATCGGTTAAATTTTGAATTTCAGTTTCAGCTCTAGTTTCTGTGTTGCTTGCTCCCTAAGAAACGTATAGCAAAATTTTGAAGTGTCCTACAGAATTGTTCTGGGGAAACGTAGAACAGCTTTTGAGGGTGGATCAAGAAGCTCCTTTGTATCTCTTAAGAAAAACGTTGCTTTAGACATCACCAGAATAGCCAGACAGCAGCAACGTGTTCAGACAAGTGGACCTCAGTGGTGGCGCAATGGGTTGGTGCGTCTTGCTGTTGACCAGAAAGTTGGTGATTCAAACCCACCCAGGGATGGCTGTGGGCAGGGGGTTGGACTAGATGACCCTCAGAGGTCTCTTCCAACTCTACAGTTCTATGTTTCTAAGTGCTTGTAATCTTGGTTTGTGATGTGGAAGTTCATCTACAGATTTTGGAGTGAATGGTAATTTGCAGGACTTAGAGCTTAATTCATTGCCAACTGAGTATTTGTGTTTGCACCAGAAAAAGAGCACACTGAAGCAAAATCTGGACAGTATGAATGGATTCAACATAGTCATATAATGATGAAAGCATAATTAATCTCTATGGAAACATTGCATTCATACTTCCATTAACTCACGCTGCACCTTCACTCCTAGAAATCTGTTCTTCCAGTATCTGATTTGGCTTTCTTCTACCTCAGTCTACATAGCACTGTTTGTAAACAGAGCCTCAGTCATAACCCCTGTGGAAGTTAGGGCTGGCAGAAAATAGCAATAATTTATTCCAGGATTGTCTATTTCTTTTAATTGCCGTAGCATGCATTCGTGAGAGTGAAAGCATATGCTTGACTTCCAGTCCAACAATTTAACGACTTCTACAGAGTCTCAGATTTTCCTCTGATCGGTTGCCAACTTTTTAATCTTCTTCTCAGTTTTGCAAGCTGTAAACTCGAGAAAGAGCAGCGAGGAAATAATAATTCAGATTTGAAATAGCAAAACCTCCTAAAAGATGTCCAGCCAATTCTGAAGGGAGTACGATTGTTGGAGTACAATATGGAAAGACAAGTTAAATACGTTGAGATCTCTCTCTTCCATTTTATCAGTGTGAGCAACACATGATGAGTCCTTAATTTACCTTCCAGTTATTCTCTGCATAAATATGGTTTTCCTATCCTCCAACAGCAATGTAGTAGTAGAAGTAGTAGTAGTTATTTCTATGTTGTCCTTTCTCTCCTAGGATCCCAGCAGGATTACAATACAAAAATCACAAAATTTCAAATTAAAGTGTCTAAAAACTCCATATCTACAAGAAGAACCTAATTTAACACAGCCAGCTCACCATATCAGCCTCTGGCTCCCAGGACATATTTTATGTCCCCAAGACTGGGTGAATACTGTAAATACATCTTGGAACCTGAAAATTATCAGTGTGGAGGACAAATGAACTTACCTAGGGAGTTCCACAATTGGGGTGCCAACACCGAGAAAGCTCTGTTTATGAAAACCACGGGTCATACCTGGTGATGAACAGAGACATCTGATCATCTGCTAATTGATGAGAGGAAGGTTGTCGATTTTGGTTGACCTCAAACCTTCCCAGTCTCTCATCCTACCTTCCATACTGTTCTGAAGGGTCTCTCAACCTTCTGGAGCGGATTATCAATGGGTGGAGATGGGAAGAGGAAGCATGGGTGAAAATCAGCTTCCTCCTTCCATTTGTGGAAGCATCTACTGGAAGAAAAACCTGTCTGTGAATGGAAGGGAGCCAATGGATTCTACCCTACATTTTTCATGCATTTCCTTTTGTTTAAATGTATTTTTAAATTTTTTAAAAAATTGCATTTATTTAGGCAGATGATACTCAGCGATTTCAGTTATTTGTCTGGGAAACGAAGGAGGATGAAAACCTGAACACAGTCTCACGTTGTGCTCTCTGTTTCGGTAAGGCCATTCATTTTGTTCGTTCTTAAATTAGTGTATGTAGAATAATCTCTCCCCCCCCCCCGCCCACCTGTTCTGACAGGTCTTCTTAATTTCAGAACTCAAACTTATTCATTTGGAAGTTGGATGAGTTTGCGGATAACAAGCACCAAGTATTCTAAATGTTGTTTAATTATTCTCAGCAGAAAAGCTACTGTGGCAATTCTCAGGTCAAGATGGCAGCAAAGACCTTGAGGCTAAGGGACAGAGACCCCCATTGAAATCAGTGGGATGTCTAAGTAATCATTTATAGGATTGTGTAGGTAATGACGTAATCACAGTAGAGTCCAACTGGGAGCACCCCAAAGCAGATACCTTTCCCTATAAGTTGCCAGAATACCAGTGGCATGGCCCTATATATCCAGTCTATACGAATCAAATGCCCCATATTTCAGCATTTCAGCGTACTCACAGGCCAAAATTACAGCCACCTGGGCAATACCCTATGGCTGTTACCATAAATGATCTACACTTATCATTTAATTTGTACATAAAGGAGGAAAGGGTGTAACTTTGCCATTACCGTTGCAAGAGGAAGCATATTTTGCTTCTGGATGATTAATGCATATGTGACCGCAGGTATAATCTTAAAAGACACCTTTTCCATCGTCTCTCATATAGCATACCGTTTACCTGTTGTTTTTAGAAATATGCCTATTAATAATAATTGTAAAACATTGCTGATTATTTCAGGTCAGGATCCCTTTGGGGTTAGAATGCATGCTTTGCCAATTGTTTAATCTAACAGCTTCATTGACTAAACTTTGCAGCTGTAGTTTTTGAACATATGGAGAAAGTGCATTTTTTGGGGTAAGCATTTGAAGACATTTGTTTTTTTGCCTAATTTTCCATTGTTATTCTGGCCTGTGATTTTACCATTCTTGTACTATTATTTTTAGTGTTTTAAATCTTGATGTCTATTTGTATTCTCACCATGCAAACAGCCGTAAACAATGGGATAATTAGAACTAAATAATTAAGCAACAAAAAGTGCATTGCCTCATCTCTGAGTGAGGCCTAAATAAACTGTGGTATAAAGAAAATATATTTCAAGTAAGGAGCATGCTCTCCATTAGCTAGGATTATATATAACTTGGAATATATAGACCATAAAATATAGTCTCTCTTATATATACACCGTATTTTTCCGTGTATAAGACGCCCCCATGTATAAGATGAACTCCCCCTTTTTAAACCCAAAATTAAGAAAATGCACTATGTATAAGACATGTATAAGACAACCTCTTATTTTAAACTTCAAAAATTTAGGAAAAATATAGTCTTATACACAGAAAAATACAGGAGAGAGAGAGAGAGAGAGAGAGAGAGAGAGAGAGTATAAATATGTTTAGGGCTGTTTTTTTCTGTTCTCTGTCTCAAATAGCGAGCATTTCAGAAATAATTGTTTAGAAATAGCTTTAAGAGAGAAGCAAAGCAAAATTTGAGCAGTGTCTAAACACATCTTATCAGACGCTCCATGCAATTTCTTGCTGCCTAATGTTTCTTTCACAGATAAGTGTAACCCTGCTCCAGAATGCCGGGTGATGGATTCCCCTCCCATCCTAATCAACATGGACATCACATACATCCTTGACAGCTCTCGGAACGTGGGGAGTGAGGACTTTGAGACCATGAGGACCTTTGTGAGCAACATGTTGGATTCTTTCGTTGTTGCTTCTCTACCCATGGAGTCGGATGGAGGGGCGAGGGTGGCATTGGTGCAGCAGGCTCCGCAAAATTTCACTGTCGACGGATTCTCAAGGCCAGTGAAGGGAGAGTTTGACTTGGTCTCCTATGACAACAAGAACCTGATGAAAATGCACATCGAAGAATCCGTTCACCAGCTGGAAGGTCCATCAGCAGTAGGACATGCTCTAGATTGGACCATCAGCAACGTATTTTTGGAAGCCCCCAACCCAAGAAAACACAGGGTCATCTTTACAATACTCGGGAGTCAGACAAGTTCCTGGGACAGGGAGAAACTGAGGAAAATGTCACTAGAAGCCAAGTGCCAAGGATTCACTATGCTCACCTTAGCTCTTGGAAGTAGAGTTGACGATATGGAGATGACAGAACTCTCTAGCGCTCCAGTAGAGCAACACCTGTTGGCCCTGGGCAGGACTGGTAAACTTGAATTGCCATATGCTCTGGAATTCAGTCGAGCCTTCTTAAATCTTTTAAAACGTAAGTGCTACGCAGTTTGGTGGGCTTCCTTTGCTACTGAGTGATGCTGTGCTAGGGGCTGTTTATCTGCCATTCTAGGTGACCTGTTGCTTCGTACATAAATTTGCCTCGGTCCATTTAGAGCAGGGGTTTCCAACAGATCGATCGCGGTCTACTGGTAGATCCCTGCGAGGTTTTGGTAGATCACGGTCGATCTCTGGCTCCCTTTCCTTAGTGTCGCTAAAACTGACTCCTGCCACACCCCCTCACCCCATCCTCCATTGTTGTATGATCTCTGGAAGGGAAGATGGAGCTTTCTCTGTGCTGCTGTTTTCATCCATATCCATCTTTTTGTGAGTGACCCCTTTGTCCCTTGCCTTTAATCCCCCCCAAAAAGTGGAATTTCCCCTCTAAAAGCATTTTTTAAAACCCCTCAAAATGGGCCTTTTCTCCTCTGTAAAAAAGCTTAACAGCTTAAAAGCTTTAAAAAATTTTTTTAATAATTTTTATTAAGTACAAATTAGAAAACATACATATTTACAACAAAAGAAAATACAAAGGAAAAAGAAAATGCATATAACCAAGGAAAAAAATTAGAGAATACTTTGCCTCTTTTCATGTTTACAGTTATTTATACCTGTATAAAATGCTATTCACAATAAAGGAGTGAAATGAAAGAAAAGATATCAGAAAAAAAGAACAAAGAAAAAATAAAGAAGTAAAAGAAAAGGATCGTAGGTGAAATTTTTTAAAAGTAGATAAGTATTCACTATACATAGCCGTTTCCCATCTATATTTATATTCAATTGTATAATTTCTTAACAACATTGAGCTGAACCCCCCAAAAACTGGGGCAGATCACTGCCAGTTTTTAATTCTGAAAGTAGATCACGGTCTCTTGAGAATTGGTTACCCCTGATTTATAGGATAGATTATACTCTTACAGTGCCATCACATACTCTAAATGCCTACTCACTTGTAGACCTCAATGGGGATTGTGTCCAGGTGAGCAGTTAGAAAATTGCAGCTGTTAACCCATTTACAGGGGAATAAGCCCCATTGAACGTGGTGAGATTCACTCAGAAGTGAGTAAGCATGTCTAGGGTTGCAGTCTTAAGCAATACACAAATTTGATCCCAGCGTGTAATTTTTCTTGGGGCAGATTTGAATTGTTTTGGTGCAGAAGAAGCTTGGCATGAAATGGATGTCCATCAAGCTTCTTCAGAAGAGGCTGCAAAGTTTGCACTTGAGTGTTTTTCAGGGTGTTGTCCCTATTAGAAAAACAATCAAAACATTTACAGCAGATTAAAGGAGACCTAGGCAATGGCATCCGTCTATGTTTCCTGGATGCATCACTCCTAAAGCTTCACTGCTGTTGCTTTGGAGCAAGAAAGGAGCTGTGGCTCTCAACCACAGTTAGGCAGGATTTAGTATAAATAATAAATTGTTGTATTATTAGAAGAAGAGTTTGGATTTGATATCCTGCTTTATCACTACCCGAAGGAGTCCCAAAGTGGCTAACATTCTCCTTTCCCTTCCTCCCCACGACAAACACCCTGTGAGGTGAGTGGGGTTGAGAGACTTCAGAGAAGTGTGACTGGCCCAAGGTCACCCAGCAGCTGCATGTGGAGGAGCGGAGACGCGAACCTGGTTCACCAGATTATGAGTCCACCACTCTTAACCACTACACCACACTGGCTCTCTTATTATTATTATTATTATTATTATTATTATTATTATTAAAAACTCAACAGATTTATGGAGGGTGCCCCATATGTCCAGAGATTATAAATCTGAAAGTTCCTAACACCATGTTCTATGGCAGGCCATGTTTTCAGTTTTGATTTACCCAGAGAACTCTGTGCTTACTTCATTGCTTTCCTTTCCCTTTTCTTTTCCCTCAGGAGAAATGAATCCTTATCCTCCTCCAGGCCTGCAGGAAGAATGTGAAACCCTGGATCGAGGAGACACTTACCAGCAGCTAATGAGGAGGACTGACAGGTACAAAAATATATATATCTGTTCCTCTCCTCTAGAATTAGGGACAAAAACTTACATTGGCTTTAGCAGGAGCAGGAAGTAAAATTTGGAAATGATCTAGGGCAGGGGTGGCCAACTCCTGAGGGACTGCGATCTACTTTCAGAATTAAATCTGACAGTGATCTACCCCCATTTTTGAGGGGTTCAGGTCAAAAGCAGAAGGCAGAAGGCCTTCTCAGTAGTGGCCCTCCCACCAGATGTCAAAGAGAACAACAACTACCAAACTTTTAGAAGACATCTGAAGGCAGCCCTCTTTAGGGAAGCTTTTAATGTTTGATGTATTACTGTATTTTAATATTTGGTTGGAAACCTCCCAGAGTGGCTGGGGAAGCCCAGCCAGATGGGCCGGGTATAAATAATAAATTATTATTATTATTATTATTTATGTTGTTGTTGTTAGGAGAGGAAATGCCCCCTTTTTGTTGAGCTTATTTTATACCCTGTTTTATGCCCATTTTGTTGGGGTTCCGTGGGGGTGGCACTTTTAAGGGGGAAGGGGATTAGTCGCTCACCAAAACAGCGCAGGGGAGAGGGACCAGGGCCTGGTGCTCTTAGGCAAAAGCAAAGGAAAATGAGCCCGCCATCGACAGCGACCGATTGCAACCTCCTGGGGATCGACCAGTCGATCTCGATCGACCTGCTGGACATCCCTGATCTAGGGTATCCATATATCTTAGAATAATAGAATCTTTTGTATGACTCTTCTGCCAAACATATCTGAAGTCTTATCTCTTCCGCCCTGCCCTCCATTCCCCTTTTCAGTATCGTTTTCCCTGAAATAGTTTACAACGATTCTTTGCGACCGTCCCCATCACCCGGAGGAAACATGCAAGAAGAAATTATGGCAGCCACCCAAGAACCCATTAAGTACAGAGAAGAAGAGAAACAGTATGATGATTTCACAGACATCGGTGTTCAAGGTGAATGACGTTTTGAGCTAATTCAGAGAACAGTAGGTATGTTTGCTTGTATTGATAGATAGACAGACAGAAAGAAAGAATGACTGTGATATCCATCACCCCTTATAGTTATATTTCTCATTGGTAGCTCCAATCTGCTGTGCTAAAGTTTGAGGTGGGTTGCAGCAAGCAGAACGATCATCTGCCATTTCCCCCCAGAACAGAATCTAGAGATGGATCCAGTCACATCGTCTATCACATCGTTACTGCAGAGAAACAGTACCTGCACTTTCTTCTTGTGTCTTTCTACATGTTCGATAAAGTTACAATCTTTTTTCAAAAAAAATTTTTATTGGAATTTTATTTACAACGTAACATAAACCCCCACCCCCAATACACAACCCACCCTCATTAAACGTGAACATAACATACAGCGAGCATAACATACAACAATACAAACAACGAAATAAAAGGCTTCCTTTATCCTGTATCTGGCCTCCTTATTTACTTCTTATAAACTGTTTCCTTTATTATTAAGGTTTTTTCTAATTATAACTTAAATATCCACAAAGTCTCCTGCAGACATTAATCAAAACAAGTCCAGGTATGTATTTTAGGGCACTGTTTTGTGAAGTATTCTCTGCATTTTCCCCATGTTTTTTGAAACTCTTGTCTAGTGTGATCTCTAATTGCCTCTGTTAATCTAGCCAGTTCAATATACAGTGGTACCTCGGGTTACATACGCTTTAGGTTACATACGCTTCAGGTTACATACGCTTCAGGTAACAGAACTAACCCAGAAATATTGCTTCAGGTTAAGAACGTTGCTTCAGGATGAGAACAGAAATCGTGCTCCGGCAGCGCGGCAGCAGCAGGAGGCCTCATTAGCTAAAGTGGTGCTTCAGGTTAAGAACAGTTTCAGGTTAAGTACGGACTTCCAGAACGAATTAAGTACTTAACCCAAGGTACCACTGTACTGGCTTGTCTTGCCATTCCTTTTTAGTTGGCACAGTTTCTTTTTTCCAGTTTTTAGCAATTAGGATCCTTGCCGGTCCTGTGGCATAGAGGAATATTTTCTGATCTTCTCTTGCTATACCTGTGTCCGTTATCCCTAGTAGAAAAGCTTCTGTATTTTTCAAAAAGTTATACTTAAACATTTTATGCTCGTCATATACCGTGTTCCAGAAGCTTTTGATTTTTTCACAGGTCCACCAAACATGTATAAGTGTCCCCTCTGTTTTACCACACCTCCAGCACAGATTTGTTTTTGTCTTATACATTTTAGCTATTTTGGTACCATCTATAAAACACAGACTTGATGACACACCCCGAGAATAAGATTGTAATTTATTTATAGATGGTTTATAGATAAACTTACAATCTTATTCTCGGGATAGAGTCATCAAGTCTGTGCACTCACTACCTGCCATCATGTATGCTGCCACACGTGATTCCTGGCATATGGGCGTATTTCAGTTACAACCCTTTCAAGAAATAAATCCAAGAACTGGATATGTGTTCTGCCAAGCCACACATAACAGTAGTACCTTGGTTCTCAAACTTAATCTGTTCCGGAACTCTGTTCCAAAACCAAAGCGTTCCAAAACCAAGGCGCGCTTTCCCATGAAAAGTGATGCAAAACGGATCAATCCATTCCAGACTTTTAAAAAAACAACTCCTAAAACAGCAATTTAACATGAATTTTACTATCTAACGAGACCATTGATCCATAAAATAAAAGCAATAATCGATGTACTGTACTATAGACAGTATCTTAAAAAGACAGCATCTTAGACAGCATCTTAAAAAGCAGAGACATCACCTTGCCGACAAAGGTCCGTATATTTAAAGCCATGGTTTTCCCAGTAGTGATGTATGGAAGTGAGAGCTGGACCATAAAGAAGGCTGATCGCCGAAGAATGGATGCTTTTGTATTATGGTGCTGGAGGAGACTCTTGAGAGTCCCATGGACTGCAAGAAGATCAAACCTCTCCATTCTGAAGGAAATCAGCCCTGAGTGCTCATTGGAAGGACAGATCGTGAAGCTGAGGCTCCAATACTTTGCCCACCTCATGAGAAGAGAAGATTCCCTGGAAAAGACCCTGATGCTGGGAAAGATGGAGGGCACAAGGAGAAGGGGACGACAGAGGACGAGATGGTTGGACAGTGTTCTCGAAGCTACCAACATGAGTCTGACCAAACTGCGGGAGGCAGTGGGAGACAGGAGTGCCTGGCGTATTCTGGTCCATGGGATCACGAAGAGTCGGACACGACTAAACGACTAAACAACAACTGTACTATAAAATAAATTAGACAGTATTGTAGATGATAGAAATTAAAATTAATTTTTTTTATTACCTGCACTGATGATCGTCATTGTTTGGATGGGGGGCTTCTATCCATTTCCATAGTCATGTTGTTGTTGTTGTTGTTGTTGTTGTTTAGTCGTATAGTCGTGTCCGACTCTTCGTGACCCCATGGACCAGAGCACGCCAGGCACTCCTTTCTTCCACTGCCTCCCGCAGTTTGGTCAAACTCATGTTGGTAGCTTCGAGAACACTATCCAACCATCTCGTCCTCTGTCGTCCCCTTCTCCTTGTGCCCTCCATCTTTCCCAAAATCAGGGTCTTTTCCAGGGAGTCTTCTCTTCTCATGAGGTGGCCAAAATATTGGAGTATCAGCTTCAGCTTCAGGATCTGTCCTTCCAGTGAGCACTCAGGGCTGATTTCCTTCAGAATGGATAGGTTTGATTTTCTTGCAGTCCATGGGACTCTCAAGAGTCTCCTCCAGCACCATAATTCAAAAGCATCAATTCTTCGGCGATCAGCCTTCTTTATGGTCCAGCTCTCACTTCCATACATAGTCATACAATCGTCAATCAATCAGTCAGTAGATGAACTGGGTTTCACACAGTCACAAAAACAAATTAACCGAAAAAGCCTCAAAAACGAAAACGCAAAATAAATAGCAAGTGCAAAAGCACCAAACTTAATCCATTCCGGAAGTCCGTTTGACTTCCAGAATGTTCAAAAACCAAGGGGCAGCTTCTGATTGTTGCAGGTGCCCTGGAAACAATAGCCGACAACCGCAGTGGACATTCCAAAAAATGTTAGAAAAACAGAACACTTGCTTCCAGGTTTTGGCCATTTGGAAACCAAGGTGTTTGAGAACCAAGGTGTTTCAGAACCAATGTACTACTGTACAACATAATGGGGATATTCGTGTGAACATTCTGCCCCGTTTTATGGGAAGGATTGCCAGTTTGGCTAACGTGTGTCAACTGACCCCCGAAAGTGTAGTAATAGTGATGTTTGGCCATGGATAATGTAGGCTGATGAGACAAAGTGGGTTTCATTCAAAGGTTCCCTTCTTCTGCCAGACTCTTGCCTCTCTGGAAGAAGTTCCTCCTTTCAGAAGAAGGCAACATTTAGCTAAAACCCCATGTGTTTAATTGATGATGAGGTAAGCGATTTCTGTGAAAACAGCCTACACTCAAAAAGAGCTTGTCTTTGCCAGCTCGAAGAGATGTTTATAATTCTTAGTACATTGGAGCACTGCTTCTGGGTCTTCTTCAGATCAAAGTGTCCCTTGGGAAGACCAGGATTAACTATCAATTGGCCTCCTTCTGGCAGGAGCCGAGCCATTGAACAACCATGTCCTGCTCTGAGCAGAGGTTTTAGCCCTGTGTTAGTGAAATTGTCTTTGGATATTTCTGACTTGGAGACAATTAGAATAATAGAATTGTAGAGTGGGAAAGGACCCTAAGGGTCCTCTAGTCCAAACTCCTGGACTAGAGGACCCTTAGGAATCTCAGCTAAAGCATCCATGGCCGTCCATTAAGCAACACATTTAAGAAGAGTTTATCATTCCCTGCAAAAATGAAGCCTGCAGCTGACAGCTCATTTGACTTCCTTATACTTTCTATACTGATTTGGGGCCATTGAAGCATAGCTGTCAACTGTCCCTTATTTGGTGGGAAAGTCCCTTATCCCAGTGCCGTGTCCCACTGCTGTCCCTTATTGATGATGTCCCTTAAATTTCCTGGCTTTCAAAGGAAGCAGCTCCTCTCCCTCCCTCCCTGCCAACCAGGGAGGAGGGAGGCTCCAACTGTGTAGCTTGGCTGCGTTGCTCACCCAATAAGGAGTCTAAGAACGACTGGGGGGGTGGAGCTTGCATGCTTTGTGCCGATCAAATCGGCCGCATTGCCTGGGGACTCGTCTTTGCTCAGCGCTTCCCAGCGGAGAGGTGACGGTGGTTTTCCTTGCTGCATCCCCTTTGCCGGGTTGCTGCGCTGTGGGAACCACCGCTTGAGGCTTCGTTTGTCTGCTGGTTGACTAAAATCCCTTATTTTGGCTGCTGATCCCTTATTTTCAAATCTGTAAGTTGACAGCTATGCATTGAAGTCTATGGGGGAAACAGCTCAACAGGAAGTTCTTTTACTTAAGTGGTTTCCAATTTGCATCAAAAAGGTATTGTACATCTGAGTTGTTTTTATTTCTTTAAAATATAAGTTGTTGTTGCTTCTGCAGGACTACGAGTAGGTGCTCCTCTGCTGATCTCAGAACTTTCAGTGATTTTGATGTTGGTAATTGAAGATGTGAACTGATTAGAAAAGAGATGAAGGTCATAGGCTGGGAACAGGATGAAATCACTAAATCACGTTCTGGCATCTGCTACTCCTATGTAACAGCTTCCTTCTGGCTTTAAGGGCCGGGAGATATTGATAGAATTGGAGAGGAGTCTTGAGGTTATTGCCAACGTCAAAGCCAGAGTGAACTCCCTCTTCAAACATTGCAGAAAAAGTATGGCAAGAAGTTTGACTTGTTAATGCTGATTCCTTTGTGAAAACTTTTTGGAACACGCAAAAGCTCTTTTATATGATATATCTCATTCTTTAAAGCCTTTTGTTATGGTGTGTTTATGTTTTGGAACACATGTCCTCCATAGTGCTCATAGGCCCCTAAGGGGCAGAGCCCTTCCTTGATAGATTATAGTTATTCTGTAATGCCTAATAGAGGTTTAGCAAAGTAAGTACTATAGTGATTCATGGTCCGGTAATGTCTCATTTAGACCACTGTAATGGGATGTACATGGTTCTGCCTTTGAAGACTACTCAGAAACTTCAATTGGTTCAAAATATAGTGGCAGGATTGTTAACCAGGACCAACTGAGCGGAAGACATCTTGTCTCTCTTAAAACAACATCACTGGCCAAGGTTCCTGTTAAGTTGTGGGTGAACATATCAGACGACACAGCGATTCTTCAAACAGCTCTTGTTTATTCACAGGCCAGAACAGAACTGAACTGAAGGGTTTAGCCAGCCTGCTTATACAGTGGTACCTCGGGTTACATACGCTTCAGGTTACAGACTCCGCTAACCCAGAAATATTACCTTGGGTTAAGAACTTTGCTTCAGGATGAGAACAGAAATCGTGCAGCAGCGGCGCAGCGGCAGCAGAAGGCCCCATTAGCTAAAGTGGTGCTTCAGGTTAAGAACAGTTTCAATTAAGAACAGACCTCCAGAACGAATTAAGTTCTTAACCCGAGGTACCACTCTATAGAGCTCCACTACAATGCAACAGTAACCATTTTCTGTAACTATCCAATCACTGAACGTCACTTTCAATCCCTTATTTGCATATGTGGACCTGAGTGAAAACTATCTACAGTATCCCCCTGCTGGCCCAGGGTGAAAACTTCAGTCCATAACAGTTCCATTTCAAAGCACGATTCACAAAGCTTCTTTCACACAGAGAAGTTTCCAGAAACTTCCAGAGCCCTCTTGAATTAAGCAGAACAGAAAAGATCTCTACATACCAGGGCTTTGGTCAGGGCTCAGCCTGACTCCCCTTCCCTTTTTGTATAAGAACTAGTACGAAAGAGGTCTCCCAGCATTCTCACAGGCCCATATAAGATCAGCGTACACAGTTGGGCCTGATGAGCGTTTACTGTTCCCAACCCAAATCCTGCGGAAAGCCATCTAATTCAGATTTTAATTGTATCCTGACTTGTTTTTAAGAGGTGATTTAATTATTGTTTGATTTTATATCAATGCTTATATTTGATGTTAGCCGCCCTGAGCCCGGGGGATTGCGGGATACAAATAAAAGTTTATTATTATTTATTATTTTTATTGTCAATACTTTCTATACTAAGAAACGCAAACTGACAGAGATTCCTGCATCGCAGGGGGTTTGGGGTCTCTTCCAACTTTACATTTCTATGATTCTATGATCTATTTGTAAAAGGAACATGTATCATTTTCTCATATCATAACCGCAAACCCTTCTGTTCCCCCCTCAGACGCTTGCATAGTGGATATGGACAACGGCGAGTGTGACGATTACGTTCTGAAGTGGTATTTTGAGAAAAAGCTGCACATCTGCACCCAGTTCTGGTATGGTGGCTGTGGAGGAAACGCCAACAGATTTGAAACTCGAGAAGAATGCGAAGCTTTATGCATCAACTCATCCTAACGTGGAGAGTGCCAGCCATGAACAATGGGTCTAGTTATCCACTAAAGAGGTGGAATAAACCCAAATACGAATACCCAAGATCAAATGAAACAGGTCTTAAATTTTGTGGCGCAGAGAGAAAGTTTTGTGCTTGCATCTGATAAGAGCAGCGTGTCTTGTGGTACCTTAAATACACAACAGATTTATTTTGACATATTTAGTCCACCAGAACTTCTGGTTTCCTTAGGATGTTTTGTTTTGTTTTTCCTTCTATAATCAATTAATAGCACAGCTCTGTAGGGGTTAAAGTAATTTCTTCATTGACTATGGAAGTGCTTTTTGTAGCTGAGGACATTTTTTTTAAAAAGACTAAAACTTGATATCATTTCATTACCAAGATGTGCACCTTGTACAGGAGACAAACGATACCTCAAACATTTGAAAGTGAGCTCTGGGTTGCCACTGACACAATGTCATGGCTAGTAGAACTGTTCTGTTTTTTCACAAGGTGTAAAATTACAAAATTGTAGTAATAAATGTTTCATGCAACTGATTCTTCTTAGTCCAGCTCTTTTTTTTGGTCTGAAATAAACACACTGTATTTGAATAAAAGCAGTTCCTCCAAAACAACGTATTATGAATATGAAGCCCACATTGCTGTTTCATATAAAATATGCAATTTACGTATTTTGGAGTATGTTCCATTGAACCCAATGGAACTTTCTTCTGAATAAACAGCTATAGGGTTGCATTGGCAAGTTATAGTGGTATCTTGGTTTACGAACTTAATCCGTTCCGGAAATCCGTTCTTAAACCAAAGCGTTCTTAAACCAAGGTGTGCTTTCCCTAGTAGCGGGGGACTTAATTTACAAATGGAACACACCCAACAGGAAGCGGAACATGTTCTGCTTCCAAGGCAAAGTTCACAAACCAAAACACCTACTTCCGGGTTTGCAGCGTTCTTAATCCAAGTTGTTCATAAACTAAGCTGTTCTTAAACAAAGGTACTACTGTATTGTCCTTTTTAATGGTGTGTTATTTATTTCCAAAAAAACACTGAAGTTTCAGTTTCAGAATCAACACAATATAATGTAGCATACCTATTGCCACCTACACACCTTAGTATTAGCTAAGTATTATTAAAAATCCAATGGATACATTCAACAAAACAGAAGGGTGTGCTTCTCTAATTGTTTACCTGATTTGGACGTCTAACTGCTGTTTTAATATTTGTTTTCACTGCCTTGAATACAAGCAGTTGATAAAAAAGGGACTAGGTAAACTTTTAATGTATCTCCAAAGAAAAAATGTCAAGTTTCTCCAGTATGGTAAATCAGCTTAACATTGTTAAGAAAACCAAACTTTTTTTAAAAACGCTGATTAAGTTTCTACTAATCCTTCTCAGCTTTTATTCTTGAAACTTTGGTTGGACTACCACCCCCATCATCAGTCTGCCTGGCCACTGCTGAAGGAATCCCTGCACTATGCCATACCATGGGGACATTGTAAACCTTTATACATACATGCATACATACATGCATACATACATAAATACATACTGTACATACATACATACCCCACCCATCTGGCTGGGTTTTCCCAGCCACTCTGGGCAGCTTACAGCATATCTAAAAACTTTATGCCTTTGTGTTGTTGTATATTACTAAATATCACCTCACACAGTCCCTCTTGTAAAAGGCAAAGGTAAAAAGGTAAAGGACCCCTGGACGGTTAAGTCCAGTCAAAGGCTACTATGGGGTTGTGGCGTTCATCTCGCTTTCAGGCTGAGGGAGACAACATTTGTCCACAGACAGCTTTCCAGGTCATGTGGCCAGCATGACTAAAGTGTTTCTGGCACAACAGGGCACCATAACGAGTGCCAGAGCGCACGGAAATGGTGTTTACCTTCTTGCCACAGCAGTACCTGCTTATCTATTTGCACTGGCATGCTTTCAAATTGCTAGGTTGGCAGGAGCTGGGACTGAGCAATGGGAGTTGATTCCGTTGCGGGGATTCGAACTGCCGACCTTCTGATTGGCAAGCCCAAGAGGCTCAGTGGCTTAGACCACAGCACCACCCACGTCCCTCATGTCCCTCTTGTAATGCGTGGCTGAATGAAATGAAAATGGGGGCACTGGATTGTTTAAAATTAACCAAAATAATTGATGGGAACACTTTCTGACCCAATCCCTTCTTTTCCTATTAGTCCACTCAGGGGCAAGAGGCTGTAGACATGAGTCACACAGCCTGCTTTAAATTGAAACCTGTCTGAGTGAATTTGATATTAGTAGTACAAATAAACACAGAAAGTCTTGATGGAGAAGCCATGAGCAAACTCTGCAAACCATCTCTAGCGGATGCCTATAAAGAATTTTACAGCATGCTACATTCCTGCATTTTTTCATATTCTTCTTTATGCTCCTTAAGCTCATAAATCTAACTGTCTGGAGTGTATAGAAGCCCAGCTATTGGGTTTCTCAAAAGGATCCGAAATGGCTTTCCCATATGCTATATCTTACAGACGCCCAGAACAAAATAAAATAAACATATCCCAGTAAAGCAAAAGGCATGTCGTGAACCATGGCTGTAGTCTTACACTCAGCTGGGCTGCATAAATCTCATTGAAACCAAACCTGTCTGCATTATACATTTAAAATGGCACCATACCACTTTAAACAGTGGAGTCTTCTCCCAAAGAATCCTGGGAGCTCTAGTTTGTTCAGGGTGCTGAAAGGTGTTAGGAGGTGTTGTAGCCACGGAGCTACAATTCCCAGAGTGGTATAATAATCAATCCCTCTTTCCCTGGATTCCTGAGAGGTGTTGATACGGGAGAACATCTCAGCACCCTTAACAAACTACAGATCCTAGGATTCTGTGGGGAAAACCATGGCTGCTCAGGCATGGAAGGTCTTAGCCAGGGGTCAGCAAACTTTTTCAGCAGGGGGCCAGTCCACTGTCCCTCAGACCTTGTGGGGAGCCAGACTATATTTTGAAAAGAAAAGAAAAGTGAACAAATTCCTATGCCCTACAAATAACCCAGAGATGCATTTTAAATAAAAGGACACGTTCTACTCATGTAAAAACACGCTGATTCCCAGACTGTCCGCGGGCCGAATTTAGAAGGCGATTGGGCCAGATCCGGCCGCTGGGCCTTAGTTAGCCTACTCATGGCCTTAGCACTACTTCAACATTTGATCATCGTATTTTGAATGACTTTTTGATGCCTGATTGGCATGCAAGAATTAGAGATGGCAGGATCAGATTACAGTCACCACACCCATCATCTTAATCTTCTAGCGCTAATACAGCACAGGTCAGTGTGGCCAATATTTGTAATATTTGTTTCATCTATTGAGTAGGTGAGTCGCTCCATCTGGTATGCTGGCTGAGACCCTATCTGCCTGCAGACTGTCTTGCCAGAGTGGTGCATGCTCTGGTTATCTCCTGCTTGGACTATAGCCATGAGCTCTATGTGGGGCTACCTTTGAAGGTGATCTGGAAACTACAATTAATTCAGAATGCAGCAGCTAGATTGGTGACTGGGAGAGGCCGCCAAGACCATATAACACCGGTCCTCAAAAACCTACATTGGCTCCCAGTATGTTTCCGAGCACAATTCAAAGTGTTGGTGCTGACCATTAAAGCCCTAAACGGCTTCAGCCCAGTATATGTGAAGGAGCATCTCCATCCCCATTGTTCAGCCTGGAGACTGAGGTCCAGCTCCAAGGGCCTTCTGACGGTTCCCTCACTGCGAGAAGTGAAGCTACAGGGAACCAGGCAGAGGGCCTTCTCAGTGGTGGTGCCCACCCTGTGGAACGCCCTCCTGTCAGATGTCAAGGAAATAAACTACTATCTGACTTTTAGAAGACATCTGAAGGCAGCCCTGTTTAGGGAAGTTTTTAATGTTTGATGTTTAATTGTGTTTTTAATATTCTGTTGGGAGCTGCCCAGAGTGGCTGCGGAGGCCCGGCCAGATGGGCAGGGTATAAGTAATAAATTGTTGTTGTTGTTTAGTTAGCTCATGGCATGTGTCTCTTGAGCCCAGTTCCACAGGCTGTTGCCCTAAATATGCCCCCACCCAGGGTTGGTACTGGTTGTTGGTGTTATAGATTGGAAGGGACACTCCCCTAAACCCTAGAAATGAATAAATGGTAGGATTTGGATGGCTTGAGATGTGAAGGAAGAAATACAAGCTGTAGAGGAATTCCTGGGCAGAATGACCAGGCCAATACAGTGGTACCTCTGGTTGCGAACAGGATCCGTTCTGGAGGCCTGTTCACAACATGAAAAGAGCGCAACCTGCAGAGGTGCATCTGCGCACAAGCGGGTTGCAATTCACCGCTTCTGCGCATGCGGGCGATGTCATTTTGCACTTCTGCGCATGCGCGAGTGGCGAAACCTGGAAGTAACCCTTTCTGGTACTTCCGGGTCGCAGCAGGACGTAACCTGAAAGAATGTAACATGAAGCAAACGTAACATGAGGCATAACTGTACCAGAGAACTGTCCTCCCCACCCCCTTGCCCTGAACAGAGACTGGGGGTTCCCTGGTGGTCTAGTGGTTAGGATTTGGTGCTCTCACCACCGCAGTCCGGGGTGAAACAAAACAAAACACAGAGATTGGGGGTTTGGAAGGTTGCCAGGGTAACTGGGAGTGAGGAGACAGGAAAAGAGAGGTTGTTTTAGCAAGGTGTTCTGGGAAGAGGAAGGAAGAAGAAAGGCTGTCATCCATCTTGGGCAGGCTGGCTAAAGGCTGGTTAGGAAAGATGCCTCGGACTCCAGCTGCACTGCTGTGGAGAACAAGCTCCTCTTGAAATGACCATGTTGTAAGGTCTGGACTCCCTCCATGCAGACTGAAGGTGTAAACAGGTGAATAAACCATTCTTCTTAAAGCTACAAAGCCACTTCCGCCCTGCAGAGGAGGTGGGATTGCGGGTGTTACGGCCCCACGCTGCGCAATTGGGGGAATCCCCAGCCACGTCACCCCCTGGCAAGCCAATTGGCTGGCTCTGGGGACATGGCCTGCCCCATTTAACGCAAGTACGGCTGGGGATCTCCCTCTTTTCCTGCCTATCAGCTGCTCCTGTTTCCCACCCTCCCGCCCTTTAAGGTTTTCATTCCTTGACCTTGCTATGGACCATGGTTGGTTGCCATTGAGGGGCCTGGTAGGAGTTTTTCCACTTGGCAAATTGGCACCAGCCACTTGGTTTTCGCCTACCTTGTCACAACTACCTTGGTATTGGAGGTTAGGAATTGGTACTGGTATTGTTTTGTAGATGGAAGAAGGGAGGAAGCGACATCACCTGCCCTGCATATTGAAGGGTTCCGGGGGGCGTGGCCCTGTCCAAAGCCTATGGAGGTGAGGGCCTAAGGCACGCCCCCGAGTGGTGACCCCGAGGGAGTTCCTAGTTGATGTGCATCAACAGGACTCCCCCTACTGGTGGTTAACCCTTCCTGGACTTCAAGCAGACGGGCTGAAGCCGGATATAGTCGATTAGGACCAATGCCTAAGCCAATACCACTCATTACCTGTAACCAATAAAGTTGTGGCCTTATTTAGCCCATTAACCTTAATAATTGTGTCATGTGTCTTTATTTCCACTGGGGGGGGGACGGAAACTCGCCATGCAACTGTCTCTGCCATGTCTCCTAAGGAACACAGACTCTGGAACCCCCTGGAATCTTGCTGCGGCTTGGCAGAAAATGGGGGGTAGCGCCCAAGTTTTGTAACAGAGCTGGGAACAGCCCTTCAGATGTTGAACTACGACTCTCATCATACCTGATCATGGGCTTCTGCTGGCTGAGGTTGATGGGAATTGGAGTTGATGGAAGGTCACAGGTTCCCCATTCCTGCTTTGGCTGCTGATCCGACGGCAGGATGCAGGTAGTAACAGTGAGATGCAAAACCTCCTTGTAAAACGGCACATTCTCACTATTATAGCTGGAAATGATAATAAATACTGTTAGAATTATGACGACGATGAAAGTCAATACTTGGGCATAGTGTTCATTTTCCAGTAAGCCCCAGAGGGATGTATCATATTTATACATCCTGTCCGCCCCCCGCCCCCCCCAGCCCCAAAACCGCTCCACGTAGAAACTATTCAGCTAATTTTCTCCGCGTTCTTTGGCCAAGAATGGTGGACAAGCGAGGCCAGGAAAATCACTTGATAGATCATCCCACTGGAACTCCAGCATCTCAGCGGCAACCAACAAAAGGTTCAGCAGCAGTTCAGATCCATCTCCAAATTGTCCTTGCAGAGCCGTTACCAATGGGCATGGCTTTGCCAGCCAAAACAGCAGTGGGGAGGGGGGAAGCCCCACACCTGAAGGAGTTAGGTCAGAACGCTGATTCACCCCTCACGCCCCAACTCTACACAATCTACAAAACACCAGGACCATCGTCTACCGCTGCTGGCTAAGGAATTTATAGGACTGGATTGATTCCCAAAGAGCAAATCAGGTTAGTAAGAGATTCTCCCAGGGCAAGGGTAGGCTCACTCTTCTCCTCTCTTGTGGTGGAATCAGCAAAGAAGACAGGCTGGAGAAGGGAAAGGTTAGGTAGCAGGGAAGAAAAGACCAGGAAAGGTCATCTTGGGAGAAGAGCGAAGTACTCTGGAGAACTTTAAAAATGCATCCCGTTTCAATGTGGAAGAGCCTTTTGTGGCAAATCGTTTCTACAGAGGCTTCCACTGCTCCTGAGATCCTCTGAATGGGTTTTGACCTGAGAAGCATCTTCTTTTTCCTCTTGGTAAGTAGCAGCAACTGTCTTTGGCGCTGGATAGGACAAGGAGGGTCCCCTCCTTTGCTTGATCATTTAGGAAATCCAATCTGGGCAGCAGAATAGAGCAGGATTGCTTGAATTTTGCCTTGTGGGTGTTTCTGCTCTTATACTCTCCCTTTCTCTCCCCCCTCCCCAAGATAAATAGATAGATAGATAGATAGATAGATAGATAGATACATTTATAGAACAACTTGCAATGCAAAGCTTTCCCAAATGACAATGGGTAAATACATACTTGCTAGGTCACATGTGCATCAACTTGTGTCCTATCAAGTAATATATCCTAAACCACAGAACCTAGGACTTGCCGATCAGGTCGGCAGTTCGAACCCCTGCGACGGGGTGAGCTCCCGTTGCTCGGTCCCTGCTCCTGCCAACCTAGCAGTTCGAAAGCATGTCAAAGTGCAAGTAGATAAATAGGTACCGCTCCAGCGGGAAGGTAAACGGCGTTTCCGTGCGCTGCTCTGGTTTGCCAGAAACAGCTTAGTCATGCCGGCCACATGACCCAGAAGCTGTATGCCGGCTCCCTCGGCCAATAATGCGAGATGAGCGCCGCAACCCCAGAGTCAGCCACGACTGGACCTAATGGTCAGGGGTCCCTTTACCTTTACCTTTATCCTTCAATTAAAATGTTGATATTATATACACAAGTCAACAGAGAAGCCCAACACCCTTGCCTGTCTTTCTACTCCCATCATCTTCCCAACCTGCCCCCCCAAATATTAGAGCAACGTGGCCAGAAAATGATTGAACATTTTTTCCCTGCATTGCCCCTTGTCAAGAGGTGTCTCCTAACAAGTCCCATTTAAACCATCACCAACACTTAGTGGCTTAAGAACTAAAGAAAACTCTGGGAACTGAAGCAAATCTATTTCCAGTTGTGACTGCAATGTGGCGATGTGTGTGTGTGTGTGTGTTTAAGTCAAATGCATTATAGATTGGATCCTTAAGGAAGTTCATGCGAGGAAAGTTTCCCATTCCTTCCTCCCACCTGCATTCCTCAGGAAAAAAGCCTTTCAAAAAGGTAGGGGGTGGACAGGCTCTCGAGTAATGTCCTTAAGTGAACTTATCTCAGGTTCCAAGACCAGTTCTGGATGATATTCCATCCCACATTGTTGAAGAGAATTTCCCCAACCCACCCAGAGAAGGTTTTTTTGGAAGAGGTGCAGGAAACTGCCGCATAAGGTGGGATGGGAAATTTAAAATATCTAAGGACCCAAGCCAAAACATACACAAAGTGAAGTTGGCAATATGTGTAGTACCTGTCAGTGTGAGCTAAGCGTTTTTGCATGCCTAGGCCTGCTCTGTTTCACATCAGGGCAATTGCTTAAAGAATTGGGCTTCACGCTTCACAAAGCCCAGACAAATGGCACTTTTCCTTTTCTTGGGTTTCCGTCAAAAGAAACCTATTTTATTCGGCTCCTTTGTGGAGATAACCACAAATCTTGTGGGCCAACCCATCCCCAGAAACCAAATATTCAGAAAATGGACTGCTATGTGAACATCTTATGACCAGTTCGAAAGATATGTTGAACTATTCCCCAGATGTCTGAGAAGTATGTACCCAACTGACTCATTGGATCATTCTGTAAATCTTACCCTTGTGTGCGAGGAAATATATTAGTATAGAAATTCTCCAGAAAGAGGAAGCAAAATTTCCCCACATGTTTTCCTTGGCTGCATGCTGGGTGGGAAACATGCAAGTCCAGGATAAGGCTCGGCTTGCTCCTGTAGTCAACCTGTGGTCTTCTGCTGGACTACAAATCCCATCACCCCTGACCTCTGGCCATGCTTGCTCAGGCTAATGGGGGTTGGAGTCCAACAACATCTGGAGGTGTCTCTAGACTTGCATGATGTCTGAAGTCATCCATTGCTACAAGTAGCAAACACACATTTCTGTTATGGGGTTGTCTATCTGTGTTGGAAAAGGCCAGCTGCCAGTTTGACAAGTACTGGAATCCAAGATATCTATTAAGAAATTCGTATTCTTGCATAAACGTTATGAAGTTGCTTTCAGTTCAGGGAAGTGTTTGCAGATGTATGAAACTTGTGCTTATGTTACACTTAGGATCAAAGTTTGGAAAGTTAACCAGGGGAATCTGGGCCTGATGGTCTTTATCCATGTGGTTTTGAAATATAACAAGGAGTTAGATGTTGAAAGCTGTAGACAATAAGGATCTACACTGAATATATGTCTGGATTAGGTTTACCTGCAAAGGGGCAGGAGAAGACAAATGCTGAAATGTGTCGGGTTAGACTTGCCAATACATCACACCGCTAGATTTAAGAACTTAAAGTCTCCATGCTGCTGGATGCAAAATACCCAATGACAGACAGCTGGTCACATTGGGATCACATTGGGAATGTTGTATTTTAATCTTGTTTTTGTTATGTACTGAAGTTCTCACCCTGGGCCAGCAGGGGGATACTGTAGATAGTTATGCAAATGAAGGATCGAAAGTGATGTTCAGTGATTGGATAGATACTGTAGATAGTTATGAAGGATCGAAAGTGACGTTCAGTGATTGGATAGTTTTAGAAGGTTGTTACAGTAACAAGGTACTGGAGCTCTATATAAGCAGGCTGACTGAGCCCTTCAGTTCAGTTCAGTTCTGGCCTCAGAATAAAGAAGAGCTGTTTGAAGAATCGCTGTGTCGTCTGATATGTTCACCCACAACCTAACAGTTTTTAAGTTGTATTTTAATCAATTGTTTTTATACCTGGTGTTAGCTGCCCTGAGCCCGGTCTTGGCTGGGGAGGGCGGGGTGTAAATTATTATTATTATTTGCTAACAAAAGCTTAAAGTAGTTGGAGAGGGGAGGGGGAAATGCAATTATTATCCCAATGGTTCTTGTTCCTAGTCGTTTTCTTCAGTTTTCATCAGGCAAGTTTGTGGTCTTTCAGTAGACACAGGATGGAAAGCAAATATTTATTGCAGTGCAAAGCATAACAATTTGAAGAGGAGTCCTATATCGAATGAAGTTGAGACTGAACTCATTGTGACTATAAACAGGAAGGAAAAGAAACTTGGAAGATGTTCCTGCAGCATCTAACAAAACCATTCCTGCAATACTGATCCATATGCAAGTAATTGAAAGCCACCTGTTGGGATGAATGAAAACCTTTGATAATACAGTTGTTCAGCAGATGTCCGGGGTAAGCTGGGGAGAACTTTGCCACAACGAGCAGAAAGCGTTTCGCCATTTGATTTCTGATAACACTTGATGATCACTGACGGATGAATTTTGGGAACGTACCAACAGTATGTATACCAACAATGGCAGGAAGCCTCAGGCAGCAGCAAAACAGCCTTTTGATCAGGCCTTGCATTGCAAAATGAATGAACTTCCGTGTGCTCAGCCAGAAGCGGCTAAAGAAGTAACTATTCAAAATTGGATGCTTCAAAGTGACAAGTGGTCTGGGCCAGTACTTCACCGCCTCAGGACTTGAAGATTGTGTGAGACAATACAGAAAGTTTTCAGGAACGTGTTGAAAGGACAACTGTGCAATGAGAAGAATAAATTAAAACAGAAAATCTTGATAAACAAATAATTTGTGTGGTTGTCCAGTTCAAACAAAGGATTGCTTTATGGCGTTGTTGACCAGCAAATGATGATGTTTTCTTTTAGCATATTTGCTGCATTCAAAAACTGTTTTCGCAGGCCAGAGAGGATTCTTCTGAAAGAACAATTAGTGCATAGCTCAACCAATGTCACCTTCTTCAAGGATTTAAGAGAACAGCATGCCTTTCCAAGAACCCATTTCAGACATTTTTATCTTGTGAGGAGGAGACCGTGTGTCCTTGCTGTCTCACTCCCCGACCATTCTTGTGTTGGTATGGAAGATCTGATTTCTCCGATGAAAATAGGGACATCTGGTCCTATTTTTGCAAAAAAAAAAAGAGGTACCAGAACTCACCACGAATGCCTCCCTTGTTCTCTTATAATGACAGTGACTCCCCGCTGAAAAATAGGGACCTCCTATTCCATACCCTCCAACATTTCTCCAATGAAAATAGGGGCATCCTAAGGAAAAACGGGACATTCCAGGATCAAATCAGAAACCAGGACAGCTTCTATAAATCTGGGACTGTCCCTGGAAAATAGGGGTAGTTGGAGGGTTATGATGGCTCTGTTTTACATATACTGCCAAGAGACAGTATGCCTCTGAAGTGAGGAGAGTGTTGTTAGGGGTTATCGGGGTAGAAATTCCAAAGAAAATGTTAAAGTTGTTTATGTATGTAACAACAGTGGTGTGATGGCCTGGCACTAGGGCTCTGACTCAGAGCCGGAGGAATCTCAGTCCGCACCGGATCCTCTGCCTCAGGCGGTATCTGAACCGAGTCTGGGGCCTGATTCTGAAGAGTCCCAGTCTGCACAGGTTCCCCTAAAACAAGCACCAGCTGGCCAAGTCAGGGGCCTGAGCCTGCCCTGGCTCCACATGTGGGGATTACCTCGTTGCTCTCTGCTGGGCAGTCAAGTACAGCTGCTCCACTACCAGTTGGGTCAGGAGAGGCTGAGGCGGCCTCTGGGTCTAGTAACCCACCGACATCTCCCAAGCTGCAGAGACTCAGGTCTGAGAGAAGGGGAGACCTGAGTACTCGCAGGAGGAGTGCTTGCCTTTGGGCGAAACAGGGAGGTGAGTCACCGGGGGGATCAGGACCGGCTGATACCCCGTCAGAGATAAAAGGCTGCCAGACCCCACCCCAGGTTTCGGGAGCAACATTGCTGCTTGCTGGAACCTGCCTGAGACCTTGTGCCTGACCTTGCCTGGTTTCCTGCCTTGGCCCTGTTGGACTGACTCCTCGTGGAATCCTTAGATTCGGGACTGGACCTGGACCGCGTGGCTCAGGTTAACCGCCAGGCCCAGCACAAGCGGCTAGGATTCTTTATGCACTGAAATGGAAGGAAGAAGTCGTCCCCACCAAAGAATGGATGAGTAAGATAATGAACAATGCAGAACGGGCAATATTAACAGCAAAATTAAGAGAACCTAATGATGAGTGCTTTATGGAAGAATGGTTGCCTTTTTCAGACTACTTAAAGAAATATTATAGTAAATGGGCGAAAACTATATAGAAATTTATTCATGTATGCAACTACTGTGGCAAGAATGGTACTTGCCCAAAAAGGGAAAGAAGAAGAAGTCCCAGCGAAAGAAGGATGGATACAAAAACTTACGGAATATGCAGAAATGGCGAAACTTACTGGAAAAAATAAGAAATCAAGATAACAAACTATTTATAAAAGAATGGAAACGGTTTATTGACTATTCACACACACAAAAACCTGTAAACAGATAAGAACATTGGCAGGATTATTGTAATAGCCTGCAGTTTATAAGAGTACCGTATTTTTTGCTCTATTGGACGCACCGGACCACAGGACGCACCTAGTTTTTAGAGGGGGAAATCAAGGGGGAAAATATTATTTCCCCCCCAAAGAGCAAAGAAGCCAAGACAGCGAGTGGGATCCATAGCCGCGCAACCTCTCCAGCCAGGAGCTAAACCTCTCCAGCGCAGCTAAAGAAGAAGACAAGGCAGCGAGCGCGATCCATCCCGCTCGCTGCCTTGGCTTCCTCTTTAGCCTTGAGCAGCATCTTTAGCCTTGCACAACGGGATGGATCGTGCCCGCTTTCCACCGGGGCTGGACTAGATGACTCCTGGGGTTCCCTTCCAACCCTGCAGTTCTGTGACCTTGGAAGGTGTTGGGGGTCTCCACCACTGGAGGCTTTTAAGCAGTGGTTGGGGGACCATCTGCCTGGCGTTCTTTAGCAGTGATTCCTACATTGTGAGGGGGCTGGGCTAGATGACCCTCGGGTGGCCCTCCCAACTCTATACAGTCCTACACTTCTGTGGCAGGAGATCCACAGCCACTTCACACAATGCCCACTCCCAATTTTCATTAGAGAGACATGTGGCTTCAGTGTCTAGGTAGGTACCCCCCCTACCTGCCACACACCCCACTTAAGCCGAGGGAATTCCTGCCCAGAGAAGCTCCCAGGTGAGGCAAGGGTTAAGATCTACCTCTGGTAAATGGCTTTGTATCCCCCTTCTTTCCCTTTTCTCTTCTTCTTCTATGCTATTTCCTTCTTTTGTGTTTTGTTTAATCTGTTTTTATTGTATACTAAAATAAAAGCTGCAAAGTTTCATTTTTTATAATATCCCCCCCTCCAAACTAAAACGTTAATCTAGATAAAAACACTGATCCAGAGGAAAAGAAGGGGGTGGAGAAAGGACGAAAAAAGAAAAAGAGGTAGATAGAGAGAGAGATTTTTAAAAAGTTGGCTTCTTTAGCCTCGCACAGCCTCCCGCGGCTGGAGAGTTTGCGCAAGGCTTTTCTAGAGAAGGGAGAAGGGACTGACTGGCCGCGTCAGTCCCTTCTCCCTCCTGGGGAAAAGCCCGCAAGAGCCGCGTGAAGCTTGTGTGTGGCTCTTGGGGGCTTTTCCTGCTTGCCCCCCCCCCGCATTCGCTCCATAGGACGCACAGACTTTTCCCCTTAGTTTTTAAGATGGAAAAACTGCGTCCTATGGTGCGAAAAATACGGTATATATTTAAAGTAGATGAACAAATGAGTAAATTAAGCTAATTTGGAATATGCGGAAAATATAAAAATAAATGTAAAGAACCGCAGAAAGAGGAGGAAGGAAGTAGAGATTTGAAATGTTAAAATGATTTAAATTTTTTTGAAATGCATAAAATTGAGCATCATAAAAAAGTAAAGAAATATTATGGTATGATGAACTCATGAGCAGGATTTGAGTCATGAGCAAAGGAAGTAATTGGATTATATTATCATGGTTATGATAATATGAAATCAGCCCTGAGTGCTCACTGGAAGGACAGATCCTGAAGCTGAGGCTCCAATACTTTGGCCACCTCATGAGAAGAGAAGACTCCCTGGAAAAGACCCTGATGCTGGGAAAGATGGAGGGCACAAGGAGAAGGGGACGACAGAGGACGAGATGGTTGGACAGTGTTCTCGAAGCTACCAGCATGAGTCTGACCAAACTGCGGGAGGCAGTGGAAGACAGAAGTGCCTGGCGTGCTCTGGTCCATGGGGTCACAAAGAGTCGGACACGACTAAACGACAACAATCATGGTTATGATTTTAAAGACAGAAGATAGGGTGCATGAGAAAAGGGAGAAACAACAACTCCATGGAAAACAGGGTGGGAAGTCAACAAAAATTAAAGAAAAGAAGAAATTGGGTTTTGATTGTATATTTCAAAAATGTTGAAACTTAATAAAATATAATGGACTTGCACAGCATGAGTTTTCTACAGTCCTCTTCTGACTGAAGCCCATGTTTACCATGTGTGGCTTGCATCCTACTTGCCCTGCTAATTCTGGACTTCTACTGTATAATGAAAAATAAGGATTGAGAATACATTTTGGAAATGTTCAAAGGAAGACAAAGCCAAGGAACATTTATCACTGTCTCTCTTGCTTATACTTTACCTCAAGTCACTAATATAACCTCATTCTCCAAAATGCATTCCAGGAATGTCCAAGAACATAGCTTGGCTCATGGTGCTTAATACCATAAGCAAAGCGAATTAAAGCCATGCCAAGTCATCTGCTTTAAAGCAGAAGTAAGAAATTCACCAGAAAAATAAAAAATTGAACTGAAAAACAAGGCCCTGTAAGATGGCAAATCTCATTAACAGCACTGAAAAACAAATATAGGTTTTTCAGACATTACCACATCTTTCGTTGCTCACATGACAAATGTTCTGAGCAGTCCATTGCTCCAGAAAAACTAAGAGTAATACAGACAGTATCATACTCTTCATACTACTGTATTTCTATCTAGGTTTCTAAGAAATTCTGCTCACTTCATCATTCTGTGTAATGGTTGGGTCTCTCCCACAGAAGCGAGACAACTCCGGCAGCAATTAACTCAGGTTTATTGCTCAAAACACGCAAAATGGCCTCGGTCAGGTATACCTGAAGGAGTGTCTCCACCCCCATCATTCTGCCCAGACACTGAGGTCCAGCACCGAGGGCCTTCTGGTGGTTCCCTCCCTGCGAGAAGCCAAATTACAGGGAACCAGGCAGAGGGCCTTCTTGGTGGTGGCACCCGCCCTGTGGAATGCCCTCCCACCAAATGTCAAAAACAACTACTAGACTTTTAGAAGACACCTGAAGGCAGCCCTGTTTAGGGAAGCCTTTAATGTTTAATAGATTATTGTATTTTAATATTCTGTTGGAAGCCGCCCAGAGTGGCCGGGGAAACCCAGCCAGATGGGCGTGGTATAAATAATAAATTATTATTATTATTAATCACACTGGAGCTCAGTCACTCAGCGTCTGCTTCCAAATTAGCTGTTGCTGAGTCTGAGTTCCGCCCCTTCCTCTTCCCACTTTTAAAGCCCCACTTACACTTCCTTTCCTGTTTACGCCTCTCATTAATTCTTGCTCACCTGCGCATCATGGGATGGGCTTTTTCCGGTGGTGGCCCTCCCTCTGAGTCCAAGCGTCAACTGTCAGTCTGCGTCTTCTCCCTGGAACTCCCCCCTTCCTTCTCCATGTTCTTGGATCTCAGGCTTCTACTGCAACTTGGCTGCTCCTCCCTCGTTCCGCATTCCTGCCTAATTACCTCCCCCTGTCTCTCCAAGCTCTCCCCTTTCTGCATGAACCATGCATGAACCATGCATGAACATTCTGCATGAACCATGTTTGTTATACATTGAAGAATCCACAGTGGAATAGTGACTCTAATTCTCATTAGCAGCTGTCCATGAAGTGGTCGTGTACCACAGAGTCATTGAATTTTAGAGTTTGTATAATGGATTGGCAGAATAAGTTACAAGAATATGTGGAAATGGCGCAATTGACCAGCAGCCCAAGGGGCAGTTCAAGACAAGAATTTGCACAAAAATGGGATAAATACAAGAGATATGTACAAAAATATAGCAATGATTTTTCGTCTATGGCAGTATTTGAATGACCTTGGATAAAGAAATATAGGAGAAATAAGATTAACGGTGCAAATTGTTGTAAGAATGTATTAGAGAATATATGGTGCATTCACTATTAGAATAAAAGCATACAACGGGAGTTGACAGGAAGTCCAAAGTTTTTATGATATTTTTTGTTAATAATCTTTGTTAATAACCGCATAAAAAGTAGCATAAACACAGCTGAAGCTTAAGGTTTATAACTATGTAAGAAAAGACAAGTATATGTTTTGTGTGTGTATGTGTGTGTGTATGATTGAAATCTCAATTTACTCTACAAGATGTACCATATATATGTAATGTATTGTAAGATTGTTAATAGAGCTTGTTCCATTGCAAATAAAAATAAAAATAGAATTGTAGGGTTGGAAGATACATCAAGGGTCATCTAGACCAGCCCCCAGCAATACTGGAATCTTAGCTACAGCATCCATGACAGATGGCCAGCCAATCTCTGCTTAAAAACCTCCAAGGAAGGAGAGTCCACCACCTCCCAAGGGAAACTGTTCCACAGTCAAACTGCTCTTACCGCCAGAAAGTTGTTCCTGATGTCTAGCCGGAATATCCTTTCTTGTAACTTGAAGCCATCGCTTGGGGTCCCACCCTATGGAGCAGGAGAAAACAAGCTTGCTCCATCTTCCATGTGACAGCCCTTGAGATATTTGAAGATGATCTCCTCTCGGTCTCCTCTTTTCCAGCCTCAACATAGCCAGCTCCTTCAACCATTGCTCATAAGGCTTGGTTTCCAAGCCTTATACTATGAGGTCATCTGCTTTGTGATGCATTTTGTACTTGTCATCCGGGCAGCCCAGGACCTCCATACACACTGCCCAGGCTTGAGCCCTGGGGAGATCACGTTGGTGCTCCTAATGCAGCTGTTTGAATTCATCCCCAGGGGCAAACTCCATTGTCTCTAGAGATAGACAGATGCCAAGTGCTTTATTGACTGTGAAGCGTAGAACCAAACAGTAGCTTTTTATCTAAATTAATCACCGATCAAAGAAGAAGTGGTCTTGGGAGCTCTCCTGTGGGATCTGGCAGAAACTTGTAAAATGAAGGTGTTTTGGTTTCTAGATGTTATTGGCAGAGATGTTATTGGCAGATGAGATGTGTGGCTATGCTTTTAATAGCAGCCAGAGACTTTCACAATGTGTGGTTCTGTCCTGCATTGACTTACATAGGGACATATGTAAATGCCATAAAGGAAGATGAAATAGTCACTCCGGACAGGAGATTCAAAGGAGATTGTTTTCATATCTCCAGCCAAGGTCTTCATGTTACTATTTTGAATTAAACCCACGATGAACCAGTGCGTGAGATTGTCTGTTTTTCCCTCCGTAGCAAACACTTGACAACTTGCACAAAATATGAAGATGTTTTTGGTGTTTATTTTCATCGTTACTGAGGCTCAGACGTCAATGGGTCATAAACCAGGTAAGGCACTGTTTTCTTGTTTTAAAATGGTCATGTTTGCTCCTCTGAAAAACCAGAATACCACAAATAGTATATTTGTACAATAGAGCAATTGATGGGACGCGGGTGGCGCTGTGGGTTAAACCACAAGCCTAGGACTTGCTGATCAGAAGGTCAGCGGTTCGAATCCCTGCGACGGGGTGAGCTCCCATTTCTCGGTCCCTGCTCCTGCCAGCCTAGCAGTTCGAAAGCACATCAAAGTGCAAGTAGATAAATAGGTACCGCTCCGGCGGGAAGGTCAATGGTGTTTCCATGCGACTGCTCTGGTTTGCCAGAAGTGGCTTAGTCATGCTGGCCACATGACCCGGAAGCTGTACATCGGCTCCCTCGGCCAATAAAGTGAGATGAGCGCCACAACCCCAGAGTCGTCCGCGACTGGACCTAATGGTCAGGGGCTCCTTTACCTTTACCTTTACAATTGAGCAAAACACCAGGCACAGTTTTCATACGTTCAGATATGGCCCTAGCACATGTTAATTGACTGATGGAACAAAAAGTCCTGGATAGAGTTATGGGAGGTACAGGAGAACTTTGGGACACCCAACCAATAAAACATACCTGGACTGAGGCCATTCATCCCATACATTTAAAACATTTAGACACCACTTCAAACAGTCATGGTAAAGTCTTCATCTGAGCCCCTTAGACTGCTAGACTCCACATTAGTTATTGTACTATTTTCTCACTCTCTGTGAGAAATGAACACTTGAAGATTAAGCATTGATTCCTTAATCTTGCTCCTTTCCTTTCTTTCTTTTTAGCCCCCCAGCCTGCCGATATTGTTTTTTTGGTTGCTAGCAGCAATACGTCTTCACACCATGTCAAAACATTTATTAGCAAAGTCATCGATGGTTTACTGCTAGGTCCTAATGAGTATCGTGTTGCCCTTGCCCAGTATAACGATCGAGTATACAATGAATTCCAACTGGATACCTATAAAGGGAAGATTCCAATGTTGAACCATATCAAAAACAAAGTTGTGTTCAGAGGTGGGCCCTTGAAAACTGGTACTGCTCTCCGGAAGATTCATGAGACCTATTATGGGAAGCCAACCCGTGAAAGGGACCGGTCCAAGATTTTGGTTGTGATGACGTCTCAACCATCTGGTGATGATGTAGAAGAAAGTGCCCAATTGTTGCACAAAGCAGGAGTGAAGGTCCTTGCAGTGGGCATGGAGGATGCTTCCTACGACGAACTAATTCGGATGGCCACAAAACCATTTAGCTTCTTTTTCCCTAGAACAGAAGAACTCGTTTTATTTTCTCAGAACATTTCCGGAATCGTAGATGCCATTCACGTAGGTGACAACAACCACCCAGAGCTAACGAGCAAGAGAGCTGAGGACAAAGTAAATAATGGGACAGTTATAGAAGGTAAGAAGTGAGATGCTGTTGAAAATAGATTTATAAGGAAGAGGGTGGCAGTGCTAGAAACAAAAGTATACAACTGGTCTGTCCCATATATGGTCTGGGGTCTTACTCAAAACACACTTGACAGTATTTTTCCCAAACCACTCTCACCTGCCCACTAGCTGATGTCACTCATTATGTCAGCTGATGGGTGGGAGTGTAGGGTTCAACTCCGTGTTGGTAAATTCTTGACGAGTTCTTGTTTTTGGGTGTAAAAATGGTGTCGGGGAGGATTTTGCCGAACCGGCAAAATGTCAGGGAGGGAAAACCTGGATGTATGGCAACGCAATGGAAAAAGCAGCGGAAACAGTTCCAAAAGCTTTTTAAAAATGCTTAACACTTTGGGGTTGTTCCCAAAAGATGCTTAACAATTTTGGTGGGTTTCTTTTCTTCTTTTTAAAAAAGCTCAGTAATTTTGAGGTCTTCCTATGGTAACCCTATGTGTTGGTTGTGTGTACAGTGGTACCTCAGGTTAAGAACTTAATTCATTCCAGAGGTCCGTTCTTAACCTGAAACTGTTCTTAACCTGAAGCACCACTTTAGCTAATGGGACCTCCTGCTGCCGCCGTGCGATTTCTGTTCTCATCCTGAAGCAAAGTTCTTAACCCGAGGTACTATTTCTGGGTTAGCGGAGTCTGTAACCTGAAGCGTCTGTAACCCAAGGTACCACTGTACCTGTCAGCTGCTGAGTGGGGGGGGGGGAGAGGAGATATTGCTCAGTTTAGCTATTCCCTGTCAAAGCAAGCAACTCACAACAAGCAGATTTCTTTTGCTCCTCCACATCGGCTAAAGAACTGAGCATAAAGATACTGATAGCACCCCTTGCACTGCTGTTCTCAAGCGCCCAATAGCAAGCTGGTTCTCAGATGCTCGGAAACCCAGTGCAAATGATTTTGACATGAGGGTGGGGCAGGCAACTTACCTGTCAATCATGTGACATTATAATGACATGTTTTGATTGACAGGTGGGTTATCCAACTTGCTTTAAAGCAGCTTTTTACAATGTTACCCTACACATGTTCACTCAGGAGTAATGCCTATGGGGTTCAACGGGCAAGTGGGTATAGGATGTGCCTCAAGAGTCTGGTGCACAAAAAAACCAAATATATTTAGTCACTTTTAGTCATAGAATGAGCGAATCAGGGAGTTGGAAGGGAACCTGGGGATCATCTAGTCCAACCCCTGCAATGCAATAATACGCTGTTGTCCCATACAGGGATCGAACCTTCAACCTTGGCATTATCAGCACCACACTCTAGCCAACTGAGCTATAGTCAATGAGTTATTGTTTTGAATAGTGAGCTAATAGCCATTTCTGACACCCTGGATTCACAAATTTGTCCATCCCTTAAATACGGGTCCGACTTTTCCATTCCTGCAATTTCATTGTTGCAATAAATTTTAACAATGGTTGACAGTGAATAGGGGTAGCGAGGCACAAGCAAGATGCCCCCAGTTTGACAAAGCTCTGAATTATCGAACTCTCCAAGTTCAGGGCTGCTCAGTTATAAATATCTTAAAGGAAATAAAGAAAAACCCATCTATTGTATATGGCAATCATGCCTTACAACAGGAAAACCACAGCGTAGAAAATCAAACAACAACTCATTCAAATCAGCTCAGCAGCTCTGCAATTCAGCATCTTATGCTTGCTCATGAAAACAGTCCCACCCTGTTGTAGAAATCTTCCTGGGTCTAGATGCAGGTTGGAGAAGCTTTGGCTTCTTAGATGTTGCTGGACTCAAGTTCTCATCAGCCACAGGAAGCTTGGATGAAGGTCAGGGATGGTGGGACTAGTGGTGGAGGAAGGGGCGTATGGGGAGTGCGGTCTGCCCCAGGTGTCATCAGTGGGTGTGGGTGTGACAAAATGAGTTGTTGTTTTTTTAAAAAAATATTGGGCTCATGAAACTTTTTAGGAGTGACGTGGTGGCTTAGGTGCCTGCAGGTTCCTCGCTGCCTGAAACGACAACGTGGAACTTGCGTCTGCCTACTGCCCCTCAGCCACCCTACAGCTTTGGGGGAGGTGGCAGAGAGGCTCGCTTTGCCCCCATGGGCGGATCGCCCTATTGGGATACTGCTGGGGAGACGGGGGCATCAGACAGGCCCCCAGCTGGCTCCGGACAATCACTGGTCTCCCGTGGAACAGCATCAGTCAGTTAGCGACACGAGCCTCAGATACGCTTAGAGACTCGTGCATGCTCTGTCGGCAGAGTGTGCAAATCTCCACACAGCAGGTGAGGAGGACAAAGGCAGATGTAAGCATTATATACAGCATTTATTCAGCATAGTTCAGGGACAAAAGAAAACATGTCTGCATCCCTTCGTCTCGGGAAAAACAGCAGTAACACAAAAGCTACATACAACGGAAGTTCCCAGCAGACTGTGCTGGGAGTAAACAGGCATGTGATACACAAACGCCATGCCTGTACCCTTTTAAGGTGGAATGGAACTGTCGTATCTTTCGCTCTATAAGACGCACTAGACCATAAGACGCACCTTGTTTTTGGAGGAGGAAAACAAGAAAAAAAATATTCTGGATCTCAGAAGCCAAAACAACAAGAGGGATCGCTGCACAGTGAAAGCAGTGACCCCTCTTGCTGTTCTGGCTTCTGGGATAGCTGTGCAGCCTGCATTCACTCCATAAGATGCACACACATTTCCCCTTACTTTTTAGGAGGGAAAAAGTGAGTCTTATAGAGCAAAAAATACGGTATATCATCATCAGTCTTTATTATGGTCCAGAGACCCAGCAAATCATTACAAAACAATACACAATTCATACAGCCTACCTCCAGGTTAAACAAGCATTTTGTTCAGAATATAGGGATCATTTGTTCTTGCAACTACCGATAAAAACTTTGCCACTGCTAATGTTCTAGCATTTGTCCGGTCTTCCAATAGGAACCTGACATAGTGAGCCTCTGATTTTCCCAGGAAAGGTACCAGCAAGGGTAGTATCAGTTCAGCCCTGGCTTGCTCATATTTTGCACAATGCAACAAAATTTGTTTTATGGAATCGATGTCTTGAGCACACGAGCAAAGTCTGTCCTGGTAGGGAACTCCTCTCAACCTGCCAACCAACACTGCAGAAGGAAAGACGTTTAGTCTGGCTTTGGTGAAAAGCCTTCGATAGTTTGGTACTGTCAGGTTTTTAATGTAAGTTGTTAACTTAAAGACATGCCCATATTGTACTCCTACTGCCAGCGGACTACAGACTGCGTGTGATCAAGAACGCAAGTCACTGTGTGCATTATCCCATAATCTTTGCTTTAACATCTTTTGGGCGCCTTCATAACCCAGGTAATACAGTTGGAGGGGAGACAGACCAATAGAGGTGGCTTTTTTAGCCATGGGAACTATATCCTAACACGCCCCGCCCCCAGCTGCAGGACACCCCTACCTGCACCAGGCACTCGAGCAGCTAGCTACACCGCAGGGTGGGACATCTGGAGGGCCCAAAATTCCTCATCCCTGGCCTGCAGCGGAGAACAGATCCCTTGGGATGGTTGAGCATGGCTGCGCCATTGCGAAGGCAGTTTCACTGGCTCAGAATAGCCAAGCAATTTGTTGTTGTTGTTTAGTCATTTAGTCGTGTCCGACTCTTCGTGACCCCATGAACCAAAGCACGCCAGGCACTCCTGTCTTCCACTGCCTCCTGCAGTTTAGTCAAACTCATGCTGGTAGCTTCGAGAACACCGTCCAACCATCTCGTCCTCTGTCGTCCCCTTCTCCTTGTGCCCTCCATCTTTCCCAACATCAGAGTCTTTTCCAGGGAGTCTTCTCTTCTCATGAGGTGGCCAAAGTATTGGAGCCTCAGCTTCACGATCTGTCCTTCCAGTGAGCACTCAGGGCTGATTTCCTTAAGAATGGATAGGTTTGATCTTCTTGCAGTCCATGGGACTCTCAAGAGTCTCCTCCAGCACAATAATTCAAAAGCATCAATTCTTCGGCGATCAGCCTTCTTTATGGTCCAGCTTTCACTTCCATACATCACTACTGGGAAAACCATAGCTTTTACTATATGGACCTTTGTTGGCAAGGTGATGTCTCTACTTTTGAAGATGCTGTCTAGGTTTGTCATTGCTTTTCTCCCAAGAAGCAGGCGTCTTTTAATTTCGTGGCTGCTGTCACCATCTGCAGCCAAGCAATAGCCAATGTTTAATCTTGCGTTTTCTTCCCACCGCAGCTTGCGATGACGATGCAGTCGCCGACGTGGTGTTCATAGTGGATGCGGGTCCTCCGCAAAACAAATTTGAGAAGATTCAAATATTTTTGGAAAAGCTGGTGTCTTCTCTGGATGTGAAGGAGAAATGCATAAAGGTCGGCTTGGTGACGTTCAGCGCTAAACCCGAGGTGATATTTTTACTGCGGATGGAAATGGATAAGACGAATGTTCTGCAGCGCATACAAAGTCTTTCTGCCAAGGCAGGAAAGGCCAACGTTGGCTTGGCCATTAATTTCACAAGGGAGAAAGTTTTCACGGAAAGTTCCGGAAGCAGGAAGACCCAGGGGGTGGAACAAATAGCCATTCTTATCACTCACAGGCCTTCAGAAGACGGGGTGGGCAATGCTGCAACCGTTCTCAGGAGGGCAGGTGTGACAGTGTTTGCAATTGGTGTCGAAAGGGCTGATGTCACTCAGTTAACCAGTATAGCTGCGTACCCGCCACAACAATACGTAACCCACCTGAAAACATTTCCCCACTTGCCACGCCAGGCTCTCGTTTTTCATAAGAAGGTGGTGAATCAGGTGCAACGAAAGCTCTACATGGACAACAAAAGAGCAGAACTGCTTAAAAGAGGTAACTTGTCGTCTTATGCTGTTTCAGGAGACTTGCAATGCTCTAGTTCCTCGGCAAAAGCAAGAAGAACATCTCCAGAGGTGTTGCAGAAGATTCATTTGGTGCCTGAATTTTCATTTAACAAATTATTATTATTAATGTTTAATAGGTTATTGTATTTTAATGTTCTGTTGGAAGCCACCCAGAGTGGCTGGGGAAACCCAGCCAGATGGGCGGGGTATAAATAAATTATTATTATTATTATTATTATTATTATTATTATTATTATTATCATCATCATTTGGCTCTAAAAAAATGTGACAATAGCAGACTGGAAAGCAGGAAGCCAAACAACAACAACAGCATGCTCTCCCTTGAAAAAGCTAAAAAGGGAAAATAGCATAATCTATTATCCTATTATTTATGTAGGGCATTTGTATCCTGCTCTTCAGCCAAAAAGTCTCCCAGGATGGTTTACATCCAGTCAATTAAAATGAGACTGTCCTTTACAATTTAAAATAAAAGGTCACACAAGGGAAAAGGGACAGGGAGGGAAGTAGGGGGAAACGAAAATTCAGGCACCAATTCTTGAACAGTTGTTCTTATAGTGACTGGGTTTTTTGCGCAATTCAGGGATAGGAAGTGCATGGCAGAGCCGGGCTTTCAGCAAAGCTGGTGGAATGAGCCCTTCTTCCTATCTCTCCCACTGAGGCAGCCTGATGGAATAGCTGTTCCCTGAGGGAAAGGAGGCCTGAAGGAGTTGGCCTGTCACACCAGAGCTGATGCTTCCCATCTCTCTTGAAAAAAGAGCTCAAGATACAACATTTGACTAGTTTTGCAGCACCTTTGCAGATCTTCCTCTTGTTTCTGTCTGTCACGGACTCTGGAACCAGTCTCTAGTTTCTGGGAAATTCAGCCGACTGGCAATGGCTCTCCAGAGTTTGAGCCAGAAGTCTCCCTCAGTCTGAACTAGGGATGCTAGGGCTTGATCGTGAGACCTTCTGCACACATATCACTAAGCTATGGCACTTCCCCAAAGGCCTGCCACTATATCATGAGGATCCACAGACATCACTGTGAGATTAATCCTGGAATATGATAACTTTTGGATGATCTCAGTATGGCTAGGAAGACAGCCATCTGAACAGGAACACATGTTCTGATAAGAATGACTCTCTCCTTCCATTTACAAATGTGGGGGATCGGGGGAAATATGGTTTCTTACAATCAATTGCTAACATTTTGCTGGCCCAATTCAGAGAGCTCAGAGGGATCCACGGGGCCTGCTGAGGTTGTGTTTCCCCACAAAACTCACAGAAGCTTCTTGCTGCTTCCAATAGTTATCTTTTTTTTTAAAAAAATGATATTTATTAAAGTTTCAAAAAATACAAAAAATACAGAATACAGAAAAAAAGATAAAGTTTTTAAAATATAACAAAAAAGTAAAAAATAAAAAGAAACATACAAAATAAAACAGTTAAAAAGACATTAATTTT